AAGAAAGTATCAAGAAACACAAGAATTTGGAATATACTTTTCACAGCACAAATCTTTTTCATGGGTTTCTTTTACCTATTTCAAGAGAAATGGGAGTACATGCAAAAGCAAGGAATGATTTCAGGCAATGAGACAATAGAAACCACCAATATGAATCAACTTATTACTCATACTGAATCTCAAAAGGTGTTGGCTATGGTGCCTGAATCATGTGCCAAGAACAATGCACTAAAGAACTTGTTTGACTAATTGCTTAAAATTGATATTTATGGATTTGTATTTCTTTCATTTTCACCTTTTTCTTTTCTATAATTTCTTTATCATTTTTAATTATGGGTTTTGCTTATATATGTATACTTTATTTCTTGATGCTTGCACTCCATTGATTCAAGTTTCTTAAAGTTATATGTTAATGGAGTGCATGCATGAAAAAGTAGAGTATAATTAGCAATATCCCTTCTTATATATATTGGGTATGGAATTTCTTGTGATCTCTTTTTAGTCCTGATTTAGAAACGGGCATTGGAAAAGGAACACTTAGGTAATAAATTGTGTAATTCTTGGTACAAGCTATATTACCAAGTTGGTGTTTTTGTTGTGTACATGACATTGAATGAGTGGTATGTATGTAATGAACTATATTATGTGGTAGGAAAAAAAAAAGAAAGAAATGTGTTTGTTCTTTGCAATATACTAATGAGTTTTTTTATTTAATATATTTTTATAGTAGGAATGCATACATATATTTATGAAATGAAAGAGTAATTCCTTAATTTTTTTTTCATTGGTTCATTGTTTTAGTTTCAACTTAACCTAACCAAAAACAGTTTTAACCAAGAAAATGGAATGGATAGCAGTTTGGTTTATGGACATAAATAGACCAATTGGCCTTGTGTAATGACCTAATAAATCCAACAAATAAATCAAACACTGCAAATAACACGACAAAAGTCAGGGGTATATTTGTAATTGTAGGTGGACACAATCATCTTCTACTTCTGTACTAGTTTTTTACTAGATTGATACTACAGTCCACACAGTACACTAGTGCAGAAAGTAGTCATAGTCAATCAATGGCTTCTCACGATCACCACCATCATCATGACCACGGCCACGGCCACGGTCACGACCACGACCACGACCACGACCACGACCACGACCATCATCACCATTCCCATGAGTAATTTCTTCTTAATTTCTCGTTTTATTCTTGTTTCTGGTTTTTAATTTCTAGGTTTACAAATGTAATTCCTTGCTTGTTAACCGATGGAACAGGCAAACAACGTCGTGGGTGGGGCCTGATGGAAGAGTTTACCATAGCCATGATGGTCTTGCACCTCACTCTCATGAACCCATTTACTCACCTGGATATTTCAGCAGAAGAGCTCCACCAATTCTTACGAGGGATTTCAATGAAAGAGCTTTTACTGTTGGTATTGGTGGCCCTGTTGGTACTGGGTAGGTGTATCCTATTTCCAATTTGATTTCCCCTTTTAGTTCAATTTGTAATGTTGTATTAATGGCATAAAGTTACATCCTTTTTGTTGTATGCAATTATTCTTGTTATGATAAATATCTAGAAATAACTGATGTTGCTAGTTTATATACTTTTCAATTATGGGTTTTAGTTCAGTTCACATTGCATAATAAACTTCAGTTGAATGTGTGGTTTGCAGTTCATTTCTATTATTATTATTATTGTTGTTGTTGTTGTTAATGTTTTTGGTATGACTAGTAGCTTGATACAAGTGATGCTTAAGAATCAAATGTTTCTTGATAGCATTAGCACCAGAATTGAGAAGCAGAGACAGAAATTAGAGAGAGCAAAGGATGAAATTAGAGAGGGAGAGAGATGTTGCAGAGGAACAAACTGAAACTGTATTCTTGATAAATGACATGGTCTAGATTATTCTCTGTTCAGTAGAATAAAACCTCTGATTATATATCTATTTTCAGTAGAATCCGGCCAGCTTAGCTTACGCAAGAGTGCAATGTCTGTAACAACTCAACTTTGTGCTACATACCTCATAACCACTTAATTAATTTTCTTACTCATGCTAGGACTCGGTTGCTGGACCAACCTAAGTATCTAGAGTTGAAGTGAAACGAATAAATGGGACTTAAAATCTGATAATGTTCCTCAGGAAAGACATCAATCAGTATAAAAAGAAAAGCTATCTCCTTTTCTGCTCAGTGAAAAAGTTATTCCTGCCCTTGGAATGCTCTTTCACTCTGTCCAATGCGTGACTAGAAGGTTATCCATGGTCATTCTATATTGTCTTTTCATTATGTTGCTCATTCAATTCAATGTGGATCATTTCTAATTTTTAGGTTCTAATATGTTGTGCCCAGATTAGGAATTTATATTCTTCTGTGAACATGTTTTTCTTAATCCTGGATAAATTTGAGTAATATAGGAAATATATTGTATTCCTTGATTATATATGAAATTATTTTGATTTCCTTCTCCTCTCCCAGGTTTTCTTGCTGGATTCACTTGATTTTTCTAATTTGTATTATCATCCTGAAATGCAATAATGTGTTATGATGGATTGCCATTTACTTTGCAGGAAAACAGCTTTAATGCTGGCCATATGTAAATTTTTGCGGGACAAGTACAGTCTGGCTGCAGTAAGTATCAAATCCAAAAGAGAAAGAAAAGAAAGAACTTTTTGGGATTTCGACTAACTTTCACCTTCATCATCTCAACTGGAGTCTTCGATCTGAAGAAGTGGATTATTTGCCACTTTTGTAATTCAGATCTAATAAATCCAAATTTAGCTCATTGTTGAATTGGCATCTCCTTCTAAACACATAACTGTATTCATTTTACTTTAATTACGGTAGCATAAAAGAAATAATTTGTAAATGGCTCATATATGGCTAAGACTCTAATGCCACACAAATTATATTTTGGGATCATTTTGGCAAATTAGCACTCAGATAACCAATAAACTCATGGTTTCCCTTGGATTCTGGACTAGCCTTGGTGAATGCCTTCTACTGACCTACTAATGGACAGGAATTTCCACCTTTCTATTCTTTTTGTTCCATGCAGAAAAGTACCTATTGCAAAAGGCAGCTGGAAATATCTTACTTTGGGATATAATTTGCATCTGTTGACAAAAAATCTTATACGCTTATAAGCATGATTTCTGTTATATATACCATCTATTAACATGTTATTTTCTTTAATATCAACTGTTTTGAGCTCTTGGCAGGTAGTTTGAGATATTATTAGTAACTTAGAACTATTCTGTTATTTCAGGTAACAAATGATATTTTCACAAAGGAGGATGGTGAATTCTTGATCAAGAATGGAGCACTTCCTGAGGAAAGGATACGAGCTGTTGAAACTGGAGGTTGTCCTCATGCTGCAATTCGTGAAGATATCAGCATAAACTTAGGCCCTCTGGAGGAACTCTCGAGGTTATTCAAAGCGGACATACTACTTTGTGAATCGGGTGGAGGTAAATGGCTACTGTATGGCTTTCCTTCCTATTCATAACTTAAGTGGCTGAGAATGCTCTTTGATCATAAGTCATAACTGAGTTAAGCTTGGTTGTTCAGATATTACACTTCACTAATAATAGTTCTCGTTGGACAATGTGGCAAAGTTAATGATGAAGAATTTTAGCAACCATTTTTGTTGACAGAGTGAATTTTACTAAGGAGAAGAGCAATTCTTTCTTAGAAATTTAATATATGTTATCCCATGTAAAGAAAATGTTCATCTTCTACTTGAATTTGTTTGATGCAGATAATTTAGCTGCCAACTTTAGTAGGGAGCTAGCTGACTATATCATATATATAATAGATGTATCTGGCGGTGATAAAATTCCTAGGAAAGGTGGTCCGGGCATCACCCAAGCTGATCTTCTTGTATGTGATTCCCCACTCTCTTCTTGTAGCTTTGTCAAAGTAATTGTCAATCATGTTGACCATTTTCATAAATATATTCATTTTTTGTCCATTGTTTTAGGTCATTAACAAGACTGATCTTGCACCGGCAGTCGGAGCAGACCTGGCAGTCATGGAGCGTGATGCACTGAGAATGCGAGATGGAGGGCCATTTGTCTTTGCTCAGGTGAGTTTGTTCATTGGTGGCACTTGTTCATGTCCATGATTTGGCTCTTGAAGTTTGTCATAAAATTTTTATTCTTGTACATAATATATATTTGTAGGTGAAGCATGGAGTTGGTGTACAGGAAATTGTAAACCATGTTCTACAGGCCTGGGAAGCAGCAACTGGGAAGAAGCAGCATTGACCTGTGCTTCCAAAAATTGCTTTAGCCTGTCTTATTTTATAGACTGTTCTCGGACCAACCTTTATATTCGGTTCTTTAGAAATAAGGGTGTACTATTGCTGTGAATTGTATTCATGATTCATGATTACAATGTACTGCTGCTGTTAGGTTTGCTGGTTTAACATCAAACTAGATAACTAAAGTTGCTATCTTTTCTTGAATGCTTTTGTCGTATGATTACCAAAAGACAAACTTTTTCAGCTCCCGTGCTCCCCGGCCTGCCTGGTAAAACAAAAAATAACAACAGCAATTTTGGCCCGGCGTGCCTGGTAAAACAAAAAATAACAGCAGCAATATTGACTTTATCCTAATTTTTTTTAAATTATTATATCTCAGTTTGATAAATTTGTTTCGATGGTAAACTTAAATAAAAAAATAAAAAAAAATATTAACCTTCTTTTTAAAATTTCTCTCCCTTGTGTATCGACTTTTTGGGAATTTAAAATTGAGTCTTGATCCTAATATTTTAGTATTTGGTTGTGTTAAGGCCTAGTGGAATTGCCAGGGTGGAGACCCGATTTAAACGGGCCGGGCACCCAACCTACGACCCAATACACAGCAACCTCTTTCCCTAATCAAATCAATTGTTTGTTCAAGCTTTGAGAACCAGGAAATATAACCCTAGAAATAAGACGACGAAAGACGTTAGCGTTTTCGCTCGACTTCGATTGAGAATTTCCACCAGAATATATCAGTCGATTGCAAAAAGAGATAACCCAAAATAACGAAAAGAGAGTTTTATTTTATCGGTTAAAATCGTTGTTCGTGTAAGAGAAATGGGAGAAGAAGAGGGAAAGAAGAGGAGGGTGGTGGTGGAGTCATTGGGCTGGCTAACAGAATCGTCGATATTGCCAAAGAAGCATAGAGCTATAGAGGGAGTGGGTCCTTCTTCCATTCTTGAACTCAAAGCCCAACTCTACAAATCACAGGAGGAGGCCAAGGTTTCTAAGCAATCCTCTGCCTTCGCAGCCGCTTCAGATGCCAATTATCACCGCGCCAAGAAGAAAGTCACTCCCTGCGACCCCTTCTCCGCCAAGAATTCCGGTGTTGAATCCCGCGCTCTGAAGTATCTATTTTGTTTTTCAGCGCTCTATTTAATTTAGGGTTTTCTCTACGTAATTTTGAATAATCTATTTATAAATGATTATTATTGTTTTTCTCTTGAAATTCAGGGACAAGCTCGAGCTTAAAGCGGTTAAGGATGGATCAGCAAGCTATGCAGCATTGGAGAAGAAGGCAGAGCTATATGATAAGTTAGTAAGAGGAGAGTTATCTGATGAGGAAGACAAGGAAAAGTATTGTGTTGATTTTTTCCGCAAGGGCTTTGATCAGGAACACTCTCAGCCGCCACAAAACCGAAGCTTTGACGCATCTGATGCAGTAGCTCCGGAAGACGAAGACGGTGACAATGATGCCTCTTTGCTCTTCACCTCAAAATTTGTTGGGCCTGGTCGAACAGCTGGTGCAATGGATAAAGATGAGCACAAACGTTTTGTGAGGTAAGGCTTTTTAAGCTGTAACTTCTGATCCTCTGCACTATTGTAATACTGTAATATTCTTCTTCTTAATGGAAAGGAACAAACTTGAGGGTCTGGATTTTGAATTAAATACGGAACTGGCAATGATTAGTGACACTGTCTATTCCAAAATAAGAATTGAAAGAATACCATGATTGAGAAATTGCACTAATTTGTAACTAAGATTGCATTTGTTTGTATCTGGTCTATGATTCAGAAATTACACTAAGTTGTAACCTGATATAGAACTGTTTTGTGTGGTCAAAGATTGTATTGTTCCATTGAATTGCCATTGTAGAAACAATGAGATATTTTGCACTTGGCCAAGTGTTTTTGTGGAATACACTATTTTATTGTCAACAAAGTTTTGGTTTTTATCTAGTTATTGTTGTCTTTTTTGTTTTTTTACAGTTTTGTTTGCAATATATTCAGCATTATAACTATATTTTACAGTAGCTGTGATAGTGGGTTTGTAGGTATTTCATTCTACACATCTAAGCAGCATCTTAAAAATGGTCGGTCACATTTGGATTCCTGAAATATCTATCTTACTTGATGTTACTTTCTGATCAAAATTTTAGTCCACACTACCTAACAATCTTCAGTCAGAATTGAAATCACTTCGATGAACTGACAATAGATTTATGAATATATAATCATGATTTGTGTCTTTTATCTTGTGGTTGTACATATGTTTCTGAAATGCAAATGTGACTATGGAAACATTCTGAGTCATCAATTTGCGGGGATGGGAAAACAACTTTTGCTAGATGCTTCGTATACTAACGCAGCAAGAGGGAATAATATGCATAACACAGAATAGTAGTAATGCTGTATAAGAACAAGCTGTCACTTTATTAAAATAGAGTAGAAGTTTGATCAGTGTATTGATTTGACTCGGGTCTTAATTTTATAGCATGCACTTTCCTCTCATTTCATTTTTATTTAGTGTCTCTTATCTGATTTGGTCTTCCATCTGTTGTCATCTGTATTTTGCCCTATCGGTGTCTCTCACATGATTGTGCTGTGTTTTCTTTTTCAGGGAAGTTCATGAAGAAGCAAATCAAGCAAGGGAAAAGGTATCAGAGCTCAAGCTGCGTAGACAGGAACAAGCAGCAGCTCATAGGGAAAAACTAAGACAGGCATATCTTCGTAAAAAATTAGAGAAACTGAAAGCTGCATCAAATGCAGAACAGATATGATTAAGGAAAGGTGGGAGGTGATCCATATTGTTCGATCTTAAGATCTAATTCACAAGTTCAGACAGTGTGAAAACGTGACACATGAACATATTGGAAAATGAGAAATTTTTGTCGAACCTATTTTTTCTCTTTGTATTATAGAGCCCAAAAGCATCCTCTGCAGCCAATTGTCTGGTTTCTTTAGCTGTCTTGTAAATGTTGTTCAATGAGATCAAATAGATATTCAGGTTTAGACATGTTGAAATAATTATTTTCTGATTTTTGCTGTAACTGAAAGCGTTTCCTTAATGTTTACTTTCAGGATGACACCTCTACTTATTTTTCGTTTGTTTTTTTTTTTTTTTTTTTTTTCTTTGTATTATAAAGAGCCCAAAGCATCCTCTTGCAAGCCAAATTGTCTGGTTTCTTTAGCTGGTTCTGTAACATTGGTGTCAATGAGATCAAATAGATATTAGGTTTAGAACATGGTTGAAAACTAAATTATTTTTCTGATTTTTTGCTGTAAACTTGAAAGCGTTTCCTTTAATGTTTACTTTCAGTGATGACACCTTCTACTTATTTTTCGTTTGTTTTTTTTTTTTTTTTTTTTTTTTTTTTTTTTTTTTTTTTTTTTTTTTTTTTTTTGTTTCGAGCAAAACCAAGTCACCATTGCATGCGTTTTCATGATTTTAGGTTCATCGAATAGTTTATGAATCCCAGCATTCGTTTAAACTTCTATGCCAGCCTTGGATCTGGTTCGCTGGTGATGGCACGTACAAGGCCAAGGCTTCTGAACGCAGAACATATATTTTGATTTTCATGAATTTTGCATCCTCTGCAGCCAATTGTCTGTTTTCTTTAGCTGTCTTGTAAATGTTGTTCAATGAGATCAAATAGATATTCAGGTTTAGACATGTTGAAATAATTATTTTCTGATTTTTGCTGTAACTGAAAGCGTTTCCTTAATGTTTACTTTCAGGATGACACCTCTACTTATTTTTCGTTTTTTCTGTTTTTTTTTTTTTTTTTTTTTTTTGTTTCGAGCAAAACAAGTCACCATTGCATTGGTTTTTCATTGATTAGGTTCATCGGTTTTTTTTTTTTTTTTTTTTTTTTGTTTCGAGCAAAACCAAGTCACCATTGCATGCGTTTTCATGATTTTAGGTTCATCGAATAGTTTATGAATCCCAGCATTCGTTTAAACTTCTATGCCAGCCTTGGATCTGGTTTGCTGGTGATGGCACGTACAAGGCCAAGGCTTCTGAACGCAGAACATATATTTTGATTTTCATGAATTTTTCTGGGGCTCTGGGGAATTCCATGGTTATAAAATGAAAGTAGATAATAAAGGATAAAAAAATATTAATTATATTTCGACTTCACTGGGGATCGAATCCAGAATCTCTGGTTCCGTAGACCAGCGCCTTATCCATTGGGCCATGAAGTCACTAATAATACAGTAAAAGGATAAATAAAATATGTATATAATGTAGTGTAGATAACAGCCCCCACTATGAAACTCACTCGCTCCTTGTTATCGCAAGGACATGCCAATTACTGAATTAGTGCACACTTTTACCAGTTCATTTATTGAGGGAAAAAAAAAAAACCTCTCTCATTTTTACTCTTCAGCATATATACAAATGCAAGCAGTTGCTACTCATACAAATTTCTAATTCTAAAACCAGTATATAGGATAAAAATATTAAAGCACAAAATTAAACAAGTGTCCAAAGCAACAAGCTGAGTCTGACTTTCAATTTTCACACGTCCAACATGCACTGTACCCCACTATTAACCACCTCGCCACCTTGCTTATCCTTACCAAACAAATTAGAGGACTGCTTCCTTAGCAAGAACTTCCCTGTCGGTGGGACCCACAAGTTAAGCAATCCTTGTGGCCGACCAGACGGTCGCCATACCTGTACCGTCATGCACTGGATTGGATTATCGGCTGGTTCATCAGGTTTTCCACCTTTCAAAACGTCACAAAGCAAAATCCTAGCACTCCCTACCATTTTATCGCTAAGGTGACCATGAGCGTATATGTCAACGTTCAATGCTGCCATGACATCATTCTCCAACAGCTTCTGCCTGAAACTTACCTTGACTGTCTCGTTCCATGTCGGATCGGTGCCACCGTGCTCGTCGATGTGGGTTCTGGCTACGTGCACATATTTTTCGACGTAGACAAGAGCGTAGGGTTTCATTTTGGTAACATGACTGACGTTCTTGAGATTCTCGGCTGAGATTATCAAGACTTCTATTTCTCTAAGTTGGTCCGCTGGGTGGTTCTTGCTGTGGTGATGATATCCGGTCACTTGACTCATTTTCCTGCGGTGGTTAACTTTGCTAATTGAGAGAGAGAGAGAAAATTTAGGATTGGAGTTGATTAATTAATGGGTAGTACGAGCTTATTATTTCTTTTTATATATGAAAAAAAAATTTAAAAGACGATGATTTAAGTGTTTGTGATAACGGTTACTGATAGATGATGAGGAAAGAAAGGCACAACTATCAACTAATAAAAGGAAAAGAAATTGGAATCCAAACTTCGAAAATTGTAACCCTTTTACGGAAGGGAATTGCCGTCTAAATCTATCAACTTGCTATAGGGAGGTTTAGTAGTAGACGGTCCCTCTGATCCAAATTAGTAGTGGAGATTGGAGAAATGCTACACGTTAGCCAGAAACTAGGTATACGATTATTTTATTAAATTAATGATAATATTTATTTAAAAAGATCTCTCTCTTGTACATAGTGTAAGTTACTTTCAATATAAAAATTACTTTAAATGCAAGTTATGACTTTAAATTAGGGTTGTGTATCATTGATTTGGTTTGGTTTTTAAATAATTAAAATTTATATTACTAGAAATTCAATTGAATAGAACCGAACTAAAATAAAAGAAAAAGCAAACTGAACCAAATTTTATTTCCATATATTCCATCCCTTGTCATTTTATTATTTTGAAAAAATGAAAGACAAACTAGATTGGTGGCTTTTTTTTTTTTTTTTTTTTTTCACTAGATTGGCTGGCCTTTTTCTTTTTTTTTTTTTAATATCACCAATAGTATTCCGCACCTATTATCGGGAACCACCTAATCTGGCTTCGAAGCTTAAATTATAGATTGGTGTGCTTTGCATTTAAAGAGTTTATATATATACCACTTCTTAGTTTAGGTTGTATTAAAATATTATATGAATAAATATTAAAAAATTTTTTTTTTTTTTTTTCCCCCCCCCCCAATATTTACAAAATACAAATTTATCTACATTACTGAAACAACCAGTTAAGCAACACAAAAATTTGAAAGGAAAGAGTTGGAGGCGTTTTTGAGGCAAATAATGATTGCAGGAAGGTTAAGTTTTGCCGTTTCCACAGTTCCAGGGCTGGTAAGAAATATAAATTAATTAACAAATTGGGCAGCACTGCTTACCTTTAATGATTTTGCTTGTTGCGTAAACCAAAATAATTTAGCTGTCAGATTCCTTAATTATTTCCATAATAATCCCGTATAAATATTATTTCTTCAATCCCCCATCTGTTCTTTCGTAAACAAGATCTCAAAACTCCCGCCTTGCTAGTTCTAAATTCTTTCTTTCTGAAAATTTCTTTCTATTTCTTGTTGTTAGGCCTTTCTTAAGGAACTTGGTGTAAAATGAGAGGGTTCAGACATTGTCATGTCTTTTTTTTTTTTTTTTTTTTTTTTAAATCACCAATAGTATCCGCACCCTATTATTCGGAACCACCTAATCTGGCTCGAAGCTAAATTATAGATTGGTGGCCTTTGATTAAAGTTTATATATTACCATTTCTTAGTTAGGTTGTATTAAATATTATATGAATAAATATTAATCAATATTACAAAATACAAAATTTACTAATACTGAAACAACCAGTAAAGCAACACAAAATTTGAAAGGAAAGAGTGGAGTTTTTGAGGCAAATAATGATTGCAGGGAAGGTTAAGTGCCGTTTCACAGTTCCAGGCTGGTAAGAAATATAATTAATTACAATGGCAGCACGCTACCCCTTAATGATTTTGCTTGTGGTTAAACCAACATAATTTAGCTGTCAGATTCCTTAATTATTTCCATAATAATCCCTATAAATATTATTTCTTCAACCCCCCATTGTCTTCGTACAAGATCAAAACTCCCCTGCTAGTTCTAATTCTTTCTTTCTGAAAATTTCTTTCTATTCTTGTTGTTAGGCCTCTTAAGAACTTGGTGAAATGGAGGGTTCCAGAATTGTCATGTTCTTCCCCATCTACATTATGATTCTTATGGCTTTTACTGCTTTTGGAACCTCAGCCGCCGTTGAAGACTTGGGGGGAATTGCACCAGCGCCGCTCCAGAGCTCTGGGGAGGCTCTGGGAATTCCAGCTGCTCTTGCAGTCATAGCTTCACTGGCTGCTTGGTTCTTTTAACTTTGGTCATTTCTTGTTTTTGGTTATTTGGTGAATATTTGAATATTTGCTTACTATTCATGGAGTGCTCAATTCTTTTATTTCAGTCCACTTTGTTTATTGTCCTAAAGAACTGAGTGAAATGGTGTTTGGTTAAGAAAGTAAATGAGCTACCTATCGTACTTTCTAAAATCCAACTCTGAACCCTTGATCATTGTACTATTGTCTTATGATTCTTGAATGTATAATATTTGAATACAAATCAAAAAATTCAAGTATATTCTTGTTTTCCTTTATTTCAATTACTGCCTATAAAACATGTCATTTTTCTTTTTTAACAAATGTTACACAACATCAGAGCCAAGAAAATTACTCACTATATTCTATGGAAGCAGCCAAAACAACTAGCTAGGTTTATCTACTAACAAGTGAAAGTAGGCAACAAATAACATCAGAAATATTATTTTATATGTAAATGCTCTGGCTTGAAGAAAGGATTACCGCTTTCCAACAATGATCATCTTTGCTTAATGGAACCAAAAAGATCTGTATAAGAACGCTTAGGAGCATCAGCACGAGAGACAATTTCCACAACTTTGTATGACGATTCTGGATGGACTAAGGCCTCGACAGCAACCTCTGCAACCAGATCTCTGGATATTGATCCTTCATAAAGAGTATCCTAGTGAAACAAAAAGAAAGAGATCAAGCCAACCACTCCTTATACATAGAGAGCAAGGAAAATAATCTGAAAGGTTTCAGATGAATCCAAATACCTCTGGCTCCATAACAACATTTCCAGTTGGAGGGTCATTTCTCAACCCGCCAGGTCTAATTATTGTGTAGTTTATACCAGATCTCCTGATATACTGCTCAGCCTGAAGCTTCGCTACTAAGGTTAGTCCAAAAACATTGAGAAAGATGTAAGCTGGATTGAATATTTGACCCATTGCTGCTCCATTGACTAAAATGGAGCTAATGAGAATGAATCTATTAACACCAAGTTGACGGCATGCATCAACAAGGTTTACCGTTCCAAAATTATCAACCTGCAAAATGCAAAACTCTATAAATCAATGCCATATTACTGCATATTAGCTGCATGATGAACGCACATATTCAACCATCAAATTACTGCATGATTTGTAATACTAGGAACTATAATATACATATTGCTGCATGATAAAAGTATATTCAACCATTACCTTAAAATTTTATGCGAGGATTGTTATTATGGTATACACATACGGGTACAAAAAGCACTTAGAGAGAACCATGAACATACCCCCATAGCATTATATGAAGCAATTCATACACCTTTCATGTGTCTTTCTGGTATATTTACCACAACATTTCTAGCATAGTTGACTAATGGAATTTGTCAAATCCAGGAACAGAAGAGAACAAGCAGGCTTTCAGAGACCTAAAGCAGTACAGTGACTTGTGCTAGTGGAATTATACTGCACCTAGATTAGCACATAGCTCTCATCTGAGAGGCCTTTCCTGATCGAGAATATATCCAATGTTTGCTTATAATTACGAAAGTACAATCATCACCCATAATAATAGCACTATTAATGTGCATATTCCTCTTGTAAGCAAATGGATATTGCAGAAAAAGTAACCAATTCTTTAGCAAATGGAACATCATAATGAAAAATAACAAGTGTAAAGCCAAAATCATTGAAATAACTATTGAAAATTTTAAACTATAGTGGCTTGAAATTGAAGTGAAGTACAGTAGTACAAGCCTATAAAATTCATTGCAAGAACAAGAAAAATAAGTAACTAACCCTCCACGGAGCAAACAAGTCCAAACCAGGCCGAAACCCGGTAGCGCATATTACAGCCTCAGAATCACCCCCTATTGCTTCTGCTAATTTGGCAGACCCCTCAGTTACATCAGCTTTCACCTGAAACAGAATTAGAAGCCTCAATAAATGAACAAAAAAAAAAAAAAGAAATCACAATTCTAAAAACTATAAAGAACCCAAATAAGTTTTGATGGGCTACTTAAATACTAACAATTTGAAGAGATGGGTTATCACTAGAAAAGGTAGTCTTGGCCTTCTCCAAATCTCTAACTCCAGCCTTGACCTCAAAACCCTTCGCAAGTAATTGCTCCACAATCCTTTTACCGGAACTTCCAGTGGCTCCAGCCACAAATATTTTCTTCTTCCCATTCACTTTTGTTTCTGTTATCTCTGTAATTTTCTCAGTAGTCGCTTCACTGCCTTGCATCTAACAACAAGATAAAGAAACAGATACGCACACATTATAACTTACGAATGCCAACCATTACTGAAATTCACAGTTAAATAGGAATACCTTAATGGAATTGAGGGAACAAGATCTGGGTTTGGAATTAGTAGAGAAAAAATTTGCAGAGAAGGGTTTAGAGAAAGAATGTTTGCGAGTGGCTTGTAGAGTCCAATGGGGAGAACTTTTTAGGATTAGAGTGCCCATAGAAATTGAATTGAATTTGATAGTTTCCGGTTTCCTGAAAATTACGTTTCGACCACTATCGCCATTCGCCGCAAAATTTCTTCTTCCATTATGAAGTTACAACTGAACCACGTGGCACATTGCTATCCCTTTATGAATAGTTGCAATTTCTTTGTGGAATTCTGTTTTATTTTTAAATATCAAGCAATCTTTATTCTTTGAAATACTCCGAAACGGGCAGTCGTTCGTCGACTGCGTGACATTTTGGTTGAGCCCTATAGACCCGCTACACGACCTTTACATTATGCCGTTGGTTAACTCCATTGGCCAGTGTTTTGATTGCAAATTGTTTATCTTCCAGGTTCCAAGCAAAAGATGAATTTGATTTCTATATAGTAAAATTTCGAAACATTTCAAGCATTGTACTTTTGCTGTTACTAAAAAATAAAGACTGTAAATTGGAATGGAGAATCAACCAGGCAGCAGCAAATATAAAGAGTACGATAACCAAAGGGAAAATCTGCCCACGTCATTCCAAACGACAGAAGATGAACAAAAATGATTAAAGGCGTACATAACTTTTGCTTCCACAGGGAATATACAAAAATATATAAATAATACGCTGCTCTTGCAGTTCCAATCCAACTTTCAATTTCACTTCTAGACATCTTTCAGCAATCGCATATGGTATCTGCAGTTCCAACCTACATGTGTCCCTGAAATTCATTTCTTAAATTGTAACAAATGACAAGAAGCAAAATGTGTGCCCACTGAAAGAATGTCTACGGAGTTGTTTTAGCTCATGATACACCATGTGAACCTGTAACCTGCCTAAAATTTGCCAACCCATTTGTTTTAACTCATGATATCACCATATGAACGTTTCCAGCAAATATCATCACTTTATTCTCATCCTGTAGTTTCTGCAACAAGGACAGAGTTCACGGTAAGCATACTGCACATCTGAAAATAAATTCTATGAATCCAACTTCAGTGGAGGCAGGAAGAGGACGGCTACCCAATTTGTTTAGATATCTTAAGAATGAGAGAATTACTAAAATTCCTGCCTCATAATCCCTTCCAGTCAAATTGAATTACCTGTAATAGGAGCATTATCTCTTCTCTCGAATAATGAACATCTCCTGTGTTGACAACCTTTTCCAGGTCATCTATTTTTGTGCTATCTAAATGGCGCATATGCTCACGGAATGTAGAATTAAATGCTTCAATTCTGCAAAAGCCAAAGAAGCACAGAAAAACGAGAAAAGCAGGCATTAAATCAGGAGATTTTTTACCTATAATTGATATATCGGAGGAAGGGTGCAAAGCAATTCTAGTAGATGCTGTTATCAGACCTTTCTGGGGAAAGCTCAGTGGTGGCTTGCTCTGCAGGAGCATCATCTACTTCCATGGCATCTGTCGTTGAGCTAAGCATAACAAAAAAGAAAAAGGTGAAACAGAAAAACCATGGACTAAATAAAGACAGTAACAAGAAGATTGTTTTATCTCTGTTGATTCCGATGCAATCTATTCTTTTTTCTATTTTTCAAGAACCATGCATGACTTAATTTAAGTGGTAATCAGATACTGTTCATTTCTACATTCTTGGAACACCATGCCTATAGTAACCAAATTACTCATGCAGTATCCACTCACCCTTCTATATCAACAGCAGTATGACCATCTTCATCACTTCTACCAGAAGTGTGCTCAGCCCTGTGTTTTCTCCCTAATTCTCTCTCCCTCTCTTGTTCACGCTCCTCCATCTCAGTTAACTCTTTATGGTATATTGCAAAATTTAAAACCTTAAGTGCAGCTTCGACATCAGACTTAGTAACCTGCAAAGTAAATCATGCACTATCAGCCTGGATAGCAAGCATAAATACCAATTCAATTGATGGACCTATGAGCTGGCAATAATGAAAACAGAGAGAAGAATGAACGGAATCTCGCATCATCAAATTGACAAGGTAGAAACACAACAATGATAGAAACTTACCTTCCTACTCAATTTCAATTTGGCATGAGCAGTGGAGAGACGAATCATGGTTTCCAAGGTTCTGGCAGTGATTGGAAGCGTTCCTCCAGTCTACAAAGAGTAAGCATCATATCAGAAGATGCAGACATTGACAATTTAGCAGGTTTAAATGACCCTAATTGCAAACCAACCTTTGCAGTTGAACTAGAACTTCTGAGTTCAGCATATGCTGTCGCAATTTGTTCAGATGCCTGCACATCAAATATGCGAATTAACTGTGTCAGATACACAATATTTAGGCAGCATGCCGAGATAAGTATAATGACCACCAAATTGTTCCCTTGGAAAAAAAAAATCTATTTTAATGTGCTACTGTAGTAACAGCAGACAAACATCTAATGTGAAAATGAATATATCACAGAGAATCTCAGGTAGTGGAAAGCCTAATGACCTCATCACTCAGCTCAGGCTGAATCCTATGTTTCGCATAATGGATGTACTTCTTAAGAAACTTGATTGTAAGGGTATCACGCTTCTGACCCCTTCCTGTTTTCTTCCCATGAAGCATTCGGTTATATTTGACAAAGACAGATGAGTCGGCATCAATTTCATCTTCTCTTCCATATCTTGGGGCACCATCAAGTGCCCCGTCACCTGAAAATTCCAAGATTCTCCTATTAGGCATTTTATTACAGTAGCATTCAAATAATGAACAGCATAATTCACATTTGACACACCTCCATCAATTGCAGAACGGTATCGATGCATACGCAAGACGTGCTCTGATATATGACGGTCAATATCAGGATCCATTTGATCCAATACTATGAACAGTAAATCAAAACGAGATAGCAAAGAGTCCGGAAGCCCAATGTTCTTTGTTGGTGTCAATGAGCGATCATACTGTGCAGGCATTTAGCAACCATCAGAACTTTTAGCAATTGGAACATCAATATACAAGGATATCCACTACCCACATCTAAAAATAGTGTTAAAATCAAAAGTAAAAATTCACACTTACAGTTCCATATATGGGATTTGCAGCAGCCACCACACTACATCGAGCATTCAGAGATGCATGAATGCCAGCTTTGGCAATTGTAACAGTCTGTTGCTCCATAACTTCATGTATAGCAACGCGATCCTGATCATTCATCTTGTCAAACTCATCAATGCAGACAACCCCTCTGTCAGCAAGAACCATTGCTCCAGCTTCTAGCCTTCTTTCTCCTATAACAGTTAAATAATTATATATGAAGTTTTACTGAAAATTCGCCAGATGATAGATGATAGCTAGTTAAGTTTTTCACCTGTTTCTTGATCAGAAGTAACTGCAGCTGTCAATCCAACACCAGAGGAACCACGGCCAGTGGTTGATATGGCCAAAGGAGCAATATTCATTATTGCTCTTAAAAGCTGAGATTTGGCAACGGATGGATCACCAACCATCATCATGTTAATGTCACTAAAAGAACAAGAAATTGATTTATTGTGATTAGAAGCAGAATCTTATGCTCAGGCATTAAGAAACTATTCCAAATAACCAAATAAAACAGAAACTTGCATAGAAACTAGATGCCTCATATCCAGGTTCATGCACCTGTTTTAACATTCTGTTCCCTGATGATCAGTGACATAAAATTCTAAACAGAGAAAATGACTCACCCTCGTAAATGAGTGCCATTCTTCAAGTTTTTTTCCACTCCACTGAGCATCAGTAAAATGACTGCTTTTTTAATCCATGAATGCCCATATATTGAAGGGGCCAGTGAATTACCAAGTAAGTCAAATGTATCATCTCTTTCAGCAATCTTTTTAATGTTCTTTAAATCTTCTGGACTGTAAATAGGTGCATTGGCCTCCTTGTTGAGCAAAGAAACACTATTAGCTATGAGAACAGTTCTGCAAATGAAGATGCCTTAGTCAAGTTTCAAACGGGAAACTGTGATGTCATAAAAAGGAATGGAAAGATTTATGCAGCACATGTTCTGCTGGAAATGGAACTACCTGAATACTCCATTCACACTACCCTTACTTCTGCCAGGAAGTGCTTTGTATATCCCTACAATAGCCACACGATCTCCAGGCTTACATGAATCAACCAGGTCATCCTCAACTATGACATCCACTGTTCGTGGAAGCTGACCAGGAGCAGCATTCTCAGGCACTTCTTGTATTGACAAGGTTTGGTGATCTTTATATTTGCACAATCCATATTCCGTCACTAATAAATTGCCATTTTCATCCTGAAAAAAATATATATCAGGAAAGGCATTGCTATAGTTATGATTAGAGACCACAGAAAGAGAGGACTTGAGAAATACCCTTGTAGGATACACAGAACCTGTGGGCAAGCCAACAGTAGATGTAATGTCACGATATTCCCGAGTTGTGAAACCCCCAGTTGTAGGGCAAAAATGAACACTTTTGACAACCTTTGGCCTTACAAGAGAACCTGAAATGAGAGAATATTAGGTTTACTCACATCTAGAAACATCCTCAAAGAAATACAAAAACACACTAATTTAAATTTAATACTCAGGCCTCTCTTATGTAGATCAGGCATGTGCAATAAGTTTACATGACAAGAAATTGCTGGTTATGCATTCTTTCTAGGTAAAATTCAACATTAAATATGATTAGAAATGTTGCACACAAGATAATGATGATTCCATAGAACTATTTGACAAAACAAAGGAAAAAGCGGGCAGCCGCAACTTGGAATCCTTCGAAGATTCTGATATGCAAATGAACATTGTGTTTCAAAAGTTTGCTCAACCTTAACAATCTCATTAAGCATAACATATTACAAACTTATTCAGCCAAAATAAGATCATTCTACAAATTAATCGGTGTTAAAGATGCAAAATAGCTGCAAAGCCTCCAATGTCTCACAGGCTGACATTCAGCATCAATTTTTTTACTCATGGACAACCCAACACCAACACACCCCCCCCCCCCCCAAAATACCCCCCAAGCTCCAATGTCTTCACAGGCTTGTACATTCGCATCAATTTTTTTTACTTCATGGGACCAACCCAACACCAAACCCCCTCCCCCCCCCCCCCAAAAAAAAAACAAGAATAAAAGAATTCCACTCAAATTTAAATAGAACCTGAGTTCACACTATAAAACATCAGTACGAAATTAAGATTCCATCATATGTAACCGATATCATAACAAATTTTTTGAACGCAAATATAGCCAATCAAAATGAGGAAAAAAAAAAAAAAAAAAAGAATAAAAAGAATCCACTCAAATTAAATAGAACCTGAAGTTCACACAAAACATCAGTACGAAAATTAAGCATTCCATTTTCATATGGAGTTACGATAATCCATAAAATTTTTTGAACAAAGATAGCAATCAAATGAGGAAAAAAACGACAGAATTAAATAGCAGAATTCAGCAATCCAAGTAAGTGGAATTTTAGTAAAAGGAAAATTACATTTTGTGACTATCCCCTCAACACAGACCATCGAACCAATGAATTCAGAAAGAAGTTCCCTTGGAGTGACACGGCGTGATACAAAAGGGCCCTCAAAACCCACGAGAACTTGCTCTCCTTCCTTCAAATACTTAGGATCAATGCTACGAGCTATATCTGTAGCCGCATCACAGAATGGTTGCATATACTCACCCGGGTTCTTGAGAATCCTAAAATCCAGCACAAAAAATAAGAACTCCAAAACACTCATTTTACAAATTAAAGAAAAGAAAATACAACACAAAATAAAACCCAAAACTAAAACTGAACTAATGGTTTAACAAAAACTCAATACTCTCATATCTAAAAAAACACATAATCACATATAGCCAGCATATCTAAAATTTAACCATATGTTCTTTTGGATTGGTTGATTTGGTAAGAATTTTAGAGGGTAAAAGAATAAAACCTGGGACCAAAGTCCTGAAAAGCGTGAAGATCGGAGATATTGACTATGAGTCGGCGACGCTTGTGATTGATCATGGCCTTTATCTCATCCTTGTATATCTGGTTCAACAACCAAACAAAATTTCATTACATACATAAACGGCATGTGTGTTCATGTGCGTGTATTGTAAGAAAGAAGGGTTAAGGAGATATACATTTTGATCAAGAAATTCCAAAAATGCTCGCTTGTGGCTGCTTCGATCTTCATTAGTTGCCATTTCTTAGCTCTGGCCGCACTGAGTATTTACGCTGCGACAGAGAGAGTGAAGAGAATTGCAGATTAGAGAGAAAGGTAATGTTATGTGACCTGTTTTTGGACCCAAGAGACGACTAATGGGTTTGGTTTTGGCGGGAAAGAAGGATGCGAGTGACCTTGTTTTGGCGGGAAAGTGGAGGACGATAGCCTTAGATGGGCTTTTGTTTACCGGATTATCCATGAATTGATTTATTTTTACAAAATTTCCATTTTTAGCAACGACGTCGTAATGGGAAGGAACTTTTTATTTTTAGCACCCATAATTAAAAATATTACGTTTTATCGTTTTAAAAATATTATAGAGCAGTATTAATTAACTTTTTTGTAGTTTTAATTTTAGCTCTACTAAATACAACAATTACTTTTATAATTTTCTAAAAGAATTATTAAGAGTAGAATAATTATATGAGATTAAGAGTAATTTAATTTATAATTAAAAAATATTTTTATCATACGATTAATTATATATTTTAGTGTTTTACTGTTTGAACCTTGTATTTATTCTGGTGTATGAATAGAAAAAAAAAATTACGATAAAATGTCTGAATTATTTATATAATTGTCAAATTGCTGATAAATTGCGATAAAATATCTGAATTATTTATATAATTGTCAAATTACTGATTAACCAAATCTTAAAACTCAATTTCCCGTCCGATAAACCAAATTAAATACATGAACCCATCTCTAAACCATAAAACACAGAAATTTATAGTAATCAGTTACGAAAGAGGAACCAAAAAATAAATTAAAAAAAAAAAGGAAAACATCAAGAGCTCAATTTACTTTAAAAATAGTGGTACGCCTGCTAATACGCAAGTGAAGATTGACAATGAATATTTGGGTCCAAAGGACAAGGTCAGATCAGGATTCAAACCTTCACATTTCCTTGTCCTTTAAGTTGTAATATAGTATAATATATTGATTGCGACTGTTTTGTGAGGCAAAAGATTCAAAATAGGAGATGCAGAAGAACACAATTTTGATACTGAATTCATAAATCAAAGACTTCTACAATTGCTTGTATACGCCATATAATTTAGAATAGAACAAACCCACCAGCTTCATAGACCTCAAGCTGAAGTTCCAAGTAACTGAAAAATGAAAATATAACTACAATACAAAAATTCTTTCTTAAAGAAAGAAAAAAAAAAAAAGGAAGGAAAGAAGACCAACCACCTTAAGATACAGTTCATATCCAAATTATTGGGAGTGACTACTACAAATGGATGGAAGAAAATGACTATCAGTAACTCAAGTTAATCGATGAAGCCTCGTTAAACCTAGTCCATAAGCAACTCCTCTCAAGTAACAAAAACAGGCTCCTACGAGAAATGCAGTAAAAAGATATGGAGACAAGCCAGATGCTCAGGGCTTGAATGCAGAAAAGGCCACGACAGAGTTGTGTCCACCAAACCCAAAGGAATTTGAAATGGCTGAAAATACACATTCAAAAATTACCAAATTCAGATTATGGGTTTAAAGCAACATCAAAACAATATGCTGCATACTTTTGGCTACTTACCGACATTCACTTCATGCTGCTGCTTCTTATTGGCAACAGTGTCAAATTCAACAGATGGCTCTGGATTCTGCAGGCGTAGCCAAGAATATTTCAAATACAGACTCGTGAAAAGATTTTATCATTGATCCCAAAAAAAAAAAAAAATACCAAGAACCACTAAAGCAAAGGAATTAAAAAGCAGAAAATGATCTAACACATACAAATTGGTTAATAGTGGGATGCAACCATCCTGTGGTTATGGCCTTTGCACAGGCAATTGCTTCCAGACCTCCAGCAGCACCAAGGCAATGCCCTATCATAGACTGAGAAAAGAAAAAGCAGAAGAAATTCAATCACCCAAAAACAAGAGATCAACACCATAGCCTACTCAAGAGTGTATAAGAAGAGCAAACACAAGAAATCAGGGACAGAGTACCTTGGTTGCATTGATTTTGATCTCAGATGTATCCTTGAATACTTTTTTTATAGCATTTATCTCAGCAAGGTCACCAGCAAGGGTGGAAGTTGCATGTGCATTTATGTAGTTAACCTGAAAGGTGATTAGTTTAGTTATTAGTTCGTCAATTTATGGCACTTGGGAAATTGTACCAATAATTGTACAGACTCCTGATGGTGGAAGAAAGTAACTCTACTCTACTCCCACTTTTATGTTTTTTAACCTGACAGTAACCCTCAGAAACCTGTGACACATTTTGAATTTGATTTAATTTTGTCCAATTCACATGTTTAGAGCCCTAAATAAAAGGTGTAAGACCATTTTATGCTGATCTCAGATATATATATATATGTGTGTGTGTGTGTGTATATATATGTATATATATAAGAGAACTGATTTACAACGATTTCCCAATTTAGTTATGAATCAACTATGCTTTAAATAATCTAATTATAAAAGATCAAGACATCCCCTAATTTTTAATTCTTCCACCATGGTTCCACCAAGAGTAACATAGAAAATTCAACTATTAATATTCTGCTCATTCAAACAACTGGGAATTGTAAATCCATTTCATTTGACCAATGCAGCTTTAGGAGTAGGTGAAGGTATTCCTAAAACTTCCAAGATAATTACCCACCTTTTATAGCAGGCAAGCATCAGTCATAAAACAAAGAATTACCTCTTCAGGTGAGACACCGGCATCTTCAAGACTTCTTTCAATGCATGAAGAGACCCCAAGTCCATCAGCTCTTGGATCAGTCATGTGATAAGCATCGCAGTTTACAGCACCTCCCAAGTATTCGGCTATAATTGGTGCACCCCTTTTCATTGCATGTTCCAAGCTCTCCATCACCTGCCATAAAACCAAAACAAATGACTTTTAGACTCAAACACTTTGCATAAGCTCCAATACATTATTACCACATACATAGAACTTCACTCCATTATTAGATTGCATGCTGGACCAAGAGCCAAGAAAGATGTTCCGCATATGGAAATCTACTTTTCCCTTTTATTTTGGTTTAGGGTACACCCTTGTTACACAAATAGATACAAACTTACCAACACTCCAGCACCTTCACCCATAACAAAGCCATCGCGATCTCTATCCCAAGGCCTTGAAGCAGTTTGTGGATCATCATTCCTTTGAGATAAGGCCCTACATGCTACAAAACCTCCCAAACCAATAGGAATGATAGCGGCTTCAGTTCCACCAGCAATCATCAAATCAGCCTCACCTCGGCGAATGTGATTGGCAGCAGCATAGAAACAATAATTGGAGGTAGCACAAGCAGTTGAGATCGAATAATTTGGACCCATGAAACCAATTTCCATTGCAAGCAACGCAGACCCCATGTTTGTAATAGCATAAGGAATAAAGAATGGGGTAATTTTCCTGTGTCCTTTCTCAATTAGAGCCTGAACACCATCAGAAAAGACTGTAAGACCACCCATTCCAGTTCCAACAAGCACACCAGCTCGCTCTTTATCAACCTGCAATGCACATAAAAATAAGCAAGTGGCTTAAACAGAGTACATCAATGTAATTCAGCAACCAACACAAAGCAAATAATAAGTGGTAGGAAAACTGTCCGAGCACTGCGTATTCTTGTTGATTCCCAAGTGTTAGAAAAAGAAAACCAATTTAGAGAAGAAAGAACAGGGTATTGGTTACGTTAACCTATATATAATCAATGGTGAATTCAACATTGAAGTTTCAGAGAGAGAACCAAAAAAAAAAAAAAAAAAAAAAAAAAAAATCCCCAAGTGTAGAAAAAGAAAACCAATTTAGAGAAGAAAGAACAGGGTATTGGTTACGTAACCTATATTATAATCAATGGTGAATTTCAACATTGAAGTTTCAGAGAGAGAACCAAAAAAAAAAAAAAAAAAAAAAAAAAAAAGGAAATTTCAAGTGTAAGTTAACTTCGAAGATGACAAGAAAAGCAGTCAAATTTAAATGGAAAACCAAGCCAAGGGGGACAAAAATGTAACGAGACATAAAAAAAAAAAAAAAAAAAAAAAAAAAAGGAAAACTTTCAAGTGTAAGTAACTCGAAGATGCACAAGAAAGCAGTCAAATTAAATGAAAACCAAAGCCAAGGGACAAAAATGTAACGAGACATTCAAGAACAAATCAATTTGTCCTGCATGATTAGCATTTTCCTCAAGTGGCTACATAATATATAAAAACACCAAATCACAAAAGTTAATAATAATAACAATTGCTATCCCTGTTCGTGTGAATATTAAAATAACAATCAAACGACTTACAGATCCAAAATCCAAAACTAATTTGGACAAACCTTTGATAGATTATCCCCGCCAAGATCCGCATGTTCGAGAGACTTCTTACCTGCAACAATGCAATACCTCAAACAATCATCGAGTCTCCTATCATTCTTCCCATCAATATACCCTTGTGCACCAAACCCCCGGATCTGTCCAGCAAACCGGGTCGGAAATTTAGAGGCATCGAACCGGTCGATGGGTCCGATCCCACTTTCTCCAGCGAGCAACTTATCATAGTAAGCATCTACATCATTCCCAAAGACAGAAACCAAACCCATACCCGTAATCACGACCCTTTTTTTAGGGTCTTTCTCGCGCTTTGGGGCTGTAACAGTAGAGTTATTGGTAGATGATGCAGTAATGAAGGAAATTTTTTTAGTTGGAGGTTTCGTTGCATTGTGGGATTTCTTGTGGAAGGGACTTAGAGGGGATGCTCGTATAGATGGGGATTGGAGGGCTTGCATGGTGGCGGTGGTAGCTGCTTTAGTGGAGGGAGGAGGGAGATTTTGAGACGGCGATAACAACGATGGTTTGTGTTTGTGAAGGCGCAGCAAATTGAGCTACGCTAGCTTTTACAAATACGAGTAGCAGAAGAGAAGTTAAGCTACTTTCAGCTAACTGTGTGCCACGTTGGCATTTCGCAGATGAAGTGGCGGCCATGTTTTGTAAATTTTGTTTTTCTCGTTTCTATTTCTTACCTAATTATTTGCATTTTTCATTCCTAAATCGTTATGTAGCCAGTAATAAAATCAAAAAAATAAAAACTTAGGAATGATAAATAAATAAATTATTGAGTTATTTATTTTATTTTTATATTGCATTTTTCGTTCCTAAAACGTTATGTAGTAGTCATTTCAAAAAAACAAAAAAAAAAAAGGTTTTGTAGTTGTGACAAAATTAAAAATAATTAAAAGTGATGTAGTAATGGTGAATAAATAAATTATTGAGTTGCTTATTTTATTTTTATATTTAAATATCAAAATTTTCTTTTATTGATCTCATTTGATTGTACCGACTAACCTTTAACAATACTAAATTATTCTGCATTTATTCACTCACCATTTTGACTGAATTTTTTTTTTTAGGAGGATACAAGAAAATTAAGCAAATATTTTATTTATTCACATAAAAATAATATAATCGTCAAATATTTTCATAATAAGACATGAAATTCTGCAATAATTCTGAATTCTTTTGCCAAATAAGCTTTATGGAAAGTTTATATATTTGCTAAAACAATTACACAATAAAATACATTAATTAATTTAATCCATTATTTAAAAAAATTATTTCATCTACACTGCTATATTCTAAAAAATTAAAACTTTTCAAAATTAATTAACTTATTCACCAAATATTCATTTCAAACTCTTTTAATTTAACTCCATTGCAATCGTAAAGAGAAATTTTGAATTTTCTTTCGTTTAAAAATATAAATGCAAATTTAATCAACATAATCAGTGAAAAAATTAATAGAAATGCTTATAATGTGATTAAAAATAAAAATAAATAATTGGAGGGTGATTTAGACAGTATATAGACCTCGTTTATGGCCTTTGATAATATAATATCATAGCCGGATAAGGGTAATTAATCCATTAAAATGAATTATATTTCTTTTTTTTTTTTTTTCATCCATTCCATTAAATTAAAATAAAATAAAATGAATTGTGTAGTCCTTTGGCCCATTTATCCAAAAGCCCATTGAAAAACAAGTAAAGGTTTAACGCATCGGTTCATTCTAAAAGCGAAAACGACATCGAAAAGGTCCTTTGATTCGTAACAGATGCTGGTTGCAAAGAACTGAAGGAACCAAGCGACACTGCGAAACGAGAGTAGCTAGCAGAAGAGAAAAGAAGAAAGGGGCAGGCAGCTAATCATGCCGAAGAAAGCTCCAAAATCAAAGAAACGTAACTCTTCTTCAGCTTCCTCTACCTCTTCTAACGCCCTCAGGAAAATCTCCAATGGGTACCCATTTGCAGTTATCTATTTTGCCATATATCTCATTATTTTCTGTTGGTCTGTTCTATTTTAGGTCTGTTTTCTTGTCGCGCACCATGTTCTTCGGTTGCTAAGAAAACTAGAAACGAAATTAGACAATAACATACATTAGAAGAAATTTTGCTGTTTTTGTGTTTTCTGCGGTTTTGTGGTTGCTTTTGAAAATCCACCCTAACTATGAGAAATAGTTGTTGTTGGCAGCAGGCTTAGTTGACACTTGAGAGTGGATTTTCTTTTTTCTAATTTTTTTTTTAGGTTCCAAGTAATGAAAATCCGAATTCTGATGTGATAAAACTTGGTTGTTGTTGTTGTTTTTTTTTTTTTTTTTTTTTTTAGTTGACACTTTGGAGAGTGTGATTTTTCTTTTTTCTATTCTAATTTTTTTTTTAGTTCCAAGTAATGAAATCCGTAATTTGTGTGATAAAACTTGGTTGTTGTTTGTTGGTTTTTTTTTTTTTTTTTTTTTTTAATTTTTTGCATTTTAAATTTCATGGTATTAGATTTTTTTTTTTTTTTTTTTTTTTTAATTTTGCATTTTAAATTTCATGTATTAGATTGCTAATTAAATAGATTTTCTACATTTTGTGTCTTCTTAGCATGGATAAAGACAAGAGACCAAAGTCGAAAAAGATGCCAAAGAAGAAAACCGCGAAATTTGATGCTAAGAAGCCCAAGAAGCCCCCGACTGCTTTCTTCTACTTCCTGTATGTGATTTCTACCTTAATCTTGGAATTGTTTTATCTCTTGCTTGTGTTCAAATTATTGAGTTAACAAATTTTGCTGCTAAGCAGCTAAATGAGAAGCTTAACAGGCTAGTTTGTCCCGTCTTCTGGCTGAAAGTTGTCTTGAAATGAGCTTAGTGTTGAAATTTTATATTGTTTTTGTGCGATTTACTTAGCAGTTAGCACTTGATGCTCATAGTGACCATGTTCATATATGTAGTGTGAACTGTATAAAAATGCTTAGTAGAGGAGAACTTTATAAGTAGTTTCTTCTTCAAGGGAACACTACAATCTCTGCCTTGATTTTTGTTGATGAAATTTTAATATCTAACTGTTATAATATGCATGATATAGTTTCCGTCATGGCTTCTTGGCTATAGCTTTATTTTGTTATACCATGTGTGCATTATGTTGTACATTTATGTATGCATGTGGTTATTTGGTGGGGAAGTTAAAGTACAGGGAGCTTAGATGGTATGTGCGAAAACGAACTGTGCAAACCAAACCAAATTGATTTAAGTATCTTTCATGGTTTGGTTCATTTCATTTTTTTATATATGGCCATTATAGTTTTGGTTTGTACAAACCCTTCATAAACCAAGCTGAACTATGAACCCCTATGTAAAACTTGGAGCAGGGAATTACTCGTTTTTGGAGTGGTACCATTGGCACCACTCGTAATTTTTACATGTGACAAACAGGAAAAAAGAGACTTCTGTAAGAAAGAAAAAAAAACATGATTTTCTTTAAGACACCGAGGAAAGAAAATTAATGCATTTGCAATTAATGTGCTTGTAAGATCTAACATTCTAAGCAAGCATAATTATGAAGTTATCTATTTAAGCTTTTAAATGCTACATTTCTTTATTGGATCCTTGGATTTACCTGCAGTCTGCACATGAATTTGCTTTTATGCATGCTTTTCCTGAACTTCATCTTTTACATCATCTGAAAACCATAAAGTGGTAATAGTTAATGTTGAACTTCATGGTGCAGTTTGTGACATTTGACACTTTGGAAGTGTAAGGAACCATACAGACAATTAGGGTCAATGAAATAGATCTTTGTATCTGTCAGTTTGCTATTTTTATTAACATTTCATTTTATTCTTGCTTAAGCTAAGGTAACTTTCAGCATTATTAATTTATGGTATTCCTGCCATGTTCATCAGTGAATTTCATCTTATTTGTGACAGCTGAGAGCTAATTTGTTTGTTCCTATTTTTTGAATTATGATTATTATTGCTATTGTCAAGTTCGTACTCTGGAAAAATCATCCTTATTACTTTACTTGAACTTGTTCATGAAAGTTCTAGGCAACTAATTCTGGCAACTATAAGCACTTTCTAAGTTTTTCTCCCTGCTGCTAACTGGATTTACTTTGATTCTGAAGGGAGGATTTTCGAAAGGATTTTCAAGAGCAGAATCCAGATGTCAAGTCTATGCGTGATGTATGTTTTCTTGTTGGATTAATGCTTGGCTTAATTTAGTTTATCAATTCTCTCTCTCCCTCTCTCTCTCTCTCTCTCTCTGCATTTTATCATTCACATGTAAGTGAATTATGTAATATTTTCTTTTCAGATTGGAAAGGCATGTGGTGAGAAGTGGAAAACAATGAACTATGAGGTTTGTACAACATAGTTCATCATGCTTATATATTTGGAAAGGCAATGTGGTGAGAAGTGGAAAAACAATGACTATGAGGGTTTTGTACAACATAAGTTCATCATGCTTATTATATATTTATATATATATATATAATATATATATATATATATAATGAATATATGGTTTATTGACTGAAGTGGTATGCCTTATCCCTGAAGTTTCTTATAATAGATTGTCCAAATAATATAATAAAATAGTAGTTTCAAGTGATAACCATTGATTTTTAAGTAAATTTTATATATATGAATATATGGTTATTTGACTGAGTGGTATGCTTATCCTGAAGTTTCTTATAATAGATTGTCCAATATAAATAAAATAGTAGTTTCAGTGATCAACCATTGATTTTTAAGTAATTTCATATGGAGTGTAATATCTAGGACACATTTCCCAGACATTCTTAATATCTTTTACTTGAGAATTGTGGTATTTATTTCAAGGTTCTCTATCATTGAAATTCTATATTATGACTACTGATTGAAATTAATCCAAATGAACATTTCTCCTTAAATACACAAATACACAAAGATGTAGGCCTGCACTGTGGCAATGCCTTCAGTAAGAGCAACCCCGCTCCCACCTAGACACACAAATGTCACGGGAAGGCAGCCTGCCCTGAGGCCTGTCTCATGGGCAGCCTATCTGCATTATGTTTCAGAGTTGTAGGCCTTCTGTAAAGTAACCGTTGTGCAATTTAGTAAACTGACCCTTTTGCTGATGTTTACAGCCGCCTCAATTATTCTACTTGTTGTTAACCAATCAGAATCACTATCAAAACTTTCTTTTCTTTTGTGACAGGAAAAAGTTAAATATTATGATATTGCCACAGAGAAAAGAGCCGAGTTTGATAAAGCTATGGCAGAATATATTAAGAAAAAGGTATGCTTGTTATTCGATCTAATTGTTCGTTCTAGATTTCTGGTAAAGTGGTTATCGCTTTTTATGCCTGTTTGTGGCACAGTTTTAATATGTTCAAGTGACAATTGCAGGAAAATGGTGAATTTGAAGAAACTGAAAGTGAGGATGACTCTGATTTTAATGACTAAGATACTAGCATTGTATGGGATAATCATTGTTTCAGTAGGAGTAAGAGGTGCATGGCAGCGTGGAGACAGATTGTATATTAACCTATGGGCCACTTTGATCTTCTCTTTTCACATTTCTGCATGATTTTTGTGTAAATTTCTACTTGGCAATTACATCTAGGGATTGCAGAGAAGACTTGATAATCAATGTGAATTAACTCTTAAGTAAATAACAAAGATAGGATATCTGTCAGGAAATGTTACTGTTACAAGGTGGTTAATAGTGGACTTGATTCTTCCCCGTAGTTTTTTTTTTCTTCTCTCTCCCGTCTTATCTTGCTACTTTCTTATGATTTAGTCATTGCATTACTCGGGACGACTTCTTGGCATTATGGCATTCTATTTCTGCCTTCTTGGACAATTGATGTCTCCACAATCATAAATAAACGATCAATGCCACATTTTACACGGTCAAAGTTCTTTCTTCTGTCGTGGCTTGTCTACCAGATGGGATGCCTAATGCATCTGCAATACTTCTAACTTCTGCAACCATTGCGACCACATCATTCAGCTTGTTAACTGCTGATCCCACTCCCTGTGATTAAAATTGAAGCAAAAGTCAGTAATTTATTTCAGGAATAGCGTCTCTACATTTCGTTAGATCCAACTAATGGAACATGAATTGCTTACCACACCAGAAGCCCCTGCTGTGATTGCCATTGGTGCTGTTACTGCACTAAGTCCAGATGAACACATAACTGGAATCTTGACAGCTCTCGAAATCGAATATGCTGCAGCTAAGGTTGGTGTGGCCTACAATTGCAAATACAAGTTTAGAAGATGATGGATCAATACCCCTATTAGAGTCGATATATATTCAAGAAATAATTCGAGTTTCTGTAATTGACCTTTTCAATCAAACCAAGAACACCAGATTTTGAAGGACTAGAACACTTTCCTCCTTCAGTTTGTATAATGTCAGCACCGTCCTGTTCCAGTAACTCTGCAAGCTTGACCTATTTTGTAAAACAATAAATAAATAAACGTACTCTTATTTCACATTACATAAACATAGCTGAAATGTTGTCTATACCTGGTCAGGAAGGCATAGTGTGTGAGGCACAGTGACTGATAGTGTCACAGATGGTAGGGTCCTCTTAGTTTCTTTTGTTAGATTTAATATCTGCAGTAATTACTTCTTGAATTAAGATAAGGTAAACACCATAAAAATGATTTCATGAAATAAGAAACCAAGTTAAGTTGGTTATTTGCAGGGGAAAGAGAAGCCTGCAATGGAAAAAAAATTATTTTTTGCACCTGCTCGGGGGTGAAAACCACTCCCTTGTCATAAAACGAATCATAATTCCCAATTTCGACCTGCACATATGTGTCAACAATTAGCATTCTTATTTCCCATGTAACTTGGGCAAAATTCCATTGAAGATAAAGCTTAGGCTTGAAAATAAAATGATGGGAAATGAGTATTTGATCAAACCATTAATGCCCCTGCTTCAACAGCAGCTAGAAATGCTGCTGGTTCTACAGAAGAAACGCAGACCTGCAGATCAGTTAACCCAAAATCAAAGATAGAACTATTTGGAGATCTTTCACAATCTAACACATTTTCCCTTTCAAGAGTAAGAATTTATTACCGGAAGAGAAGTTAAGCTAATGGCAAGCTTCACTAATTCGGGGTCACAAGCTATATCCACATGTGTGGCTCCCCCCTGTGCATTTTATTAGAGAGAATGATAGTATAAATATTTCCTGTACAGTTCTTGACCAAACCATATCGAAGCATGACTCAGATAATTTATCATCTACCTTATCTGCAGCAGTAACAACTGAAGCAACATTTTCTTTGTTAAAATTCTGCAAACCTGAGATAATCTGTTCATTAACAAAAACCCAATCAACCAATATGAAACTGAATCAAAGAACAATAATAAGTTTCAACTCTAATTCAAGAAATGGAAATTTGTTTAAGTAACTGGTTCAGGAAAACTAAAATCTTGAACCAAATGGTCCATTTAAATAAGAAAGAAGTAGGGTTCTGAGGTTACCTTGAGTGCTCTTCTTTCATGGAAGTCTTTCAAGACTTTTTCTTTGGTAGACGAGAGGAGAGCTTTGGTAGTCAAAGAAGCTTTTCTCTTGAGAGGTGAAAGTGGCCTTGAAGCTAGAAAATTTCCAAGAAGAGGATTAGTGTTTGGCTTCAAAAGAGTGTTAGTAGGTGATGAAACTGGAGTGAAAATTGAGGAGTTCATGTTTCTAGTTTGGATTTCGGTCTCTGTCTCTGTCTATCACTTGGAGAGAAGAGATAAGGATATTACCATTGCAGCTTAAACTGTAATATTATATTATCTACTGAAACTGTGAAAGATATTTTTAAGTAAAAGAATATATATTAGGGAAATTAATTATTTGGTTCTGAGGTATGTTAAATTTATATAAATAGTCCTCGAATATTCACCTCATCCCTCACATTTGTTTCCGTTATAGTAAGTCATCCTTCCATCCATTTTGTAGTGCTTTTTCCGTTAGCTGTCAGGGAAAGGACGATAACAGGTGAGAGAAAACTTTGTAAATTGCCATCCTACCCTTGATGAGCCAGTATATGGCTTCTCGGTGGATGTTAGCGTGCATATCTCCAAAACACTCTAATACATGAAAAAATTAAAATGCCATCAAATTAAAAAGAACAAAAAAATCCTTTGAATTTAAACTTCAAAGAGAATGCATTTTAGTGTCATATTAACTTCATTTAAATTGAAATAAAAAAGTTACGTTTACATGATTTAAAGTTTTATTTGGAAAAGTGAGGAAATAAAATAATGCATGAAGAAAAACAAAATCGAAATTATTTAACATTAATTTATTTATATTTTTTTCTCCAATTTGGAGAGAGTTTAATCTTATGGCTCAAAGAGAAAAATAATACTCTCTCTATTGTTTCATTTTATTAACTTGTTCTTTTTTTAATGTCCCAAAATGTTTGCAAAATTTCTAAATTTATACATATAAAAAATTATTTTTTCCATAACAACCTTTATCCTTGTTTATTCGATAAAAAACTTTTATTAGCATTTTAATGAGTTATTAAGAGTAAAAATTGACAAAACAATTTTTATTAACTGAATTCTTAATACGTGTGTTTTGTCAAATCATGCAAACAAAACGGAACTGAGCAAGTACATATTTTCTTTGTTTAAATTTCCTCAGCCTAAGTATTTCAATTTTCATCAAATTATAAATATTCAACTGCATGTTTTATTTTCTTTGTTTAAATTTCCTCAGCCTAAGTATTTCAATTTTCATCAAATTATAAATATTCAACTGCATGTTTTTTTTTTAAAAAATAAAAATAAAAAGAAAATATGTACTCAAATGTTATTTACACAAAACCATAGGAGTGTTTCAGTAATTATTCTATTCCATCCATTTCTCCGATTCGATTTTCTGCAAATGGAAACGATGCAGTTTTTTATTTCTTCACTCCACAATTCAATTATTCCCTTGCCGGAAAAGGCACGCCACGATTTATTCGATCACAAACTTCGCCAAACTTCAATCTCCAACATGACACCTCAATTTTATCTCTCTGTCAAACACACAACCCATAATTCCCAAACCTATTGACATAAAAAAAGAAAAAAGAAAATGCTTACTCTGTTTTCTCTGTTTCCCTCGTTTCCTGTGTCTTCTCTGTTTCCTCCGCCACCTTCGCATCCTCCACCATGCGTCCACAGAATTCTCGGACCAAATCAATTCTCACCACCAAAATTCACATTATGGCCTTGGATGATAATATTATTATTGTTGAAGAGTTAGGGAGTGCTTCTCTAGTGCATGTTGACATGGTGGCTTTACGGGTTGGGACTTTGGTTTCTGGGTTTGGCTCAGTTTTTGGATGTGGGTTCTTGATGATGGCTTTGGTGAATTTAGTTCAGATAAAGCTCTGGATTTTGGCTTGTGGGAGTTTGTATTCCGTTGCTGCAATTGGTCCTTTGGGAGCTTGTATACTAAGGGGTGTTTTCGTCCTTTCTCTGAGAGCTAACGGCAAAACACTATATAATGGATAGAAGGATGACTTAATACGACGGAAACAAACGTGAAGAAAGAGCTGGATATTAATCTGGAACGCGAGTACTATTTAGATAATTTTGACATCCTTCAGAGGGTAAATAGTTAATTTCCCTATATATTATTATTATGATTAATAAATTTTTTACTAAATTTAATTTTGAATAAAAAAAAAGATATTTAACTAGCTTACAAGAGTGGCATATGAAGAATAATAAATCCCAACAGAATCTAGTTAACAAGATAATTAGCGGAAAATTAACCAAAAATACAGCGACGCCTCCCCCAACTTCAACGGACTGCCATGAATTCACCTACATTTTCAAAACTACTCCTCTTTTCTTCCCTTTCTCTTTCTCCTTATAGTTTTCATAATTTACCCTAGCAGAGGAAGAGACTCTGATTAATCGTAAACCATCATCGCAGCACCTTTATATTAGCTCGAGGTGGTGAGGAGGAGAAGAGGGGAAGCAAAAAATGGATATCAATGATCCGCAAAATTACTATCATGTCCCGCATAACAAACCTCTCCATTGTTATATTGTAAATGTAACGGCGGAGCATGGCTATTGGCAAAGCGAAAACCCCTTGTCTCAAGCCCTTCCTCTCTTAGCATGGCAACTCTCCATCGTCATTATGATTAATCGCGTTCTCTTCTACCTCTTCAAACCACTTGGAACCCCTCGCATCGTCACCGATATTCTTGTAAGTAATTCACAATAATTATCTGTATTATTTAATTACATTTCGTAATTAATAATTGTAGATGTGAAATATAATTAGGGCTTTAAATGAACAAATAATAAACAGATTTGTGTTGGTGCAGGCTGGTATATTAATAGGTCCAAGTTTATTAAGCAAAAGTCGTTTCTTCGCGGGATTGTTTCCGTTGAGAAGCATCTTCATAGTAGAAACGGTGTCGTTTTGGGCGTTGACCTGTCACTTATTCTTGACTGGTTTAGAAATAGACATGACTTCCATTCTCCGGGCAGGCAATAAATCCATCGGATTGGCCATCGTCGGCACTGTTCTCCCCTTTATAATGGGCATTTGTCTTTATTTGATCGAGGCTAGTTTCAGGGGAGGCCCTTATAGAAGCAGCGGCTGCGTATTTTGGGGCGCAGCTCTTTCGATCACGAGCTACCCTGTTGTGGCAAGAGTTTTAGCCGATCAAAAGCTCCTCCACATTGATATTGGAAGATTAGCAATGTCAATTTCTATAATAAGCGAAGTATTTGCATGGTTGATGGTATCTGTTTTGATTCCGGCGAGCGTTGGTCCAATGAACGCCATTTTGTCTCTTATTGCGACAACTGGGTTTGTAGCTTTTTGCTTTACGGCAATTCGTCCTTTTCTGGTTTTCATAATAAAGAAGAGTACAAATGGAAATAAATACAGTGAATATTGCCTCTGTTTCATTTTGGTATCAGTGTCTTTCTTCTCTCTTGCAAGTGACTTGTTAGGGACGACTTCGATCGTTGGGGCTTTTGTTTTTGGAATTATAATGCCAAATAGAGTTCTAGCGAGTGCGCTTTTGGAGAAATTTGAGGATTTTATTACGGCTTATTTGTTGCCTCTGTTTTTTGCTTCTATGGGGATAAGGCTTGACATTTGGAGCATAAGCAATTGGATTCTTGATTTGGTTATGATAATATTGTTCTGTAGTGTCAAGATTATAAGCATTTTCCTTGCTTCTCATTACTACCAACTTACTCGTGAGGATGGTTTTGCTCTTGGGGTACTTATGAATACCAAAGGCATTTTGACACTCATTATCCTTAACATGGGATTTGACAAATCGGTAATTATCTCTCTCAACATATGTTATGCAATTGATTGTGTTTATAAGGATAGAGATCGATCAGTTACAAACTTTAAAAAGAAATTAATTTCATACTCGAAAAGGGTGTGCCGATACTCCTCGGGAGGAAAAACTAATATTGATTGTTTCTATAACAAGTTAAGGGAGCACAAATTGAATTCTACATTTCTGACTATCATGCGTGTGAAATATGTTGCAGATTTTGCTACAAGAAGACTATGTAGTAATGATGCTTGCCATTCTAGTAATGACAGGAATCGTGCCACCTATCATATCCTCCATTTACAATCCCAACAAACGTCTATCACATTACAAGCAAAGAACAATAGTACATGCCAGACCCGACACAGAGTTCCGGATGCTTGCATGTTTCCAAAGCAGCCGCAATGTCGTCGGAATGATCCATCTCATAGATTGCTCCAACGCCACAAAAGAATCCCCTCTCACCATCTTCGCCCTCCACCTTGTCGAGCTAACTGGCCGTGCCTCCGCCATGCTCATTGTCCACAACGGAAATAAAAGCGGCGGTACCAGTAGAAACGCATACTCAGAGCAGATAATAAGTTCGCTGGAAACTTATGCGAATCTAAACGAGCTAGTCGCTATGCACCCGTTGACTGCACTGTCACCATTTGCGACTATGCATGAAGATATTTGCTGTCTAGCAGAGGACAAAGAAGTCGGTTTCTTGATCCTCCCATTTCACAAGCTACCAACCCCAGATGGAAAATTAGAAGAAGATGGTAGCACTTCATTTAGAGGTGTAAATCTAAATGTATTAGCAGATGCACCTTGCACCGTTGGTATTTTTGTCGACAGAGGATTTGGAGCTGTAGGAGAATCTAATCTCACTTTGCGTCAAATTGCTATGTTTTTTATCGGCGGCCCTGATGACCGCGAAGCATTATCATTTGCATGGAGAATGGGACTGACCCATGGGGTTTCTTTAACAGTTGTAAGGTTTATACCTGGAGAAGGAGTTGAAGATGCACTACGACAACAACAACAACAACAAAAACACCCTAACTCTGTTGATATAGCAGTAAGAACGTTATCAAATACGTCGTTTGTTGATAGACAAAAAAAGCTTGACGATGAGTTTGTAAATGAATTCAGGCTTAAATCTGCAGGAGTAGAGTTTATGAGTTATGAAGAGAAAATTGTAAATAATGACGAAGATATAATTCAAGAATTGAAAGGAATGCACCATATTTATGACCTATATGTTGTAGGGAGAAGCGAAGTAATGCAGTCTTCTTTAACTGCTGGGCTAATGGATTGGTGTGAGTTCCCTGAGCTAGGAGCTATGGGGGATTTATTAGTTACATCAACCTTTTCTCAAGGTTCAGTTCTGGTAGTTCAACAATATGCTGGTTACGAAGAAGACGAAGATGAAGATGACAATAAAGATGAAGAAGAAGGCAGTGTTAGCAATAGTCTGAACTCGCTGGAAGGTTCAAGGCTGCGTGCGACGGAGACTGTCAATGACGGTGGTCTTGTAATGGAGCCATTTCATAAAAGTGATGAACGTGTGTAGAGAAAAGGACTAATGCTAACACTAATGGGTTTGCTTTGTGTATCTCGCAACAACTGCTCTATGCAATTAATTGACCATTAATCCAATTTGATCTACTTTAATTAGTACTATGTTTCATCTTTGTATAGTTTTAATTATTTAGTTTGAAAAAATACTTTATTTCTTGAAGGTTTTTTCAATGAATTTATTTTTGAACTTAAATAAATTAAATTCTAATAACTAATTTATTTTTGAAAAAATACTTAGTTTTCTTTTTCATTAGAAAAATATTTTCTATTAACTAATTTTTCTTATTATCTCGAATATTAAAAAACTTGAAAAATATTTGTCTAAATCACTTTCTAGAAACAAAAGGAGCAGTAAAGAGTAAGACTTATGCAAGACTGAAACGTTGAAGTAATTTGAGTCAAAAATATTTGTAAGGACAAGGACCCTTCTTTAAGGCTGCTAGAAGAGACGAGGGTCCTTCTATCATCTATTCAAGTATATGTCTTCATATATAGAAACTCATCAACATGTATAGTATACCAAAGGTTGTGTTTTGCTCACTGCGGCGTCTGGCGTGTTGAATTTTGTCATTGTAGGATCTCAATTTGTAGTCTATCATTTTTGAAACCCAACCTAACTTTTCTCAAAATTTGATTATTGTGTGTTGACCCATTCAAATTGGTCAAGCTTTTGATCCGTTTGGTTCATAAATATAATTATGGATTCTCACACTAATTTTGATTAATTACTGCTCATCTTCAGAAGTTAAAGGTTGGTCTAAAAATATTTATATTGAAAATTAAATCCATAAATTTAAATCATAATGATTAATCTCGCAAATGTTTTTTACTATTGAATTACCTTATTCGGATCAACACTTTTTTTTTTATTTAATGAAACCTTTCTTATTTATTATTATATATTAATAATTTATTTATGAACTAATAAAATATGCAAAACTATCATCATATCTTCGCTGTACCCTTCAACTCTATTCCTTCCTCCTAGGACATAAAATTGAAATGTCTACCAATCCAATCCAAGCCCTTAAAAAGTGTAGGCCAATCATCATCATAAATCATCACATGTTGCTGGGACATTTTTAGCATAAACTTTTACCCAAAATTAAAAATATAATTTCCAATTTACAAGGGTAATGGTAAAACTAAAACTAAAAAAACTTATGTTTTGGCTAATTGCATAAGCTTATCTAACTGGCAAGATTAGTTTCTCAAAGTTGAAGCTAAGATTTGGCTAATATAACACCAAAACCTATCACATCTTAATAGCTGTTTACAAGTACAATATTTACTATTTAATCATATACTGGCACGTCAAAATATAAAAATCAAGAAAAGTCTGTTCATAGATTTATAGAACACATTCTTCCCCTGCAAACCAGGGAGATTGCATTTTCAATTCTTGTTTCTTCAATTCTTGTTTTTACGGGCGGCAGTTGGATAAATTTCCCATGGCCATGGCTTACAAGGAGTTAATTTCTCATTATTTTGGACGGTTGCTATGAATCATGCAGGCTCTGCTTTTCTTGGTAAATCTGCAGTGCCTTTGCCTTCTAGCTTTTGGCTTTTCTTCTTTTGCTTAGTTAGATTTTTCCTTTCGCATCATTAGAATTTGGAAACAAAGAAAATGTATCATTAAATAAACTCATATAAAGAGTAAACCTTAATGGTGGTTAATAAATTCATTGGCTGTTGTTTTAGTCAAAAAAAGAAAAAAAAAATACACAAAAATTCCCATTTGGATGCTTAAGGGTTCACTGCTTGTTTCCCAACCACACAGTATCTTTCTAGTAAGTGAAAATAACTGGTTTCCTAACAAAAACAGCAACAGCATCATGTTCATGGCTATGTATTTTCAAAATTATAAAGAAGGAAAATGCGAAAACGTGTAAATATAAAAAATACAGAAATATATTTATAAATCTAAAAAATAAATTACCGTAAAAGATATGAAAAATACATAGTGGGGCAATATCTCTGGAAAAAAAAATAATTTTTGGAGTTTGAACATAGTTGAATTATGGAAATTCAATGTTTAATTAATTTATATACAAGTTTGCGCCACTTCCTTACGAAACCTAGCTCCAGGCTACCCAATTTACTGAAGATATTTTCTTCACCGGAAATGTCAGCCAGAGATAGTTCATGGGTTGTAAAGTGCTGATTATTCAGCAAATTTGAGGCATCAATTCTTGAAAATTCTCCTTTCTTCGTAGAATCAAAAATAGCATGCAAGTCGACTGTGGACACAGCGTAAGAAAGACCGGGTTAAATCTTATGCTAGTTGCTGGTCGAACTTGAGACCCTCTACTGGAAATAAAAACAATGGAGGAATAATCAAGCAGAACAGAGCAACCCATAAATTTTGAAAAGGAGATAAAAAAATTGGTTCAATCCAGATTGGGGTTTTTTTTTACATTTTTTATTTTTTATTTTTTCTTCCCCAGAGATTAATTATTGGAAGAGCTCTATAGCTAAATGCATTATCTTAGGCTCTGCACACGAAGGAATTAAAATAAAGAAGAAACATTGACAAGTACTCTCTATTCCATAACTCTGTTTCAAATCAGCTCCATTTCAGAACTCAAAAACCCAAAATAACCCATTTGTTTCCATTGCACGGAGGAACTGACAGAGCAATTTTGACAAACACCTGCATTGACAGGTTTTCCATAAAAGCAAAATCACTCGCCACTCTCCTTGTCTCTCTCAACATCTTCGAGATAACCCAATGACATAGTTTTCAGTTAAACTTTTACTTTTACGAGGAAGAATGAAACTACACAGGCAACAAAATTACAGGGAAATTAAGGGGGAAAAAACCCAACATTAATTACAGAAGAGTTTAAATATGACAGCCGCAACATAAATAGAAGAAACACAAAGTAGCCACCAAAACAATAGCCTCGACAACAGAAACAACCTTGAAAAGAATATCATCAAAAAAAGATAGCTGAAAGTGAATTCTTTTCCATTTAAAAGCAGAACCCAAAAACCTCCATCTCCATCTCCATGCCTCCTTAATCTTTAGCTTCCTAAAAAGCCACATCTTTAACTTCTTTCTCCTGCTCTTGCTACTGCTGTTGACATCGCTGCTCTTTTCTATTTCCTCTTGCATAATTGTAAAACAACGTTCCCCTTAATTGTAAAACAACGTTTCGCTTTCTTTGATCCTTCTTCTCCGGCTATAGGTATACACGAAATTGCAAAGAGGGGCTAGGAATTGGTAGTTTATATTGGGAGGGGGAAGGTTCGGTTCGGTTTGGTTTTTCCTTTTCTTAATAAAAAAGGGAAAAGCTAAAAGCTAGAACTAGAAGGAGTGTGATTTATCATTTTTGGGGTTTGGCAAGGGTTTTTTGGTAATTTCGATAACTGAGCCGCGTTTTGATGGGTCAAAATCAAGGAAGGTGGCATCGTGTCTATGCAGACGTGGGAGGAGTAGTGGTTTTATAGGAAAAGGATTTTCTTGGCAATGTCTCTGCAAATCAAAAACTTCCCCACTTTTTTTAATTCCACTTTGAGTCTGCTTTGGGTTGAAACTTCATTTCCCCCCATAGAAAAAGGGATTTTCTTGGCAATGGCTCCTGCAAATAAAAAACTCCCCACTTTTTTAAAAATCCCACTTTGAGTCTGCTTTGGGTTTGAAACTTGCAAATTCCCCCCCCCCCCCCATCACCTTTTTTTTTTAGATTTTAAAAATCAATTTAACTCCATATCAATAGAATCGCCAATTGCAAATCGACATGTAAAATCATGTATTTTACACCCCCCCCCCCCCCCTTTTTTTTTTTTTTAGATTTTTAAAAAATCAATTTAACTCCATATCAATAGAATCCAATTGCAATGACATGTAAAATTCATAGTATTTTACACTCTAAATTAATTTATCAAATTTTATATTTTTTTTTCTAATATCTTACTAAAAATTAATATATGTTACCATAATTATTTTTAACTATTAGATTATAAATTTTAAGAAATTAAATTAAATTTTAAATTTATAATTAATTAAATCCTTCCACATTATTCTATTCATAAGTACATAAACTCTAACTCATGAAAACCAACAATACATTTTCACAAACTGGTGAGTTAAGATCTCATCTTCCATGGAAGAGAGTGATGTGAGGCTCTCTTTGGTTGGTGACAGTGAAAATTTTGTTTTATAGTTTGGTATATAGTTGGGTAGGATTTCATTGATTTTGTTATTTTCCCTTTTTTCGGTTTAAAATTATTTTATTATTTTATTTTTAGTTGTGGTCAATTCAAGTAAAAATTCTACAAACATTACCGATAAAGTGTTGGTCTAGATGATAAATGATTATTCTCGTGAAAGTGAAAATAAAAATTCAATCTTCAAGAAACACATTTATTGATAGGACTAAAAATCTTTATGCTCTATGGTTTTAAAGGTGTTTTACTCTAACAAAATTTTTGCATAAAATTAATTTCCATAAAATAATACTATCATTTCACTCGATTTGAAAATTAATTCAATTGATATTGATTTTATTAAAGGTCTGTTCCGTAAAAGTAGCTGTTTTGATAGCCGTCGGCATTTAACTGTTAGATGATTAAGTAGCTTTTCATAAAATACTAAAAGATAAATTTTACATGGGTTAACTTTTGATAAAACATCATGTTATTCGATATTAAATAATATTCGGCTGAAAATTACTTAAAAAAGTTAACGTGGAACCTAAGCTAAGTATTAATTTTAATTGTTTAATCAATGACAGTTACTTTAGTTAATTAGTTTAATAATTGTCTCCAACTTCCAACTAACAAGTCTTGTCTTTTGACAAATTTATACTAATTCTCCCATTCCACAGTGTTCTTTTTCTTTTTTCATTTTTTAATATGAGCATGGATATGCTATATCAATGAAATTCACAAGAGGTACAGAAGATTAAGACAAGGCTTTGAAAAGTTCGGCTGGACGTGCACAAGAAGCAGCAGAAGGCTTAAAGAACCCAGAAGAAGAGAGAGTACAGTATTACAGGACAGCCAATTATAGAGCTTCTGAACTGCAAAAGATTCAATCTTTAATAGTCGGAAAACCAAACTTGAGAAGTCCAATCAGTAAGATACAATTAACAACTTCAAAGATTCCCTCACTGATTGCAATCTCAAAAATATATTGGAAAATTTTCAACTTATATATTTAAAACCAAGAACGGGTTAAGAATCTATACTTTCCCTTCGTTCATATTATAGTGGCTGTCTGAAAGGCCATTTGTGCTTCCATTAACGGTGGGCGTAAAGAAATATAAACACCCAAAAAGATCTGTTGGTTTCTTTTTCTTTTTCTTTCCTTTTCTTTTTCTTTTCTTCTCCCTTGGAAACGAGGACACATAAGGAAGAATATGCTTGATAATTGTATTCTTGAGGATAAAAGTTTTAGATGACATTGGCTGTGGCTAGCTAGGTAGGTGGGTTGTTGAGACCAGAGCATGTGGTGGTGTTATGCACTTGTAGTTGTAACCTTCCATTTTTTGGGATCTTACCAAAAGAGAAGCAATAAACTTAAAAAGAACATGAAAACTTTTAAAAAATATATTATTCCATCCAAACATAAATAATATAGTTTGATATATGTACATGATTTGGACATTTAGCATATATATGGTCATAAAGTTGTAGCTATAAGTTGGAAAGATATTCTAAACAGATTACCTGTTGATCGATTTACTTCCTTATGTGCTATCAAGATTACGTTTTTATTGAGGTAAATCATATATGGGTTTGAGTGAAAAATGGTATTCAAACATTTCAAGAATGAAAATAAAAATTTGATATCTGAAAAATGCACTTGCACTTATAGTTACACTTATAGTTACAATGTAAAGATTTTTACGTTCTATAATTTAGAAGAAATTAATTGTAAAATGATATTTTATTGTTTAAATAATAATAATAATAAAAAAAAGAGAAACAACACCACTAGAAATGATGTTTTGGCTTCTAATGTTACTATAATGGCTACTCTTTTTTCAAAAAATATAAAGAGAAGGTTCTGATCAATTGTGTGGATTCCATGCTTGGTCGGCTTAAAATTATAGTTTCTTTCAAAGATTCATATCCAAGCGATTGAGAATAATCTTTTTGTTTGCTTTTCGTATTAAACAAAAATTTCTTTCTATCAATATATTATTCTTCAGTAAGATGCTCCCTTTGGTTTATAATAATTGTTGTTTAGAAAACAAGCGGTTGGTGGTGTATAGTTGGTTGAACTGAAACTCTAATACAATAATCAAACGGTCAAAATCAATTTGTGGGCTTCCTAATTGAATATGTTTAAATTTAATCACGTATTTTTGTGATTAAACCTAATATTATTGTCAATTAATCTGTCTCTTTCTATTCATTAGAAGGTTCAATAAGCCGAAATAACACGATGAGTTTCACAATAGAGTAACACTCACCTTACTCATCAAATTAATAAAAACTCTTATGATCGAGTTTTACTTCCCACATTAATGAGAAAATCAATCAGAGCACACCTGGTTAGCTCAATTAATTTATTTTTTTATTCTATAAATAAGGGTAACAACATATTATTATTCCTATATAATAAAATGAATGGTTGCACAATTTCAAGAAAAGAGAACGCTCCAATATCTAGATAAGAGAAACAATGATTTGTAACCCATTAAATAGAAAGAAAAAGATTAGATATATGATGAGTTTGGTCACTTCTTTAGCCTGCAAGTTCAAGCAATAGCTCAAATATAATGTCTTGTCCACAAAGCAAAAGAATGTCGTATTGTTTGCAATTCTAGCTTCCATAGTCTGCACGTGTGGCCATGTTTGGTCTTTAAAGCTTATGACATCCATCATTTTTCAAGCTTATATTATAATGTTTAACTTTGGTCATCCTTTTCTAAAAGGGAAAAGATTGCTCCAAATGCTTTATGCTCTGCAGCTAGCTTAGCTATAACCTAATATGCTTCACCATGTCAATCTGTCAAGATTAGGTCTAAGTTCAACTTATTTCCTCCATTTACTCCTAAAAATCTGCTTGAAAGGTATGATAATTGATTTGCAAGTTATCAAGTCATCAAAATTATTATTGATTTGTAGTTTAGATGTTGATGTATACATGCAAGTGTGGCATTCTTTCCTAATTTAAAATTTTCAAGATGACATCAAGAAGTCATCGATCCTTAAATATTGTATATTGTTTTGTAAAAAAAAAAAAAAATGTTTTATAGTATTTAATTATGAATGGTTGTACTTAGAATTTTTGATTAATGATGGGTGCTGATTATATTTTGAATTTTTTTTTAATGTGATTAATATGATTATTCAACATTGTTTAATATTGTATGTTTCAAAAAAATTTGAGAAAATAATTAAAAATATTATCATAATCTCAAAAAAATTTGTATGTTCCTTCTGAAATTGTTTTATTCAAAATTATTTATCAGTTTGAGAAAATTAAAAGATATATATATATATATTTTCAATCTTACTTTTTTCTCTATAAAATATTATAACTATTTATATAATTTGCTAGACACATTTTTATCACGGAAAAAACTTGCGTATACCGAATCATGACTCTACTTATAGACCAAACAAATGAAACTAATGATTTTTTAAAAAATGTTTCAACTTTATCATGTCACTTCCCTTCTCTGTCTCTTAATTATCTCACTTTACCTCTCTTAATTAAATAGAAAACATGTAATTTTATCAAGTCAAATAATATTTTATTTATAAATTAGATAATTTTAATTGTTTTCTTAATTACTATGTTAAAAAACTAAAAATCTTAAAAAATAAATAAAAGTAGATGGAGAAACAACAAAACAAACTTAACTATAATCAGATTAAATTATAATTTACTTGAATTATGTAGAAATTGGAATGAAAGGCCCTCTTGGAATTAGGAATTTAATATCACTAACTTAATTCAGGGACATAGATGGTTGAAAAAGTAAAGTAAAACCAAAAAAAAAAAAAAAAAAAAAAAAAAAAAAAAAAAAAAAAAGTTAAAGTAATAACCTGTAAAAAAAAAAAAAAAAAAAAAAAAACCAAAAAAAGAGGAAAAAAGAACCATTTGACTTGGGCTTGCCGCTTTCCGTGCCAATTTGGACTTGGGTTGGCGCTAAACAACCTAGCGGGTTTGCAATAGTAGGCGTAAATTTTTAAATATCCTTTTACCATATCGGGGGAGTGAGTAAATTTTCTAGAACCCGTGAGTTAAGATTATTACCAAAAATTCTAAGGGAAAAGAATAAATTTGGTAATCCTTAGTTTTTTTTTTTTTTTTTAAATAATAAATTAGGGACCTTATAGTTAATTTTTGAAAATAAATATCCTCGTGAGTTAATTTGACTATAACCTATGGATCAACATGTTCAAAAATAAATAAATTAAACAAATTTTAATATTAAATAGAAATGATATGTTAATTAAAATTGATTATATATATGTGAAAAATTTTAAGACGATCCCAAAAAATTTAATACAAACTATATTGTAGGAATATAAAAGCCTTTGAAAGATATCTTCAAATAATAAAATCTTTTTTTGGATCTATCCTGGTATCATGAAGTTTTGAAATATAAAAATAAAAGATATTAATAGTAATAAAAGATAAAGAATGATAAGAGAAAACTTCTCAATAATAGAAGTTGAAGTTAATAGATATGTAAAATTAAATTTGCATTATGAAATAAAAAAAAATAAAAAAGGAGAAAGAAAGTAAATTCAAATTTTGAATTTAAGAAGGAAATTCAAAAAGAATGGAATATTGTTGCCATTAGGGATTGTAAGTGATGATATGGAGACATTCATTTTAATTTATAGAATTTGTCTAAAAGAACCACATTTTGCTTCCTAATTCTTCACTTTCTTATGATAATAAATTGATCATCCATTAATTATTTAACTAATACTATTGAGAATATCTTATTATTTTATAATCATTAAAAAATTAGAGTAGAATTTATAGTTTATTTCTATAGATATTAGATAATTCTCATTTTTGTTTTATTAGATATATTTTCCATCTATTAAAAAAACAATATATATATAATAAAGCGAAGGTTTTATATATATATAGTAATATATATATATATATAATATATATATATATATATATTTCAATCTATTAAAACAACGAAATAAAATATAAATTAATTCAATTTTCTCTTTAATTTCAGTTATATATTTCAATCTATTAACAACGAATAAAATATAATTAATTCAATTTTCTCTTTATTTCAGTTTGGTTTCAATTATTGGAAATTCGATTTTTAGTTTCTGATTTTTTCGATTAGTTTTATTTCATTCAATTTAATAATCTGCGTAATAAAAATAGATTATATTTCCGGCGAATTTTATTTGTAAAGTTAAAGATTATCTATCTAAGTGTAAATATGTTTTGAAGAAAAAAAAGTAAGTAATTACCAACACATATTGCAATAGATCATATTTCTAACTTTGAAACATTATAATATATAGGAGATAGTTTATTCCCATTACATGAAGTTTTAATATTATTCAAATTAAGAAACCTAACAAACAGATTTCTTAGACAGAAGAATCAACGAAGAAGATGCCTCCATTTCAACGATGTGAGTTCTCACAATTTTATGAAGCAGTTCTAAAGCTTTTTTCATCTGCAAAAGTTCGCCAATACTCATATCATTAAAAGCTTTAATATCGGCTATCCCATTTGCTTTTATCGTTTTTTTTAGTAAGTCTTCTTTCTTTTTCTCAAATAGAAGTTGTTTCTGCAGCTCACTGAGTTTGTTACTGAGTTTCTCCAATCTAACCTCTTTTCTGCCAAAGGTAGATACTTTAGAATTTTTATTTTTGTCTTGATTTAGAAATCTCTCGGCCACAGACTCCACGCTTGTGTTACCGAACGAAAATGGCTTCCCTCCGGGAGAGAAAACGATGATCGCAATTTGCGCCGCGCAAAGAATTGCGAGTTCATTAGCCTTCTTGAATAGACCAGTTCTTCGCTTAGAGAAAGTCACCTGACGAGAATTATCGTCTTTCACCATCTTCATTTCTATCTTTTTTCGACCCATTGATTAGTTCAAGATTCTGTAGAAAACATAGAAAAACGGTGAATTTGTGATTTTCAATATGTGAATTTGGGTTTATATAGTTGAGGTTGCATATTCATTTCTAATATTGAATTTCTCATATATGATTTTATTTTTATTTTTATTTTTTAAATTATTTCTAGTATGGTAATCTCTTAATTAAATTTCTTATTTTTAGTGTGTGCTTCCTTATATTAATTTGTATTTGGAAACCATGTAAAATGTTGAGCTAATCTATATTAGTGGTTAGGGGAATGCAAAACCAATACTGAACCAAACTGAAAAATGATTCAACCTAATTCAGCCGATTCAGTTAGCTGCTTATAAGAAAATTTAATCGTCATTTCAAATGGTTTGGACCGAATTTCTCTTGGTTCGATTTTATGAAAGTTAATTGATTAGGTTTAAAATCGAATCAAGCTAGTTCAATTCGGGTGGATTTAATTTCATTACTAAATTTTAGTCGATTTAGTTTTACTTTTGAAAAATCGAATTTACTTTTTTCCTTTGCAGCTCAGTTTAAACCAAATCGATCTTGCTCACCTATGCTACTAGCAGAGTCAAAGTTGGAAACTAAAAGGTACCTAAAAAAAATTTTCAAAATTAACGGAAGAAATAAAAAATGAAAATGGATAAAATTTAAAATTTTCAATATTTAAAAAAAAATAAAAATTTGTGGGTTGGTGGGGGGCAGGCCATTCGTGGCCTCTCTCTGCCTCATGAAATATATTATAATATATATAGAGAGATTTTCCACCAAAGATAAAGCAATTTCATTATATATATTATTAAGTAAAAAATTATAAAGCTACTAATAAGAAATAAAACAATGGAAAGGTGCATTTGATGAATAGATAAGGAAGAGGAGTACTAGGCTAGGGCCACTAACATTGCAGTTATAGTGGTACCCTTAATTGGCAAGGCAATTGTGACCTTTCCCACTAAGAAACGTATTTCCCATTTTTAATTTTTAATTTTTAATTATTTTTTAATGTATATAATTACGTGTATGTTTCTAAATATTTCAAGTTTATTTGGAAATAGCCCCTTGATATGGGAGGTCCCGTCACCTCGAGCTATCATGTTAAGTTTTAATCAACCCTAAATGGCAAGGTACAATCATATATTTATAACCAATATAAATGTGGTAATGATGTAGAAATAACAGAATTTCCTAAAATATCCTATAATGTTATTAGTTATAGTCAATTAAAACTATAAATAATATTTAATTAATTGTAATGTTTGATATTTGAATTATATAAAAATTAAATTAATTTAATAGCTATTTTAATTAATTTAATTAATATGGATTATCTGAAAAATTAAATTAATATGACTATTGATTTTAATTGATTAATTTAATCGATGTGATTTATGTAAATTAATTAAATTAAAATATCCATTCTAATAATTAATATAATTTATCTAAAATAGTCAAAATAATACAATTATCTATTTTAATTAATTAATTCATATGATTTTATTTAAAGAAGATAATAATTATGACTAGTAAAATAATAAATATTTTAGAGATGTTTGGAGATTAATACTAATATTAACATGATATTAATTAATATTTATGAAAACTATACCAAATACTAAATATTATATAAAAAATAAACGAGTAAGTAAAAAATAATGGCAACGTGAAATGTAAGTCATAAAGAATTATAGTTAAAATGCTAATCTTCCTAATATTGTAATAAATAAAATTCTATTATATTGTTAGAAAAAAAAAAACATACAGATTAAAATATATTTTACGTTGAAATTTAAATGACATTTTCGTTTTTGGATGAGATAATCCCATAGGTCAAAGCAATCGACAGGTTTGTTAGATATTGCCAAATGAGAACCGAGGAGGAAGGACTAGGGCTTCTTATATTTAAAAAAAAAAAAAAAAAAAAAAAAAAAAAAAAAAAAAAAAAAAAAAAAAAAAAAACGAATTGATATGTCCGACTCAGAAAAAAAGTTAGGAGTTTTTTTTTTTTTTTTTTTTTTTTTTTTTAAATATCAATTTAAAATTATATGTATATTTCTTTTGTGAATTCTGATTACTATGGGTGAAGGAGAAGGTAAAGCTATGTTTATTTATTTATTTATTTTATTTATAGGCGGTCAAATTAGTTCAAAGAATATTGTAGGTTTTAGTAAAATAATCTTACACTTCGAATAACATTTATTAAAATAATAATAATTTTTAAGTAAAAGAGAACTTAAATTTGAAACCTCTCAGCTCCATAACCTTTAAAGGACTTGAAACCTCACATTCTATAACCTCTAAAGGACATAGGATTTATTCGACAATATTATCTGTTTTAATAGCTGTTAGTTATTGTAGTAGATCTTAGTTGTTTTATTAGCTGTTAAATGTTTATTGAGGGATTTAAACTAGAAATGTTCAGTAAAAAATAATTGTTTAATTAGCTATTTAACTTAAAATGACAAAAAAAGACATTGGTTCTTTAATTAGTTGAATTCGAGAGAAAAAACAATAGGATGATTGTCAAAAAAAAAAAAAAAAAGTCATGAAATGCTAAAAACTATAGTATTTAACTCATAAAAAATTTCTTCAAATTTCAAAAAAAAAAAAAAAAAGTCTATGAAATGCTAAAAACTATAGTATTTAACGTTTCATAAAAAATTTCTTCAAATTCTAAAAGTTATTATAAAAGCTTTGTTACTGAACGCTACAATTAATAGAGGTAGAGTTTTAACTTTATCAAAACGCTAAAAGTTATTTTAAAACGATCGCCGAAGACAGCCATAAAAGGAAATTATGTACCTAATTGGCCAAATTATTAACAAGCCGCTACAGTTGGAAGTCGTATCAAGACCTAGATAATCTTCGTTGTCATGCTTATGTATGGAGTATTCTCCGAGATTATTTTAATATTGTCATATGTATGGAGTATTTTTTAATATTATTTTAATATTGCCAGATGTTAGTAATTAACTGTTTATGAAGTGATTTCGTGCATAAATATCCGATGAAACTAGCTATTTGTTTAGACGTTAAAGATAAATAATTTTTAAAAATTCAATTAATTTTTTGTGAAATGTTATATATTAAGGGCTAGCATTTTATAAAGCACATTCTCAATCTCTAATACTATCTTAGAATAGCGGTCGCTAGCTTAAGAGGGATTATCAAATATGATTTGTTTTATAACTTTTTCCTCGTATCGAAACACAATTTAGCTTTACATAAATAAAAGTTTATAGTCATTTAAACCAAGAATACCTATTTTGATATAGTTCTTTAAAACTTTAAATCACTTTGTTTAAACCTAGAGAATCTCTGCTTCTTTAATAATAAATAACGTTCATCAAAATGATGACAACTTTTAAGTTAAAGAAAACTTAAACTTGAAACTTTCCAGCTCCATAACCTTTAAAAGACTTGAAACCTCTCACATTTTAAAACTTTCATAAGACGTAGGGTCTATTCGACAATATTAGCTGTTAGTTGTTAGGGTTAGCTTTTAACTGACAGCTGTTTATAGAGAGAATTAAATTAGAAATATTCGGTAAAAATAACTGTTAATTAGTTATTAAACTTAAAATGACAAAAAAAAGACATTAATTATTTAATTAGTTGAATTCGAGAGAAAAAAATAATAGCATGATTATCAAAAAGAATTGTCTATTAAATATTAAAAGCTAGAGTGTTTAGCATTTCATAAAAAGCTCTCCCAACTCTAAAAGTTATTATAAGAGTTGTTACCGACGTTACAATTAATAGAGGTAGAGTTTTTGACTTGATCAAAATGATAAAAGTTACCCTATTACCGAACATGACCATAAAATGAAATTATGTAACTAATTGGCTAAATTATAACAGGCTACTACAACTGCAAGTCGTATCAAGACTTGGATGAAATTTCTTGTCATTCGTATGTAATGAGTATTCTCCGGTATTATTTTAATATTGTCAGATGTTAATGGTTGGTTGTTTATTTTAATACAAAAATCTGGTAAAGTTAGCTATTTGTTTAGTCGTCAAAGATAAAATAATTCTAAAAAATTCAATTAATTGGAATGCTATATATTAAGGGCTAACATTCCATGAAGCATATTCTTAATCTCTAATACTATCCTAGAACATTAGTCTAAGAGGGATTATCGAACATGATTTGTTTTATAATTAAGTTTTTATCCGTATCGAAAATACGGATGTTGTGGAAGGTGGAGTTGCTAAAGGAGCTGTTCATCGAAAGGGATTGGAAATTGATTATTCAGATTCCCCTGGGTTTATCCAGCAGCAGTGATGACTGGTTTTGGGACAATGAGAAGAGAGGAACCTATACTGTCAAAAGTGCCTACCGACTACTAGTTCCAGATATGACCAATACACCTGCCCCCTCACTGCAATCATTTTGGCAACGTTTTTGGGGCTTGAAGATCCTATCGAAGGTGAAGAACTTGATCTGGAGACTTGGTTCAAATTGTCTACCAGTAAAAACTCTACTGATTCAACGGAAGGTTGATGTCGACGTGCTGTGTCCCGTATGTGGTCTAGCAGAAGAGATTCCTCTTCACGTTTTTGTGGACTGTGGGTATGCGTGTGAATGTTTGGAGTGTACGGTGCCGAGCGTTCTTGCTGTATTTGATCTGCATGCGTTCCAGAGGATTGAAGACTGGCTGCAGAATGTGTTCTTAGGTATGGATGTTGAAGATGTCCAAGCTCTTTGTATTGTTCTTTGGACGATTTGGCGCCATAGAAATGAAGTTCTTTGGAGCAACACAAGAACACCTGCTCCACAATTGCTAAATTCCAGTTTCTCCTACCTGCTTGCTTGGCAATCTGCGCAGATTAAGACGGCCTGCCCAGTCCCTGTAGTCGATCAAGGAGCCGCGGTTTGGTCAACACCACCAGCTGGTTACTTGAAGTGCAATACAGATGCTGCACCCCCTGGGGTCAATAGCCAAATCGGGGCTGGCTGGTCTTGAGGAACGAAGCGGGCCAGCTAGTAAATGCCTGTCAAAAAGTGCTGCTGGGTTCTCAAGATCCCCTCTTCGCTGAAGTTCTGTCATTCCAGGAAGCCCTCAGTTGGGTCAAGCACAAAGGTTTTTCTCATGTTATTTTTGAGACCGATTCACTTTCTCTTGTTCAAGCAATTCATCAAAAGACCGTGGATCAATCTCTGCTTGGGATTCTTATCTCTGATTGTAAATATTTGCTAAAAGACATTGCGTCTAGTTCTGTCATGTTTATTAGGAAGTCCGCAAACAGAGTTGCCCATCTTTTGGCTACTTGGGCTGTTTCACTGTTAGACTTTAAGGAGCGGGGCTCTGTCCCTTTTTCGTTTATTTCAGCTCCTGTAATATCTGATTCTCGTTTATGAAGTGGTTTCTCAAATTAAAAAAAAAAAAAAAAATCTTCTTTCATTATAAATAATAACAATGTGAATGGAAGCAAGACTAGTATTTTAGTATATTTGTTTCGCTTCTAACCATTGAATAAGAGTACGAAGGGATACAAATGAATTTAAAACGAATACTATAGCAGTGAAATTACGATTCGGAACGAATACAAGTAGGGTCGATTATAAATTTTTAGATATCCATTATATTAAACGAGTTTAGTCATGAATATCTATGGCTATCCTCCCCGTTATTAATAAAGATATATTTCAAATAAATTCGTATTTTAATAGTTTAAAACTGATGAATACTTCACTCGTTTAAATGATATTTTAAATAAATGAATTTGGAATGAATATAAATAGTAAAATTTTAAATGGATTCAAATTTAAATATTTAAATGGATATTTAAATATATTTGAATATAACAAGAGAGATACTTACCGAAAAAGTTTACCTTAGACATTGTTACATATTAAAAAAATTATGAAATTATTTAAATTTCAAAATTTTTAGTGATACCATGATTTGATGTATTACGATTTTCAAAGATTTAATTAGATCTGATTAGTAACCAGCAAATAAAAAATTACTGTAAATCATAAAGGCAGCACTACTGTACACATAAGAACAGATAACAATAATGTTACCATCACACATCACCGTTTATATCCACACGACAAATTGAAAAGCGGATAAATGGGCTTTCGTTTCCTCACCCTCTTTGTGAGCCCACCATTCTCCACCGTTCGATTAAGATAACGTATAAGAAAAATATCAGTGGTAAAAGGTACTTAGTTTTTGTTCACACGTCCACGTATCCTCTTAATTCACGACTTTCCTTCAAACGAAAGAGATTCGAAAACTCCAGCAAAGGATATTTTATTAATTTTAATTTCGATGCTCTTGAACTCTTCCCTCACTTTCGCTTCTGTGTACAAAGCGGAGCAAGAGGGAGGGGCGCTTTTACCGGTTTTTCTGTGAAGAAACAACCATGGCGACGAAGCCATCAACGTGGTTTCTGAGCCAGGGATTTACCGCTTTCAACTGTAACCGTAACGAGAATAAGCAAACAACTGTTCGATTCTTCCTGCCTTCTCAAAAATTGCTTCCTGCTTCTTGCAAAATGCGGCAACGAAATTTTAGGTAAAAATTGATGGGACTCTGTAATTTTTACATTCCTTTTACTGATTGATGTTTTTTTTTTTTATGGAATTTGATACAGTAGGAGACAGCAAGTGAAGAAAGCGTCTCCTCAGCGGCCTACTACTACTGCAGATTTTCAGTCTTCTGGTGATGATGATTCTGAAGTTGAAGATGCTTCTGAAGTTCATGCTATTCCTTGCTTGAACAATGACTTTGGGGCTAATGATAGTGTTGATGCGGAATCTAATAGAAGTTCAAAAAATATGGAGAAGAATGTAGACGTGGAAAATATTAAGTTTGTTGATGCAAAAGATCTTTACAGTCTTACAGAGGAAATGAAATCTTTGGTACTGGTCTGATGGAATACTGAACTCGTTGTAATGTTGTGCATATTTTCTATTATTTACGTAATATGCTTGCAATTGCAGATTTTGTTGGGAAAATGGGGTTATAGCATTATGAATTTGTCATTTTAACTTCTAGTTAGTTGGCATGTTCTAAGTCGTTGTACCACAAAGAACTCTGAGGGCATTGCATAATAGCAAATTATATTCAAAAATTTGAATAGGTTGTTTCACAAAGATTTACTTGTTTTCATGTCATTTATCACGGGTATACACTTCAAGACTAATTATCTTCTTTGGAGATATAGTTGAGCATAGTTGTAGACAATTGTAGATGTCAAGTTAATGATGATTTTTCTTTTTGTCTCACAGGCCATAGATGGAGGAGAGAAGCTTTCTAGTATTCCTGATGAAATGAAACCTTCGGTATTCCTCTTTGCCAAGCCAATAAAAAGAAAATGATAAATCTGGGCTTTTGCTGTGTAGTTAAATGTTCTACGTGGCCTATTCCAGTGTACTTGTGCAACTATCCACATTAGCATAATTCCATTGGGAAGTTTGTTGCTTCACTCCAGTGTATTAGAATACAGATAAATATTTCATTTCTTCTTTACTTAGGTTTATTATTGAGTTTGTCCCTGATTTAGTTTTTGCTATAGTTTGCTTATGCTTGAGTAAGAAAACACAATGTTCATTAAAATTATATGTATTATTTCTATATTCAGGGCTTAAAAATAGAGGGCGGGGAGCAATTTTCACATGTCCGACTTGAGGATTTGATTGGCATGATAAGAAATGCAGAGAAAAGTAAGATATCTTTCTTTTTTCTTTTAAATGCATCTAGTTCTTTATTTTCGTTCATTTTTCATTCTAGAAATTTTCAGGGTCGTGTGCATGAATATATTTATAGTATCGACACAATCTAGTCATTTATATATAGATAGATGCATGCATGTTTATTCATCAGTGTCGAATGTTTGCTAGACATCCTTCTTCTCAATCAAGCTCGGGTCCATGCACTAGAAGATCTTGAAAGAATTCTTGCTGAGAAGGAAATATTGCAAGGGGAAATTAATGTTTTGGAGATGAGATTGGCAGAAACTGATGCAAGAATGAAGGTTGCTGCCCAAGAAAAGATACATGTGGAACTCATGGGGGATCAGTTAGAGAAGCTAAAGAATGAACTGACTTATAGGGGAGAAAACCAGGACAAACTTTTGAATGAGGAGCCCTCCTTGCTTCAAAATAGTAGTGTTGATTATCTTAGTGAGGAGCTTAATTTATTGAGGGCAGAGAATTCATCCCTGAAAAATGATATGGAAGCACTTAAGAGGGAGCTTAGTGATGTTAAGGATACAGATGAACGTGTTATAACACTGGAGAAAGAGCGCATGTTGTTGGAGTCCTCTCTGAAAGACCTGGAGTCCAAAATGTCCACTTCTCAGGAAGATGTTTCAAAATTATCTAGCCTAAAAGTTGAATGCAAAGACTTATGGGAAAAAGTGGAAAATTTGCAAGCCTTGCTTGAGAAGGCAACAAAACAAGCAGATCAGGCTATTCTAGTGTTACAGCAAAACCAGGAGCTCAGAAAGAAGGTTGATAAATTGGAAGAATCCTTGGAAGAAGCCAATGTCTACAAGCTATCGTCAGAAAAATTGCAGCAATCTAATGAACTAATGCAGCAAAAGATAAAATTATTGGAGGAACGTCTTCAAAGGTCTGATGAAGAAATAGGTTCTTATGTCCAAGTATATCAAGAATCTGTACAGGAATTTCAAGATACACTTAATACTTTGAAAGAACAAAGCAAGAAAAAGGCACTAGATCAACCTGTAGATGATATGCCTTGGGAATTTTGGAGTCGTTTATTGCTTATGATTGATGGTTGGGTGCTTGAGGAAAAATTATCAAAAGAAAATGCAAAGCTGTTGAGAGATATGGTGTGGAAAAGAGATAGGCGCGTTTGTGATGCTTACTTGGAATGCAGGGAAAAGAATGACCGTGAAGCTGTTTCCACGTTTCTCAAGCTCACATCATCACCAGCAAGGTAATAGCTTTAAGTAGAACATTTCAGCAATTTTGCTTTTTTTTTTTTTTTTCTTCCTAATTTGTTTCTTTCTTGATCTGTAGTTCAGGATTGCATGTCATTCATATTGCTGCAGAGATGGCACCAGTTGCTAAGGTAAACTTAACTTGGTCAAATTCTCTTTGTGAGCTTTTGGCATCTTTTGGCATTTTTTAATGTTTATTCTTTAAGTTTCTTTCCCTGTGCCAATTTCTTATTATGTTGCTAAGTACTCAGCTGTTTTGGAATCTCATTTAATGTTATTTGAAATGCTGTCACATATGAATGTTTCTCAGACAAATGCGGTTTTCATATATTTTTGCATTTTAAGCAAAATATAAACTAAAGAGACATTTAGCAATGTATATCACACTCCTCTGTACTTTGTCACTGTCACAAATAGAGCATTTGTGTTGAAGTACTAATTAGGTCTTTAGAAGTGAAACAGAGGCTACTTTTTCTTTACTTCTGGAAACATACACATTATCCAATTGATTTAGTTAAGTTACAATTGTCCAAAAACAAGTTACTGATACTGGTAGGGGGCAGGAGAAGGTTAGATAGTTCTTATGCATCCTTTTCTTCTTCTTTATTATAGAGGTGCACACATGAAGCATAGTACACATGAAGCACATTTCCTGATCCTCTTTGGATTGCCATTTGGCCACAGGCATCAGTGCCTTATCAAAGTTGCAGGATAGATATCATTTAGTATTGCATCTGCGCATGGCAGGGAAACTTGCTCATCAGGTGTTTTAAAATGTGTATAATAAAAATTTGTATCTATTTGTATCTAATTACCCAATATATGATACAGATTATGTGACCAATTTGCCTGTACTCTAGGTTTTCTTCATTTCATTTTTAAGGTATAATTTAGCAAATGTTGCTAGTGAAGTTGCTAATTTCTTCAGCACTACCCCACTCTGTTTGCATATCTGTGCCAATGCATCTGCGCATGGCAGGGAAACTTGCTCATCAGGTGTTTTAAAATGTGTATAATAAAAATTTGTATCTATTTGTATCTAATTACCCAATATATGATACAGATTATGTGACCAATTTGCCTGTACTCTAGGTTTTCTTCATTTCATTTTTAAGGTATAATTTAGCAAATGTTGCTAGTGAAGTTGCTAATTTCTTCAGCACTACCCCACTCTGTTTGCATATCTGTGCCAATGCATCTGCGCATGGCAGGGAAACTTGCTCCTTAGGTGTTTTAAAATGTGATAATAAAAATTTGTATCTAACTATCCAATATATGATACAGGTTATGTGACCAATTCGCCTGTACTACAGGTTTTCTTCATTTCATATTTAAGGCCGAAGTTGGCAAATCTTGCTAGTGAAGTTGCTAAGTTTGGGTAGATCTAGGCTATTTATTCTTACCATTAACAGTATATCCATATTTTTACAGGTTGGTGGTTTGGGAGATGTTGTGACTGGTCTTGGAAAAGCACTGCAAAAGAGAGGACATCTTGTGGAAATTATTCTGCCTAAATACGATTGCATGCAATATGATGGTATTGGCAATTTGAGGGTAATGCTAAAATTTTGAATTGTGCAACAATTGAAAAGATATGTATTTTATGAATATTTTCAGTAATCTGATTACTTGTACAGGCTCTAGATGTGGTCGTGGAATCATATTTTGATGGCAAATTATACAAAAATAAAATATGGGTTGGCACCATTGAAGGTTTATGATCTTTTTATTGGTTTAATTTCTGCAGTTTCTTTAAGCAATATATTTTAATCATGGATTTTTTTTTTCATGCAGGTCTTCCTGTTTATTTTATTGAGCCTCATCACCCTAACAAGTTTTTCTGGAGAGGGCAGTTTTATGGGGAGCATGATGATTTCAAACGCTTTTCATTTTTCAGCCGAGCTGCACTTGAGTTGCTTCTTCAAGCCGGCAAAAAACCAGACATAATTCATTGCCATGACTGGCAGACAGCCTTTGTTGTATGATTGATTAAAATTCTATGTTGCCTTGTATTTTCTTTCTGTGCCTGATTCAATCATTTTATTACAATTGAAACTCTTATGTGCTATTTCAGGCGCCACTTTACTGGGATATTTACGCCCCCAAAGGATTGAATTCAGCTAGAATTTGCTTTACATGTCATAACTTTGAGTATCAAGGGACTGCACCTGCATCAGAGCTGGTATCTTGTGGACTTGATGTCCAGGAGCTAAATAGACCAGATAGGATGCAGGACAACTCAGCACATGATAGGATCAATCCTGTTAAGGTATTGATATTCTTATTCAATTGTAGTTGACATCTTTGTTAGTGGAACCATCCACCCCCTGTCCTCACTTGTTTCCGTTCTCCAGGGTGCAGTGGTGTTCTCAAACATTGTCACAACTGTATCACCCACCTATGCACAAGAGGTGCGAACTGCTGAGGTATGAATTCTTCCTTATAGTTGTTTCTTAGCTGAAAAATTTTTCTCTCATATTCTGATGAGATATTATACATAAATAATCTGAAAAGTGGAGTTTCCTTTGATTTCATGTTTCAGCTGTGTGTCAAATTTTTGATTAGTGAGCACAACTTATGCAAGAAAATTTTTCAACAGTGTCCAAATGTATTCCCTAATTATATATCTAAGCAGTAGTTGTTTCTAGGGCTTGTAAAAGATTAAGTGTATACACAAATATTCTGCTTTTAGCTTCTATAACTTATTTGTTCTGGTGCCCTTAGAAATATATAAATGCATAGCAATTCACAAATTGCAGTCATGTTTTCTTTTTTTTTTTTTTTTAAATTGTACTGAGAACCAAGGGTCTCTTTTATAATATCATGTAGCTGCACTTCATCTGTCATGTTTAATATACAACAACAATAACAGCCAAGCCTTAGTCCCAAACTAGTTGGGTTCAGCTATAAGAATCCTCTGTTTCCAATATCTGCTCTGATCCAAATTAATCGGAAAAACTTATAAATACTTTTTATAAAAAAATAACTATCAGCCGTAAAATTTTCTGGGTAGGAATTTTCTTCTGCACAGAAAAAATCATTCATATGCTATAATATGCTATAATAATTGAAACTTCTGCATCATTTGCAACCAAGTGTGTAATTGCTTTATTTTGGTGCCATATGGTCCCCTCCCTCACTTTCAGTAGAAATTTATTTTTTCCATTAGAATTTTTTGATGTTGCACCTACAAGAGGAAAAACTATGTGGAAAAGAAAACGAAGATAACATTTGGAATGACCAAATGTTGTATCTAAAATGATGTTACAATCACGTGTCATTCACATAACTCTATCAAGGCATCTATAGTTAAACTAGTGTAATATTTTGGGTTTATTTCTCCAGCCTTTGTGATAAAAGTTAATCATGAGGATTGGAAACCACATATTAGTCTGCAAGACTATTAGCAGTGAATGAGTGATTCTTTCACCGAACATTATTCTTGAAGTTTGCTCCCTTTTATTGATTTCTGCTCAAAGTTCTCTATATAAGTTTCTTTCATATTTTACAGGGTGGAAGAGGCCTCCATTCAACTCTTAATTTTCATGCCAAGAAGTTTATTGGAATCCTTAATGGAATTGATACCGATTCATGGAATCCTATGACAGATTCATTTCTCAAAGTTCAGTACAGTTCTAATGATCTTCAAGGCAAAACAGAAAACAAATTAGCTATAAGAAGGCATCTCGGGCTATCTACTGCAGATGCTAAGCGGCCATTGGTATTCTTCCTTCAAAAGTACTGAAAGATTCATTTTTCTTTTTTGAAATGGTTGGACTTTAATTTTTTTCTGGGTATCATAATTAGCAATTTTACACTGATACTGTTGCGTCAATGCATTACCAACCAATTATCTCATTCACCACTTTTATTGATCCTATGACATCAGCCGACCATGTAGTAATATACATTGAGCAGTAATATGTCAAGATTATTTCATGATACTTTGACGAATAGTAAAAGGATCTTTCTTGCATGCAGCATGGAACTGCAACTTACAGGGGCTCTTATTCTTATTCTTTTAATTTTTATGTAGTAAGGATTTTATTTTAATGCTTAGTATTCCACGGCCAAGTGTGAAGAAAATATATTTGATTTTGGTTTGTATCAAATCGTTTCAATGTTCCTTTTATATCAGGTTAGCATTCAAATAATTTATTTTATTTGTTGGAGTAAATGATATATTGTAATACTGAGACTGTAAGGAAGCTCATGAGCACCAATACCATGTGAATGTTACACTCTTCCTTGTGTAATTTTAATTCTGCATATGGGGTCATCTCAGACATTTGTTTCCTGGATGAATCTACTTCCATTTTTTAAAATCATATTTTGTATTTTATTGAATAGGTAGGCTGTATAACAAGATTGGTGCCGCAGAAAGGTGTACATCTTATTAGACATGCAATATACCGAACTTTGGAGTTGGGTGGACAATTTGTACTTCTTGGCTCAAGCCCAGTTGCTCATATTCAGGTGATCTTTTATTTTATTTTATTTTGTTTCTGCTGCAAAACACATTCAATGCCCTGCATTTTACAGATATTTTGGATTGATATCTTATTTGATCACATATATATATATATGTGTGTGTGTGTGCGTGTGTGTGTGGTCAACTTTCTCCTGGCTGATTTACTCATTTCTTTTGTAGAGGGAGTTTGAGGGTATTGCAAACCATTTTCAGAATCATGAGCACATTCGGCTGATATTGAAGTACGATGATTCTCTTGCCCATTCCATTTATGCAGCATCTGACATGTTTATCATCCCTTCTATCTTTGAGCCTTGTGGCCTTACACAGGTAAAGTCATCAATCATTGCTTGTGCAAGTTTTCTGGAATGGCAAACACCTTTTTTTTTTTTTTTTTTTTTTGGTGCCTATACATCAATTTCAAAATGCCAACAACATTTAAACCTCTTCTTATTTCTACATCTATAATGTTTTCTGGCGAGATGATAGCAATGAGAATTTATGGCTTCCATACCCATTTGCTAGAAAACTGGGGGTCTAAATGATAGGTAAGCGAACTTTGCCTTTTTTTTTTTTTTTTTTGTGCCTATACATCAATTTCAAATGCAAACACATTTAAACTCTTCATTTTCTACATCTATAATGTTCTGCAGATGATAGCAATGAGATATGGCTCCATACCCATTGCAAGAAAAACTGGGGGTCTAAATGATAGGTAGCGAACTTTGTATATCTTTTTCTTTTTTTTGTGCATGATATCATTATTTTAAAGTAACATTACTCTACACTCTTGACTTCCATTTTGCTGTAGTGTTTTTGATGTTGATGATGATGCAATTCCTCTCCAATTTCGAAATGGATTTACATTCCTGACTCCTGATGAACAGGTAATACCTAGGCTGCGTACTTCTCATCTACCTTGAGTGACTAGTCACTTCCGTAGGCCTGCACTGGCCATGATAAAGCCAATAATATCATCTACACAATGGATTAATTTCTTCGTCTGAAATTGTCTGATTTGCATTAAACATTCTTATTTCGGGCTACTATTCTGATCATCTGATGGATAAAAAACATTTGATTGACATTTGTAGGGAATAAATGGAGCTTTAGAACGTGCATTTAATTACTATAGGAATAATCCTGAGGGCTGGCAGGAGCTTGTTCAGAAGGACATGAATATAGATTTCAGTTGGGAATCTTCAGCGTCACAGTATGAGGATCTCTATGCAAATTCAGTGGCCAGAGCAAGGGCGGCAGCAAGTCGTGGGGCTTAACCATGGTAAAATAAGCTCTCATGGAAGCCGTGCTCGAGTTAGCTTCATTTATGGATGCGAATATATTGAGACCACTAAGAGAACTGAGCTATCAAAGTGTCTCAGATTAAATTTACGGTTTTAACCAAGGTTGAAACTGGACGCAGCCTGCTGGAATCAGCATGTCTTGTAGCGTTGTAGGGAAGGAGGTTGTGAGATGGAGGGTTATAGAAGACCGCACAATTCTTTTGTTCATAAAATAACATTACAATAAGTTATAGCAATATACTCGAGAAAATTCACATTTGATGCTTACTACATATCAGACAAAAAAAAGGTCTGAGTTCATATTTCCCGATGAGCTTTATTGTATATTTATGGCATTTAGATTGGAATCAATTATTTTCTGGGAATAAGACAGCGGTTGTCGAAGTGAAGAAGCATCAAATAATTATGTTTTGGAATAACTCCGTAAAAATCAGTTTTCTGGAGAAGTTTCAATTTTTTTAACCCAAAGAAATAAATTTTTGATAATATAATTAAAAAAAAAATTAAATATTTGATTTAAATGAAATGTAATAAAATGATTTGATTTTTGAACAAATAATATATTATTTCCAAATTCAGGCCTAATTTTCATTATCCCTTACTTTTGCAAGATAAATCACGCATTTTGGCACGCAAAATTCACATCATGCTTTCATTAGTCGACAACAAATTTACATCATACAGTTCCATTACTGAAATCGAACACACAATTGCTCACTTTCCGGGGACGAAGTTTGTGGCATAAGCCCAGGCGTTGTTGTTGACTGGGTCAGCCAAGTGGTCAGCCAAGTTCTCCAATGGACCCTTTCCAGTCACAATGGCTTGAACAAAGAATCCAAACATAGAGAACATAGCCAATCTACCATTCTTGATTTCCTTTACCTTAAGCTCAGCAAATGCTTCCGGGTCATCAGCTAAACCCAATGGGTCAAAGCTTCCACCTGGGTAGATTGGGTCTGTTACCTCACCGAGAGGTCCACCGGCAACTCTGTAACCCTCAACAGCACCCATCAACACTACCTGGCAAGCCCAAATAGCCAAGATACTTTGAGCATGGATCAAGCTTGGGTTACCCAAGTAGTCAAGACCACCCTCACTGAAGATTTGAGCTCCGGCCTTGAACCACACAGCCTCGCCGAATTTGACACCGTTGCGAGCCAAGAGCTCAGGGAAGACGCATCCGAGAGCTCCAAGCATAGCCCATCTGCAGTGGATCACTTCTAGCTCACGGTTCTTAGCAAAGGTCTCTGGATCAGCAGAAAGCCCAGCAGTGTCCCAGCCATAGTCACCAGGGAACTCACCGGTCAAGTAGGATGGGGGCTCACCAGAGAATGGTCCCAAGTACTTAACACGGTCTGGGCCGTACCATGGGCTGCCAGAGGAAACATTCTTGGAGGCGGTTTTCCTCATTGTAACACGGCCGTTGCCCATGAGCTCAGGGGCAGAGGGGCCGAGCTTCACCGCCTTGCCGGCTAATGAAGGGGAGGAGAGAGCCATTGTAGAGGTAGCCATTCTTAGAGTAGACGTGTATAGGTGTTTGATAGGCTTTTGGAGTTGCTGGAACGATGGAAGAAAGAAATGGGTTTGGTGGGAATTTATAGCGGGTTGGGTGTGGATTTCCTTATCTTAATGGATGTCGTAAGAGTTTGGGGCCGGAAATTCTTATCTAAGAGTATCTAAATCTCAAATTTCATTGGAGACTCAAGATTTTGGTACTTGTTGTGATTTATCCTACTACATGGCACTCTTTAGACCACCAGCATTTTGGATTCATTTCTCAGCGATAACCAATGTAGTGGTTCCACGTTTCCGTTGGTACAGCCATCGCATCATCCAGTTGTCAGTTTTGAAAAAATAATAATAGCTGAGAAGTCGTATCCAATCTCTCTCTCTCTCTCTCGATACACATAAATTCACTATGTATTATTAGCTTTGCCTTTAATTTTATTAGAGTTTTGAGTTATTTTCAGTTTTTTATCTTGTAGATTTAACTTAAATAAGGTTATTTTTCAGTTTTTTTATGTCTGAATCTTTTTACTTAGTGAACCAAATTTCATGAAAGGAACATCTAGCAAGGGAAGCCTCATCAAAGCATTACTAAACTATCGCTTCAGATTGTGTATGGCCTTCTAAAATGACACCTATGTCTAATCGTGCCTATAAATGTTCTAGAAACTTCTTGTAATGTTGATATTGACATTGCTTTGAGATTATTATTATATGGATGATAATTTTAATTTTTTTAGCAAATATTTCTTTTACACTTATCTATGCTTCAGTCTGGAGGTGATATTTAGATAAACACAATAATAATAATAATAATAATAATAATAATAATTTTAAATTTTAAACTCTAAACTCTAAACCTTATTGATGAATTTTTATTTTTATTGATAGATATAGCTGCACATCTATTGTATATTGAAGATATCTTTCAAATGTAAAATATGAATTTAAAATTAGTTCTTTGTACTACTAAAAAAAAAATACAAATCGATATATATGCATTCAATACAAAGCACTAATTAATAATAACTAATAACCCTTTGTACAATAATTCCTTACACAAAACTTACATTTTTGACAATTCACCAAAATTTGAATTTTCAATAAAACTTGTAAAATAAGAAGCATGAAATATATTGTTGATGCGCACTTTTAAGTATAGATATATAGTAATATCCAAAAGGACACGTTGCAATTTTCTATTGGATCAAACTGCAACTTATAACATTGGCTGAGATTTTTGATACGCTATTGCACCTAAACAGACCAATATAGCGATAAGGGTGGTTTAGAGAGTGCCATGTTGACAAACAAATTGTCACCAACCAATGGGATTTCACTTATGGATCTCCCCCAAGATAAGGACCTTCTCCTCTAGCTGCCCATATATAGATATATTTATATATATATATACAAGCTAACGAAGCTCTATAACCACAAGCAAAGACACAAATCGATCAATACTTTCTATCCTTTCAATTCTATCAAATGGCTGCCTCTACAATGGCCCTTTCCTCTCCTTCACTCGCCGGCAAGGCGGTGAAGCTCGGCCCATCTCCTCCCGAGCTCATGGGCAATGGCCGTGTCACAATGAGGAAAACCGCCTCCAAGAATGTTTCCTCTGGCAGCCCATGGTACGGCCCAGACCGTGTGAAGTACTTGGGACCATTCTCTGGTGAGCCCCCATCCTACTTGACCGGTGAGTTCCCTGGTGACTATGGCTGGGATACTGCTGGACTTTCTGCTGACCCAGAGACTTTTGCTAAGAACCGTGAGCTAGAAGTGATCCACTGCAGATGGGCTATGCTTGGAGCTCTCGGATGCGTCTTCCCTGAGCTCTTGGCTCGCAACGGTGTCAAATTCGGCGAGGCTGTGTGGTTCAAGGCCGGAGCTCAAATCTTCAGTGAGGGTGGTCTTGACTACTTGGGAAACCCAAGCTTGATCCATGCTCAATTTGCTAAGAACCGTGAGCTAGAAGTGATCCACTGCAGATGGGCTATGCTTGGAGCTCTCGGATGCGTCTTCCCTGAGCTCTTGGCTCGCAACGGTGTCAAATTCGGCGAGGCTGTGTGGTTCAAGGCCGGAGCTCAAATCTTCAGTGAGGGTGGTCTTGACTACTTGGGAAACCCAAGCTTGATCCATGCTCAAAGTATCTTGGCTATTTGGGCTTGCCAGGTAGTGTTGATGGGTGCTGTTGAGGGTTACAGAGTTGCCGGTGGACCTCTCGGTGAGGTAACAGACCCAATCTACCCAGGTGGAAGCTTTGACCCATTGGGTTTGGCTGATGACCCGGAAGCATTTGCTGAGCTCAAGGTGAAGGAAATCAAGAATGGTAGGTTGGCTATGTTCTCTATGTTTGGATTCTTTGTTCAAGCCATTGTTACTGGAAAGGGTCCATTGGAGAACTTGGCTGACCACTTGGCCGACCCTGTCAACAACAACGCCTGGGCTTATGCCACAAACTTCGTCCCCGGAAAGTGAAAGGGAATTTGAGTTTCTGATGCTATAATTGGAGTAGACTAGTACTGCACAATCTGTAACAAATATCAACTAGACTCCATGGATTTTAATATAATTTTTTTAAAACTCGAAATTCTATTTTAATGTGGCAATTCTTGAAAGGTTTACGTGAGAAATATGGCATGGTTTCCAATAGAAGTGCAAGAAACACTGAGACAAATTAAAGCCAGAGACTAAAATATGAAATTTTCTTTTGTTGGATCCACTTGTGAATTGTGAATTTATAATTGGATTTTGTCCATAGAAGTTTGAATATCATTCCGTCAGTAACAAAATTTTCTCCCCGAAAAAAAAGAATCTATTCAAATTAATGGACACAATGGCATTGCTAAACATGTTACAGAAGATCATCGACATCTTCTCTCCAAAACTGCAAGGGAAAGAAAATTTTTATAAAGCAAACGACTTGTAGTTTCTGGAATATTTAAAACGACATTCTCAGATGATACGATACAAATACGCTATCCCATTGTTCGTTTCTCCACCTTTATTTCCGTTGGGGTTTTATCTTCAAGAAGAGGGAAGATGCGACCACCGTCTCTGCACTCCAATTTCTTCTCCTCCCTTAAACAAGTAGAGAAAAGATTGCAACTTGAAAGCCCAACACAGTCCATTAATTTTTCTCCATCACCACCAAAGGAGACATCAACACAATCTCTAAGCACACCCATGTATCTCCATATAGACCAAGAACTCGATACCAGCAGCTCAACGATTCTCCAAGAAAGCAGTGAGCCTCCATTAGCATTCCTCTCATCTTCTCCACACTCTTTATCACAAAACCTACTTCAAGAAATCCCCCAAGAACAGCCGATAACCATCAATCAAGATAAAACCAATGGTTTTGATGATATTCAATTGTTAATGCAGCTTCTGGGTTTGTCAGATTTTGAGCTAGGAAACCAGGAACAAGAAGAAAAAGAAGAAGAAGAAAAGAAAGAAAGGGTTTGTGATGAGTGTTGTGGATGTGAGGGTGGGTTATATGAGAAGATTGTTGGGGTCAAGGGACCCAAATGTAAAATCGAAGTGGAGAGATTAGAGAGGTGGATTAGGTACTTTTTACAAAATGGTGAAGGAGAGGAGAGGAAGGAGCCATTGAGGTTGGCTTTTTTGCTTTTGGGTAAGGCTGCTTTTGATGTGGAGAATGGTGGTGGGGGTGGTTTTGGTGGTTTGGAATTCCCTTCTACTATTGAGGAGTATTTGAAGTATGATCCACCAAAAGAATCAAACTGAGGCGGGCATCACATCTTCTTCTTTGGTTTTTTACTTTTATGTAAATTATATGGCATTGTAGCCAATTATTATATGCAGATACGTTACATCTGAGTGTTTTGTTTATTATTGTGATTTTACATCAATGATGATTATGTTATTATTAATTTGAATTCAATATTTAGTGTCTTTTGAATTGAATTATAACCTGTGAGTTAATTTGTCTTTTGGATTTCCTAGATGTTTTTTAAGTTTTCTAGATTATTATTATTATCATTTACTAGCTGCCTTTTGGTGTTTCCAAGCTATGTATTTGCATGACTATAAAAGTCTATGGTGTTGACAATTGAAATACATATAGAAAAACACTCTTGATCAAAAGTCCTCTCCTCCTCTTCCGTCCAACAGATTATGGAAATATTTTCGCATACAGTACTCCAAAGAGAAAATTCTCTTCGCTCATTGGTTATTGTGCATATTTGTGAAATTCTTAATCTTATGCTTATTTTCTGAACAAGATATTAATAGTTTTGCTTTGATTCACTGCCCACAAAAGTTACTGAGATCGAATTTTTGGCTCAATTTCCCTCTTCAAAACATGACAAGCGTTTGAACAAAATTCAGAATACAATGTGCAATTGAGTCTGTAGTGCAGGTATTCTTCCCACTCTTAGTATGCACTGCAGAAGTTCAGTATCTTGCACTTTTTAGCTTCTTGAGGGAAGCAAACACCTCATTCATGTTGGGTCGATCATCAGGATTTGGGTTGGTACAGCACAAGGCGAGCTTTAAGAGCTCTTTTATTGTTTCTTCCTCCTTGGACACGTTCATGGCAACCAAAGGATCTAAAACTTGAAGAAGTCCATTGATGCCATTGCTAAGGGCTTTCTCAATGAGTTGAGTTAGACTGATTGGTTGTCCATCCTCTTCAGTCAGTCCTGTTGGCCTTCGTTTCGTCAGGAACTCCATTACTAAAATCCCAAAGCTGAATACATCTACTTTAGTTGTGACCTTCCTCATGTATGCAAATTCTGAAATAAAATATGGAATCTGTTAATGGAAGTCAAACCATAGAAAAAGGCAGTAGCTATTAAAAATTAATATGATGAGGAGAAATGATTTTTAAAGGCTACCTGGTGCCAAGTAGCCTATGGTGCCTTGAAAAGCTGATGATGATGAAAGGCTACTGCCATTCTGGAGATGAACCCCTAGTATTCGGGATGTTCCAAAGTCACTCACATAGGCAACCCAATTACTATCCAACAGAACATTAGACGGTTTCAAGTCACAGTGAACAATGGGGTAGTCATAACCAGAATGCAAGTAATCCAGCCCACTTGCAATCGAAATACAGATGTCTATTCTCTCAGATAAAATCCACCTTGATTGATCAACATGATGATCATGGATGATGCTCTCCAAGCTCCCATTATTCATGTATTCCAGAACTAAAGCCTTTATTTTACCGCTCTCCCAGGCATAGCCAAGTACCTTAACTAGATTCTTGTGTCTCAGCTGGCTCAATGTTTTGACTTCTCTGTAGAAGCTCTTGTCAGATTCTGCAGGGAACTGCTGCAAATTCAGTTTCTTTACTGCTACAATCTGTCCATCTTCTAATTGACCTTTGTAAACAGTGCTCAAATTGCTGGCTCCAATTATTTTATCTTCGCTGAAGAAACTAGTAGCATTTTCTAATTCAATGGGCTCAAACCTTGTGAGTTTCAGTGCTGAAGCAAATCCTGGTTCTACATTCTCAATTCTTTCTGATCCAGGGTTTTTGTCTTTGGCACGTTGGAGGAGTAATGAAATCACTACCGCTAGAATGAGAAGCATGAAAACCACTCCAAGTGATATGAGAATCCACATTGTCTTCTTGGATAAGGAATGTGAACTCTTCCTGCTGCATGGTCTTTGAGATTTGGTCCCACAGAGATGAGGGTTTCCAATCAGACTGGAAGTGTTTATGTTTTTGAAAATGCCGGTCTTAGGAACTTGGCCTTCAAGTTCATTGAAACTAAGATTCAGATGTTGCAAGGCAGAAAGATTAGCAAAGCTCTCAGGTATTTTGCCCTTCAGCTGGTTCTGAGACAGGTCAAGGGTAGATAGATGTTTCAGTTCTCCCAAGCTTTCAGGGACTTGACCATCTAAATCATTTCTGGAGAGGTTTATGCTCGTAAGCACATTCAGTTGACTGAAAACTTTAGCAGGAATCGAACCAGAGAGTTTGTTCCCTGACAGATCAAGAGAGAACAAATTTCTGCAACCTCCAAGTCTTTCAGGAATGGTTCCTGAGAGATTATTGTTTGAGAGATCAATGGTTTGAACAACTTCCAACATTCCTAGCTCATTTGGAATATTTCCCTCCAAGAAATTGTGTGACAAATTGAGAAATATTGGTATATTTTTAATGCCTGCTATCACGGATCCAGGAATTGATCCTGTCAGATGGTTGTGAGAGAGATCAAGCGATGTGAGCCTATTGAGATGTCCCATACTTGTAGGAATGGACCCATTAAACATATTGCTTTGCAGGTCCAAGTACGAAAGCATTTCAAGTTTTGAGACAGCAGCTGGAATTGGACCTGTGAGCCTGTTAAGCCCCAGCATGAGAATAGTTAAATGTTTCAGTTCAAAAATATTCTCAGGAACTGCACCTTCTAGAGCATTGTCTTGCAAGGAAAGCCCTTGGAGGAGAGAAAGCTTGGATAATGTTAGTGGAATGGGGCCTGGAAACTTATTGCCGGCAAGTGATAAAGTAATCAGTTGACTTAAATTGCCAACCTGTAATGGAATGGGCCCCGCAAATGAATTGAAGCCGGCTTTCAAAGTTTGGAGGTTGTAGAGCTTACCAATCCCTGGTTTTAGCAATCCACTAAAATTGTTCTCAGCCAAACTTAAGAGAGCAAGATTGGAGCAGTTATAAATGTCATCAGGTATTTCCCCATATAGTTGATTCTGTCCAACAGATAGTCTTGTTACATTTTGCAACCGTCCCAAACCCCAGGGGAGTTTCCCAGTAAGTCTATTCTGAGCTAAATCTATGTATAAAAGCTTAGTACAATTGGTGATGCTAGAAGGAATAGATCCCTCAAGATGGTTAGAGCTTAGACTAAGGTTCCTCAAATTGTAAAGCATACCTATATTTGATGGAATCTTTCCTGTGAGGAGATTCATGCTAATGGACAAGTATGTTAAATTTGTCAGGTTTGTTATCGATGAAGGTATCTCCCCTGTAAACTTGTTTGAATGTAGTGTCAGCACCCGCATTGACCTCAAAAATCCTATCTCATGAGGTACTACTCCAGTTAACTGGTTCTCCGAGAGACCTAAATTGGTTAATGATATCAACTGGAATAAGGAGAGAGGAATTGTGGAATTTAGCCTATTTTTGTACAATCGCAATGTTTCTAATTGCCTCAAATTTCCGAGCTCTGAGGGAATGGCTCCAGTGAAATGATTGCTGTATAGTTCAAGATTGACAAGCTTCTTGCAGTGACTTAGTTCAGAAGGGATTTTGCCGACAAAGGAATTATTGAACAATACAAGGTACTCTAAGTTGGTCAAGTTTGCTATTTCTCTAGGTATTTCTCCAGACAAGCGATTTGCAGCAAGCTGTAAAATTTGCAAAGATTGCAACTTTCCAATGGAAACAGGTATTGAACCCACTAAGTTGTTTACATGTACCACAAAACTTTGCAAGTTAACTAAGTTGCCTATGTTTGTAGGTATTGTGCCAGTCAGGTTGTTATTATCGGCACCAAACGCTTGCAAGGAGGTGCAATTACAAATGCTTTCAGGAATGCTTCCATTCAAGAAATTACTACCTAAATCTGCATACTGCAGATTTTGAAGGTTTCCTAATACTGCATGAATCGGACCCGACAGATAATTTTGATAAAGAGAGAGACTAATCAGCTGGGAGCAAAGTCCCAGCTGAGGTGGAATATGACCAGTGAATAAATTTGAAGTTAAATCAAGAACCTGTAGTGCTGAAAGGTTTCCAAGAAATGGAGATATTTTCCCTTGCAGCTGCATCCCAAATAGAGAAATGGAAATGACGCGATTTGAGGAAGAATCGCAGACAATACCAGACCAGTTGCAGTGATGGCTTGCCTCTGTCCAATTAGCAAGTGCTTCAAGAGGGTCATCAGCTATTGCATTCTTGAATGCATTCAATGCCTCAATTTCAGATTCTAAGCTCGGTTCTGCAGAAATAACAGTAACAAGCAGAACAGAACAAATTATAACTATTTGTAAAGCCTTGTTTTGAATTTGAGACACCATTGCCATGAAAATGGTCAAAACTAGAGATGAAAATGAAAAGCTCAAGTTTAATGAAGCTGTTATATACTAAAAAAAATGGATCCACCAACCATTCATTGACCCAATACATCTCAGTCAATGTGACAGAGAGAAGTCAAAGAATGATCAAAATCAAACTGAAAATGGAATACTTCGAACCTTAACATAACTACAAATATTGACTACTGAGCTCATGGTATCATGACGAAACCCACCAGCCCACTTGTTCAAGAATCTATATAATGTATATCTCCAGAAGCATTGAAGAGAAAAAAAAAAGGTTAAAACCTCTTCTTTTTTAACTTGAAAGTTGACATTAAATATCTATTGAAGGCTCATTGGTGTTATGTTTACTAAGCTATTATTATTATTATTATATGTATGTCAACTGTTTGATATGAATTTAAGGTTAAGATTAAGATCCAATTTGATTGAATGGAACCCATAAAGTCTACTGGTTGAGTACTATAGATACAAGTTGCATATAAAGGCAAGAAAGTATGGGTTGGCTTTTGACTTGTACTTGGAGAACGGATAATGTGAACCGATTGAAAGATAGACTTGCTGACCTGTTATACATCGATTATTTAAAATACTAGTTACCAAAAAATTAATTATATTGACAGCTGTGGGATTTGAACCCACGCCCTTTCGGACCAGAGCCTAAATCTGGCGCCTTAGACCACTCGGCCAAACTGTCTGTTGTACATCATTCTCATTTAAAATTGAGTTACATATATTTTTGTTTTTATTTCAACAGGCCAGTTTTCTTTTTTTTTTTTTTTTTTTTACCAGAGCCTAAAATCTGGCGCCTTAGACAACATCGGTCCCAAAAACTGTCCTGTTGTATACATCATTCTCAATTTAAAATTGAGTTCACATATATTTTTGTTTTTTAATTTTCAACAGGCCAGTTTTCTTTTTTTTTTTTTTTTTTTTTTTTTATTATCATATATTTTCGTGTCTTATGATTAAATTGTAAAATGTTTTAAATTTTTTTTTTTTTTTTTTTTTTTTATATCATATATTTCGTGTCTTATGATTAATTGTAAAATGTTTAAATAAAAGAATATATTTCGTAAGAAAAAAAATCAACCTAGCCCGCAGATGTTTTTTTTTAGTTCGATATGTAATCAACTAATCATTTGTTTCTCATAAAGAATTTATCTTGATTCTTGAACGAACCGTAACTTCAAGAATCTCAACTCAAAACTCAGTTCTTGTCTAAGGAACCAAATACTTAAATTGATTTCTAGTTATTGCATATATTTAAATTTATAATACATTGAATTTGCATATATTTGCTAGAAGAATGGAAGGAATGGAACAATCTTCTTCAATATAAACAGAAAGTGGTTGATGACAGCTTATCAACAACTGAAATAGTTTCTTGAGGCTTTTCGTTCTTAAACTTTACAAGCTTGCACAAAGAAAAGGACATGGAGAAGACAAATGGAGTCATTGACCAATATCACAAAACGTAGTCGTTTTATTTCCCACCACCCAATATCCTGACTAACTCAAACAGAACTTATTGCTATCTTCTAAACCAACTTAGTTCTGTAAGTACAGTGCATAGCTTGCCTGCATGCATGACTTAAAAATTACATGATTAACCAACTCATCAACCAAAATGAAAAAAATAAAAAAATAAACTTCCTAATCCTCTTCATGCATTTTGGCAATATGCAATTTTTTTTCTTTTTTTTTTTAAAAAAAAAAATTATTTCCAAGAATGCCTTGACAATAACAAGTCCTGACTATATATTTGAATGGACTTTCTTCCCTTGCTTCATTCACATTTCTTAACCATCTTCACAAAATCAAAATGCCTAAACCAACTTCTGTTACTCTTTCCCTTGTTCTTCTCATGCTTGGCTTCTTCAACTTAGGTATGCCTCAAATTAATTTCTACTTTTTTACCTTTTCCCATTTTACTTACTACATTTTTTTCTTTCATATTGTGTTAGTTTACCGATATTTTGTGTTTGAAATTGATTTTTCAGGAGGGAATTTCAAGATGGCTAGTGGACAAGTAAAAGGCTTGAATAATTCTTCTTTTACTCTATTTACTTAGGGTACTAATCCTGATTTTTCTTGTGTTAATTTCTTGTTATGGTGTTACAGAAAACTTGGTGCATTGCGAATCCTTCAACTGCAAGTGCTGAGCTAATAGAGAATCTAGACTATGCCTGTAGCCATGTGGGTTGTTCTCAGATACAACAGGGAAGTGCCTGTTTTTATCCAAACACTAATCTCCACCATGCCTCATTTGCTATGAACTTGTACTATCAGCGCATGGGCAGGCATAGTCTAGATTGTAACTTTACAAATTCTGGACTAGTTTCTTTAACCGATCCGAGTAAGTAATTGTAAGCCTTATACTTCAAATATTGTAACTTTTTACAGTTTTGTTTTTATATATTGTTTATAATCTATATATTTCCTGAAAATTATTTTCATTATTTTGCAATTACTGCAGGCTATCGGAGCTGCACTTATGAGAGCGGTATGCAGTTAGAACAATTTTCCATACCTTATGAGAGCGGTATGCATATTTCCACAGCTTGGCCTTTAGTCCTGATAATCACCTTTTAATTTGCAGGAGGAGGAGCTGTAGTAGAAAATGGGACATCAGGAAACCAAACCTCGGTAATTTTAGCTAAAAAAAAGAGAAAAGATAGAGTTAATGAATAATTAATTAGCTGCTTTCAGTGGGTTTTTGTTTTATTTTTTTTTTTTGTTTGGTATGCAGGAAACTTGGTGTGTGGCGAATCCAGCAACAGAAAATGATAGGTTGCAGGAAAATATAAATTTTGCTTGCAATCATGTGGACTGCAGCCCCATAAGGGATGGTGGATCATGCTTCAGGCCAGTAACTCTTATGAACCATGCTACTTTTGCCATGAATCTTTATTATCAGACCACAGGTAGAAGAAATACAAGCTGTGATTTCAAGGGTAGCGGTCTAATTGTTATCAGAAGACCAAGTAAGTTTGATTTTATTATCAATTTATCTTTAATTTTAAAGACCATATAATCGTTGAGGGTCGATCACTCCAACGGCTAGTTCTCGTCATTTTGATAATGACCTTTCTTTTTAATTAAAAGTTTAATTATCTGCTTAATTATGTGTTTGTGTGTTGTTTTGCAGGTCATGACAATTGTAGTTTTTGAGTACTCAGAAATGCAATTAGGAGGTGAATTGATAATAAAGTGCAGAAGACATTATCTAGTCTGATAAGAAAAATTTTATGGTTCGACTGCTGCAAAACGACATTGTCTTTTAATTCTAATGAATCAATAAAAATAAATTATGAGGATTCTGTAGTAAGAAATTATTTTCTTTGTCTAATTGAAATATTAGCAATGTGGGAAAGATTTTATTTTTTGCCGATGTCTATTGAAGGGGTAGATTTTGAATGACGTGAAATAGAACTGCTTCTGTCGTTTAGTGGAAATAACCAATGACCAGTTTCCTAATGGCCTGTCGTTCGCACTAAGCCCATGATCCAAATATTAGCAAGCCCAAGAAGCCCAAACTGTGAGTGATAAGATCTACGGGAAGTGATACTATAGAATAGAACAAGAAAGGTCTTCCCTTCTTTTCATATTCCCATTTTTGATGTTATGGGAGTTAGCCATTGGCCATAAACATTAACATATATGGTGTGTCGGAGTAGTCTCTGAAAAACACACACACAAAAAAACATTGAGAAAGGCCCAATAATTATTGAAGACTTACAAGTACATCAAAGGCTTGTTTGAATTTGTATCACAAGTTATATCAAAATTTCAATTGTTTGCTCAAATTTGGATAGGAAAATAATATATTGCCACGAACAAATGCTATGTATTTACATTTAATATTTTTTTTACATAAAAATATTTAAAAAGAAGAATTATTATCAAATTGGGATATAAAAATAATATATAGCTACAAAAAAATGCAATATATTTATATTTTTATATTTTTTTTTACATAAAAAGTTTTAAGTAGAAAAATTATTATCAAATTTTAAATCATAATATCCTACGTTACAAAATAAATATTTAATTATTGAATATTTAATGATAACTAAACTGAATTAAGTTCAGAGTTAATTTCGAGATTTGAATTCTCTAATCAAAATCCAAGTGGTTTCCCAACCTTACTTATAAATAGTTTTACATTTTAAAAAAAAAAAAAAAAAAAAAAAAATACAAAAAATGTGTCAAAGTCATATTATCATTTCTTATTATATTCTTCTGTTTACGAAAAAGTTAAGTAGCACAAAACATCAATATATTATCAAAAATTTTACCACATATCTATAATTATCCTAACGCTTACAAAAAACTTAAATATTTAATTATGATACTTTATATCTGATAACTAAACTTTGAATCTAAGTTAACAGAGCTTAATTTCGAGAGATTGATATTCTCTAATCAAAAATCCAAGTTTGGTTTCCGCAAGCCTTTACTTAAAAATAGTTTTACATTTTTAAATAAAAAAAAAAAAAAACAAAAAAAAAATAAGCCTTAGCTATGGCATTATATTTGGCCTAATGACAGATGGACCATGTATTAACATTGATATCTTACCACTTGATAAAGGATAATAAAAAAACACAAAAAAATCAATCTTTAGGTGGTGAGCTGAAAAGTAATGACAGCTAACACTCAGTGAATGGTGATTGCTACTGCTCATATCATGCTTACAAAAACCTTCACTCTCTCCTTTTTATTTTTTATAGGCCAATCCCATCTATTCAACTAGAGCAGAAACAAGCTTTGTTGTGAGACCACTAGTTGATTTTTTTTCTTTTTTTTTTTTTTTTTTGACTTAATTACCTTTACTTTTTCACGGTCTAAAAATAATATTTGGAGTTTTTAAACAATAAAGGCATATTGTATTTAAAAAATATATCTAAATACATAATAACAAATTTAATTTAGAAGAAATAATCTGATAAAACATATTATCTATGTTTTAAACATATTTTTTTTTTTTTTTTTTTTTTTTTTGACTTAAACCTTTCTTTTTCACGGTTAAAATATAATTGAGTTTTAAAAATAAGCATATTCTATTTAAAAAATATATCTAATTAATAATAAAAAATTTAATTTTAGAAGAAATAATCTGATAAAAACATAATTATTTTTAAAACATAAAAAAATTTAAGTGTTAATTCAAATATAAAATAACAGCTCAAATATTTTACTCTTTTCGTAACTTAACATGATAACACGAAATAAGGGTCTATAAATTTAATCTGATTCCGATTAGATGTGCACTTAAGTCCAAACACGTGCTCCAGAGCTTACTGTGATGATGATAGCTGACAGACACCCCTAATTAGGCAGAACTCACAAAGCCCACCCAACAACTATTGACCCACTTCTTCTTTTGTCATTATAATTGCTTTTTGCTTCACTATCACATCACATTCCTAATCCTACTTATTACTAGTTGTTACTATTTTGCAAATGAATGACAATTTTTGGTTTTCCTCTCGGCCATCTACCTAATTAATTGTCCCAAAAAAGAGTGATTAATTCAAATAAAATCAACCCTAGTTCCATGATTGCTACTCATATTTCATAGCTGTTCAGTTCATTGATTTTAATTTTAGTAAGGTATGGATATAAAATTTCCGTCACAAATCATATTACTAGATCAAATTTCATATGATTTGAATATAGTAATTAAACCACTCACGTTAGAGATATTTTTGAATATAATTATAAATAAGATTTGCAGTCAGGTTCTTTGACCATTAAATAAAAAAATTCATTAAAATTTTTTATTTACCGTCTTCGATATCAAGAGAAAGTTAAAGATTTAAATATAAAAAGAAAAAAAATTTTAATATACAAATGGAGTGATAAAGTAATTAGAGTATTTTGAAAATTATTTCAAATTTTTTTTTTTTAAGTATTGAGAAAGAAGATTCAAATCTATAATTTGCACAGACAATATTGCAATTAAAACAGACTTATACAATTACATTTTTAAATGTAAATTACATTAAAATCCATTAATAAGAGATAAATATCACAAATTACAATTAGAATATTAAGAAAGAGAATAGAACCATCACGGATACCTCACCTTAGCCATGGCGGATAAGAGTCACTGGCTTTTATTTTTTATTTTATAACATAAACTCTTTACTCAATCTAACATCTTATATCTTCCTTCCTGTCAACGCTAGCAACTAAATCACTACGGTATGTCTTTAGGTTTAATGGAAATGTTAATGGTGGGTTGAAATTTTGCTACCAAAAACCTGCTTTTGGCATGCGCATCGATGGCAAGAAAAAATGGTGACTTGAAAAACCTACTGACAGCAACTGAACATGAATAACAATGGCTACTCTACCATAAAAAGTCTACTTAGGTAGCGTGCCATCAATAATATATAGCCTATTCTAATTTTTATTATTATTATTATTATTATTATTATTATTATCCCTCTTTGTGATGTGATTGAAAAATGGATTCAAAAAACATGGTCCACTCCAATAGTTGCTGTTTGATAATTATTAAGAGCTTGATTTAAAATTTTAATGCATTAATTGTGGTCTCTTCAAAATTTTTTTATATGGGTTAGAAGTTTTTGGTAACAAATGATAATGAGTAGTTGGGTTACTAATTAGTGAAGGAGTTCAAGGTTTGAAAGAAGTCTCATATATATCATATGGCTCCACATTACCAAGACAAGGATTAAAAAAATGGTATAAATATTTATAAAGAAAAAAGAAAAAAGAAAGTCATATTAATACACCTAATCCCTTTTTATAGTGATAATATATTAATTAATTAATTAATATTATAAAAAGGCATCCCATTGTTAAGATCCTAAAAAGAAAGAGAGCTATTGAAGTTTATTAGTACTTTATTGAGGAACAAAAGGCTTGAAATAAGGGAAATGTTTTTACTTTGTTAGTGTTGATACAAGATGCTTTGCTTTAATTAGGTTAGTGTTAATGGAAAGTTAATGCTTTCATTTTCTACTAATAGTAGTATTATCTTTTAAATGAAAAGAGTTGTTGCTTTTGGACTTTGGGTGATTAATAAAAGTGGGGCCTTCATTAAAGAATAAATTGCCATACATTGCATATAAAATTTTATTTTAATTTTATTTACACTATTTTTCAAATATAACACATGCAGTATTCTTATTCAGAATGATTTATCTAGATTCAATCTATTAATAATTTTATAGACCAAATTAATTTCAAATATTTTTTTATAAATGATGATATTTTAACTATTTATTGAAAAAAAGTAAAATAATTTAAAAAAAAAACTTTGATTGGTTTGATTCATGAATGAAATTATAGACGGATCTTTGTACATAGAATGTAAATTCTTTTACAATATTGTATTTTATTTAATCAAAATTTATATTAATATTCGGTTTTGATTATGGACTGGAAGTGTTCTTATGCATGTGCGTGTTACATATTGAAATTGAATATTTCGAGGCTTTAATGGTAAATATTATTATGCGATTAGGTTTTGACATTTGGTTCAATTAGAGAGTTCAAATCAAAATTTAATTGCAATGCTTTAAAGCTTCATTGCAAAATTGTTTTTATTCATATGAAATTGTTACTACTACCTAATTATTCATATGAAATTGGCAACGAAGCTTTGTTCTCACTAGTCAAAGTGAAGTTACATCCAAAAAACAAATTTGTATAAACATTTTTTTGCACATTGTAATTTCCTACAACCTTATAAACACTAAACACCTGTTTATATAAAATTATATTTTCTCCATTCTACTTTACACATTTCCTCTTTTCATAAAAATTAAAAAAATATTGAAATTTATTGATTTTTTAAAAATACATGATTAAATGTCTAAATTGTCTTTCTTAAAAGTAAATAAAAATAAATAAGATCTAATAAATATGGGTAAAATTTTAAAAAATTAATATGGTCTCAAAATTCTTAATAAATAGTTAAAATAAAATGCATATTTGTTGCTATTAAAGTTGAACGGGAAAAGTAATTTGGATTAATCATGAGCATTTATATTACCACTACTCGTCATTAATGTTATTATTAAAAATAATTTTTAAATTTTTTTATAAATATTTTTAAATTAAATTATTTTTTTGAAAAGAAAGGGAGTGCAAATGTTTGAAATTTCTATAGCCATATAAAAATGGAGCGGTTGAAAATGAGAATCGAGTAAAGACTAACAAAAGTGATTAATACGATTATTATGATTAATTTGGACTATTATTGCATCAAACAAAAAAGCCAAAAGAGCATTAACAAGAAGAGTCGTTTCCAAGATACGCGATTTCGTCAAACCTCGTGGTCCCCACCACTGCTCCCCGTTCACGCGTGCTTCGTCATCGGACGGCCCACATCCCATCCCGCGTTACACGGGATGGGTTCCCAATGCCCACCATGCATCCGACGGCCCGGATTCCCCGCCTTTGACTCTTTTCTGCCTCACAGTGGCACATATCCCAATGAACTCCAACATTAATGTTATTTCCAGTCAGTCTGTAATAAATAAAAACAAAAAATCCTGAATTTCTCTTTTCTTTTTTTTTTTTTTCCTTCAAATAAAAATACACTCTTTCTCGTTAGCTTAGCCACAGCACACTACTCACATTTCTCCACTTTTGCTCTCTGTCTCTTGCTCTCTACACTTTCTCTCTCTATATATCTTCAGCGAAAATCTAGGGAATTCTCTTCAGATCTTCAGTTCTGATCGTGGGTTTCAGTTTTTTTTTTTCGAGTTTTACTGGAATCAAAATAAACTTAGGTCTGGATTTTAGTTAGTTTTTTACATGTATGATTATCATTTGTATATGGGTCCTATTAGTTTTATTAGATTATTGGGCTTTTGGTTTGGTTGTGTACTGATTTGAGGTTTTCTGGTTGTTTTATGGTATAAAGGCTGAATTTTTTTTTGTGCTTGTAGGTGTTTCAAGATCTTTTTTTTTTTCCTTATGAATTTGCCAATTGCGCAAATAAGCAAGGATTTTTGCTCGTTTTTGTTGAAAGTAATCATCACAAGATAATTGATCTTGCGTGCGTTGATCTCAGTGTTTTATTGGGTTTTGTTGATTTTTTTCCCCTTTTGTTGGCTCTAATCTGTGTTTGTCTACCGAGTTCAAGAAAGTGAAGGAAAATTTAAGTTATTACGTTATTTTTTGGTTTAGGATTCATTAAGAGAAGGGTTTGGTCGAAAGCTTTTTTTATTTTTATTTTTAATAAGTTCCCGTTTTTCCCCTTTTAAATGAGACATAGAGTCGTGCTATTGTTTTTTCCTTTGTCTTTGCTGGTCATTACTCACCATATATGGTTTAGGATGCGCTTGATATGAAAGAAGAATAGTTCTTTGTTTGGCCATTTGAGTGTTGATAGTTCAATAATCAGGATTTATTTATTTGTTTTTATAAAACTCATTTGAGTACTTTTTATATCGTTTTTGCAGTGCAAGTGAAGTTCATTTATACAATAATTTGGTGATAGAGGAGTAGAGCAACATGCCGTGGGCGTCTTCATTTGTGAACTATAGCATGAATTGTATTCGACTGGTGGTGTTCTTTTGGGTCATACTATAATTTAGGTTCTTTGTAAGTTGGACTCTCCGTAGCTCTCTGTCCCATATTTTGGTTTTCTGATATCTTATAGTTTTGAAATGTTTTTACATATTGGCATTGATGAAATAGAAGTTTTGCCATTGTCTTTATTTGTCGCTATAGAACTCAGAGTAGCAACGAATTTTTTTTTTTTTTTTGTGCTTTATAACAATTTCATCTGCAAAATAAAAGTTGGAAAAGGTTCGTTGTATTATTTTCTTTAATCATGCAAGGCTCGTGCTTATTGTTGTAGGTAATTTCTTTTTTATTGGTGAAGGACTTCTTGTATCTACTGTAGTTTCAATTTTAAAAGCGGTGTGAGGAGTGAGAATGTACATTGCGGTAACCATCAAGAGGTATCGAGCTGTGAAGGAAGTAGGGAAGATTAAAATGATTGTCGGGATTACTGCATTTTACCAAGTGATGCAAGTTTGTCAGGTAAAAATGTCATGTCTGTTTGCAGAGGAATTTTATTGCGCATTTTCTTTGGATAATACATATTGTGGGTTTTGCTTTAGTGCTTCCAGTAGAATAAAAGATACCACAATTTGGGTGTTATTTGAAACGTTATTCCTTGTGGTTGGATGTATTAACAGCCAGTATGCTCACATCTAGTCTTACAGTGTGATAATCGTTTCCGAAATTCTTATGCATTACAAGTTCTGATCGGTCTGCTGATTGCGTAGATGTTAGCATTCTTTTTGTCCTTGCATTTTGGATCGGGAAAAGTAGGGAAAGTTTTGCTGTTGCTTGCTGTGTACATTATTTTATCTCTGAAGCTGTTGTATAGCTTTTCTGCTGTTGGTTAATCTTTCATTGTGCCCTAACATGGTGGTGTTTTCACGAACACTGAAATATTTCAGAGTTGATGTGGAATTTCGAAACCTTAAAAGATGTGTATACCACATGAACTATGGAATTTGTGTGAAGATTGTGCGGAAAATATTTCTTATACCTTGAGTTAGTATCGAGGTCACATTTTAGTGTTTTCCTTTATCAGGTACCTGCATGTGTGTGTGTGAAAATTAGTTCTCTCTAAATAATTTTCTCGTATCTGCATTCTTGTTTGGTTCTCCTTAACAATAGCTTTTTGGATTGTTTTGTTTAGAATTTATGAGCACTTTATTAACAACATTGGTTCATGTACATTTTCTATTACAGGCTGAATACTTCCGACAGTTGCTTAAGCCTGTTACGTAGTCTAGCAATACAAAAGCTCTGGGGATTGGGTTTGGGACAGATTGCCCTCTGGTTGTATTCATACATAAGAAGGCAATGACCAAAATGAAATGTTTGATTCTGTAGTTGTTCATTTAGAATAGACGGCTCTTTATTCAGGATGGCAATACATTGATTTGCTATATAGTCTTTTGTCTGTTTAGGTACCTTCATCTAATTAGAAACCAAATAATTGCCAACCCAAAGCCAAAAATCAATCATTCTCTTAACACTTTTATCAAAAGCAAGCTTCTGATGCAGAGTGACCAACAATTTCATCCCAAAAAAACTGTGCCCCACTTTGCTAATCAAAGGGGTAATGATTACATGCATATGCCAGTTGCTTCTTCCTTTACTGCAGCTCTACCACCCACAAAGCATTTCATGCCTGTTCATGGCATTGAATTTCAGCCTTCGGAGGTTTGCCCAAAAAATTTCATCATTTTTGATCAAACTGATTATCGAAGCCAAATTATGTTCCATCCTGCAGTTGCCCACAAATTCAACACTCCTGGCTTAAATATGCATACGAGTTTCATCCAAGAGACTTTTGAGAGAAAAGAGGTCAATGATATTGAAAGAGAAATATCTTCTTCTCTAAAAGAGGATTCAGATGATATTGAAGCGTTATTGAGCTTGGAAGAGGACGGGGAACAAGAGGATTATGATGATGAAGAGGTCAGCACCGCACGGGCTTATGGAAATTATGGATGCAATTCCCCTGATTCATGCTCCACGTATGGTTCTAAGCCCAGGAAAAATGGATCTTCATCTGTTCAGAAGTCCTCAGGCAGTGGTAGCAGCTCAAACAGTGAAAGGAAACGACAGAAAATGAAGAAAATGGTGAAGACACTGAGAGGTATTGTACCTGGTGGTGATCAAATGAATACCGTTACTGTTATTGATGAAGCTGTAAGGTATCTAAAGTCTCTCAAAGTTGAAGTGCAAAAACTAGGAGTTGGGGGTTTGAAGAACTAAATTTGAGCTTCATCTTGTATTGAACTCCATTTTCTAAGATATTGGTAAATCACGCATCAATTAGTCTTCTCTCTCTTGGTGGATTGGTATCAAGTAGATAATAATGGCAGTTACTGAGCACTCATTCCCGTCCGCACTCTACATTTCGAGTATATGCTGGTTGCTGCAGATTGGAGGGATGTTAGTGGGTCATTCTCTCTTAAATTTCTTAGTAACCTCAATGTCTACATATCCTATAGTGGAGTTAAAGGGTGGCTTGATGTTCAATATGGGCCACTCTCTTCTGCTTGCAGGTGGTCTGTCTGGCTTGGTAGTATTTACTATTACTTTTAATGCTATGTTGTATTGTACTCAAATATTTAACTGGTCTTATGTTATTGGCAGTTTACTTTAGAGTGCTTTATAATGCTCTCTGTCTTTAGCATATGCTCATAATTAATGGTGCTTTTTAGGTGCTGGATCCAGTTGTACTCGATAAATGCTTAAATGGAAATGCTTTCTGTCAGCAAGTAATACTGAAAAATCTGCCATCTTTTTTAATAATGCTTTAAACATGCTTCTGGTTGCTCCTTATCCTTTATTATGGCATTATAAATACTGGAGGTGCTGGGAATTTAAGAGACACTAAGATCTTTGATCATGCAATTTATTGGCCTCTCAGCAGGTAGTGGTGTCAGTGGAGCACCATCTCCATGGCCTTTCTTTGTGTAATGTTGGATCCAAGTTGTGGTGCTTTTTGAGTGGGTAATCCATCACTTTATGTGAGCATGACTTGCTCAAATCTCTGTTACTCTGTTGGTTTCGCTTTTATTATATTTATATACCTCGAAATATATTTGCCCTTTTTTATCCTTTTTGTGCTGGACTTCTAGGGACATGGAGACACCTGTCATGCATGCATGGTGCCTCCTGTTTTTTTTTTTTGAAAGAGAAATAAAGAAAACCACTCCTATGCCCTTTGAAGGGCCAATGGGCGGCGGTGTTAGTGGCGCACCACCAACGCCCTTTCTTTCCTTTCTCCCCTGCCAAGTTTTGTGCTCCTAAACAGAGCGGATCTTTTAGGTCAGGCAGGGTATCCTTTTTCACTATCTAGTCTCCAACTGACGTGTGTGGGATTCTTTGGTGGTGTATTTATATAATATATCTATATTCGAAAGTCAATGGGGTTATTTTCTTTTCTAGTTTATATGAAGTATATTAGTATTTATAGTGTCACACAGTGCAAGAACGAAAGCAGGCTTTTAATTGTTAATAAAATCTCAAGAAAGTGCATTTTTTATTTACCCCACTAAGCACCAAGTGAGCCAACATAATCTTTTATTAGTAAATGCCAAAAAAAAAAAAAAAAAAAAAAAATATTCGAATAAAAGTTCAATAGGTTATTTTTCTTTTTCTAGTTTATATTGAAGTATCATTAGCTATTTAATAGTTTCACAACAGTGTGCTAAGAACGAAAGCGAGGCTTTTTTTAATTGTTAATAAAATCTGCAAGAAAGTTGCATTTTTTTATTCTACTGCCCACTAAGTCACCCAAAGTGAGCTCAACATTAATCTTTATTAAGTAAATGCAAAATAAAAAAATAAAAAAAAAAAAAAGAAGAAACTTTCATAAGTTATATAAAAAAAAAAAAAAAAAAAAAAAGAAGAAGAAACTTCATTAAGTTATATTGAATTGTTTTGGATTCAAACTATTCTGGGTTCTATTATTTAATTTTATTCTCCAGTTACTTATCGATGTTCTTTTTATTAGGACTGTTGAAATCAGAAATCGACAATCCGATTTGAATATTAATTTTATAGAAATAATTGTTTAAAATCCACTCCATAGTCATTAGTGCTATTATCAAAGTCTATTTTATGTTCAACTTCAACATTTTTAGGTTCTTGTCAAGAAAAATTTCTTTCCCACCCAATGAGTTCGTTACTCTCCTTTGGAAATGTTCATATTACCATTATGTTATGGAATTATAAATCTTGACCTTTTGAGAAGTTTGGCTTATATTTTTCATGCACTTTTGACTACTTTTACATAATTAGCAATTTCATAACATTTATATTTTGGTAATTAAGTTTAAAATTCAAATTATGTTAATCATTTCGTTTCAAAATTTTAAAACCTCAATTTTTTATTTTATTCTTGGAGAAATTATTAGCTTTTATTGCTTTGTTACTTAATAAGATAATTACTTTTATCTAATGCTCATCAAGTTATTAACAACAAGGTATATATTGCAATAAGGAATTGTAGGAATGCACATTAATATCTATAAAATGAATGGCTTTCTTGCTGATATCTCTCTTGTAAATAATTTATCCACACTTTTATTCCAATTAAACTTTCAGAAAAATTTGGATATTGAAATAAATATTTAGTAGCACCAATTAATAACCTAACTAAAGCTTCCGCGCATCGCAGATTCCCCTCGGCCAATCCCTTTGCCTCTAAGATTTACTGTGGATCTTTAAAACGACACGAGCTTGCACCCATCGTGCAAGGGAAAAAAAAAAAAAAAAAAAACCTAAAAAAAAATAAAAAAAAAACCGAACTAAAACTAATCTTGAATTCGGAAAATAGAAACTTGTGTCCCCTCAATCAAATGATAGTTATGATTTCCTAAATGGCCAAAAACATCTTAATATAAGCACTATATGTCTATGATCTGCAAACTTCTTACAAAACATCAAGATATTCAATAGAGTAACTATTCTGACTTCTCTTTCGCGTTACACAAAAAGGTCTTGAAAGCCAATTACTTGCTTAATATTTGCTCCTGCAATATCCTGGAAAAAAAAAAAAAAAAAAACCTAACTAAAACTAATCTGAATTGGAAAAGAAACTGTGTCCCCAATCAAGATAGTATGATTTCCTAATGGCAAAACACTATAAGCACTATAGTCTATGATCTGCAAACTCTTACAAACATCAAATTCAAAGGTAACATTCTGACTTCTCTTCGCTTTAACAAAAAGTCTCTTGAAGCCAATTACTTGCTTAATATTTGCTCCTGCAATTCCTTTAGGAGGCATAGAGTAGACAATAATAACTTCACTTCCACTTCTAGATCCCACATTTGTCACTTCAACATCGAAATGAAAACTTCGGTTGCAGGATAAGAAATTGGTTTGGACTGATGGACATTGAGGTTTAGAGGTTCCTTCTTTATATGCGAGATCATGGCAGTGCTGAAACTTGTTTAATTTTATATCAACTGATGTTGTTGGAGACGTTAGTTTGTAGGAAAAAGTAGTGTAACTAAGTCCGTACCCAAATGGGTAAACTGTAGAGCCATTAAAGAATTTATAAGTTCGACCTGGATAACTTAATTTATCATCTGGCCTCAGTTTTAGAGATGTCATTGGCAGCTGATTAACATAATTAGCTTCATACCATGTAACTGGTAATCTTCCTCCTGAAAAAAAAATATATATATATATAAAAGGGTTATTAAAAATTACTATTTCTTTCTTATTTTTTTTTTTTTGAAAGGGTATTTCTTTCTTAATTATTATTACATACAATTAGAAATAAATTAATGAGAGAATTACCGGGATTTTGTTTTCCGAAAACAATGTCTGCAATGGCGCGACCACCTTCTTCTCCTGGATATCCAGCCCACAAAATGGCCGTGACATTCTTGTTGTTTTTAGCGGAAGTGATATCTATTCCTCCTGCTGACATGATTACCAGAATAACTGGACCTTTGGCCAATTCTGCGACCTGGTTGATAAGTTCTGTTTGGTTACCAGGAAAGAGGAGATCTTTCCTATCTAACCCTTCAGCTTCAATTGATAAGTCTAGGCCTGCTACTATTATTGTAGCATCAGCTTCTTTTGCAACTTGCAATGCCGGGAATATCAAACTCTGGTTCTTGCAAGCAACGTCACATCCAATTTCATAACTCACGTTTGCATATGTTGAAAAACCATCAATAGGAGAGATATATCGACACGGAATTCCTATAATGTAAAATGTAATTAATCATATTTATGATACTGTTGAAATGTGTGTGTGTATATATATTAGTTTGTATACGGGTTTCCATGCTCAGGCCGATATAGTAAATTTTATACCTGCATAGTTGCCAATCATGGCTGTGGTAGCATTAGCATGAGGACCAACCACAGCTAGGGTTTTGACCTTATTAGAATTCAAAGGCAAAGTATTGTCTTCATTTTTGAGCAGGACAATTCCTTCTCTTGCTGCTTCTGCTGCTAATTCAATGTGTTCTTCAGAACAAACGTCCTTCTTGCCAAGAGATTGAAATTGAAGGCTTCCATCAAAGTATCCCAGCCTCAAAAGCACCACATAGAGATATTTAAGTGACCTGTCTATGTCTTCTCCCCTGACCTTTCCTTGATTTACTGAGGATTCAGTGTTTTGGGTATAATAAACTCCACAATCCAAGTCCAAGCCAGCTTTAAGTGTTCTTGCAACTGCATCCTCCTTTGTGTCTCCAAGAAACTTATGGTCATTAACCATTACTTCGATGGAATCACAATCTGATACTATGTATCTGTCATAAAAAGAATTTAATGGTTCATTTATAGTATTTATATAACAATAGAAATTAATCAGAGTTGGATAATATGTTTACCCATGAAGATTCCAAACTCCTCTTATGGTTTGATTTAGTAGTTTTGGATCAGCACAGGTAGGTATACCATTGACACGATTGTAAGAACACATGACGCTGCTTGCATCACCTTCTTTAACACACATCTCAAAAGGTCGAAGAAATGTTTCTACCATATCTTGTTCAGTCACCTACGTTAAGTAAAAAATTATTAATTCTTATTCATATTGAAAATTAAGATGATTAATATAAATTTTGGAAACAAGGGTTATTCTGGAAATTACTATAGCATTAAAGCTGTAGCGTTCAATTCCTTGCCAATTGTCAAGATCATAGGCAGCAAAGTGCTTGCAACATGAGGAAACTTTAAGAGGTCTAGAGTTTAAATCTGGATAATTTTCAGTTCCCTCAACGTCTTGTAAGCCTCTTACATAATTAGAAGCATATCTACCTACAATGAAAGGATCTTCTCCAGGTGTTTCAGTGATTCTTCCCCATCGAGGATCCCTAGCTACATTAATAGTTGGACTCCAAAAAGTTAATCCAGCTCGACCTAAGTTGTACATTGCCCTTGCTTCGGTCGAAACAGCCTGCATTAGTTATATCAGATATCTATATTTATATTAACAACTAACTGACTCATAATACAAGAAATTAACAAGTAATAAACGCAGTACCTGACCAATAGTTCTCCATAGAGATTCATTAAAAGAAGCTGTTGTGAGTATTACTGTTGGGAAGCTAGTTGCACCAGGAACAAGATCATCAAAGAATGTTCCTGGGCCCAGATTGGACACACCATGTAAGGCTTCAGACCACCATTCGTATTTAGGTAACCCCAACCTTGGAACACCATAAGCAAGATCTCCAAGCTGTTGCACCTTTTCTTGTAATGTCATACGGTTTACTAAGTCCTTAGCCCTAACAACGTAGGGAAGGGACTTGTCACAGAAGACAAAATCTGACACGTTCAATTTAAGGGCAGTATACCTGGAAGGGTCACATACGTAAGTGAAGTTAGAACCTGCAGGGGTGGCATCTGATGTAAAGTATGAAGATGGCATTTGCTGTCCTTTTCTAGCTGTAGTAGAAATGGCAAACAAAGCAATAGAAATCAGATGAATGATGAGAAGGGAACTTAAGCTTTTGTCCATGGCTTTTTTCAAAGAAGAGTTTTGGTTAAAGAATGGGTGATCGTAGTTCAAAGCCTGGCTCTGGTTATTTATAAAGAATTTCTCGCAGGTTTTCTATTTTCCTTTTTTGTTTTTAAAGATTTATATCTATTTCATTTTCACGCTTAAATAATATATAGAAATTGTTAATTTTTACTAATTTGATCTTAAATAAGATTTGACTACACCCGTGAATTGACTATCCATATATAAAACTAGTCAAAAAAAATTTTTTTTTTTTTAAATTATTACTATTTTATTTGTCTCATCTATAACTATTCTCTTGTGCTGACTCATTTTAAAATTTGTCCTGCACAATATTTCCTGCATTATCTAAAAAAAGAAAATATAAATCTCTACTACATTCATGCATTTATGCATGGATTTTTTTTTTCGATTTATGCATTGATCTTACCTGTTTTATTCGAAGGATTGTCTTATATCCATTCATCTTAAAATGTATCCTCTGCTGTGTTCCCTACTTTATATATATATATAAAAATAATCTGCACTAATTCATGCATTTATGGATTTTTTCTTCAATTTGAATATCTGCTTAAATTAATCTTTTGAAGTCTTTTCCATGTAAAGAAAAAATGAAATTTGAAGATCTTCCACATATTTATGTATGCTAATATCGTTCTGGAAAAGAAAAACTGTTAGTCTTTTGTTGTCTTTGCTTTAAAAGTAGAAACAAATTATCCAATAATATTATTCGTGAAATTGAAAAATATATATATACACACTAAAACAATCTCTGGAATTTTTGCTCTAAACGGATAATTATAGAAATTTGAATAAATTATTTCATTGATATTCTAATAAAAAAGTAATTTATTTTATTTTAAACGAGTAGAAATTCTTAAAATTAAACATAAAGCAGAATTATACATAAAATATAAAGATTGTTTCATTGGATAGGAATTGTACGCATTTTCATTAGATATTTTAATACATGTACTTCTATTTCAGATTAGTTTTTTTAAATTTGTGTTACACATTATTTGTACTTATTAATTTTTTTTAAGAATTGCACTCATTAATTTTTTGTAATTTAATTTATATATATAATAATTTTTCAATTAGTTTTTTTAAATTTGTGTTACACTATTATTTGTACTTATTAAATTTTTTTAAGAATGGCAACTCATTAAATTTTTAGTAATTTAATTATATAATATAATAATTTTTAATTACTATATATTAATTTATTAATTTTTAATTATAAATTATTAATTTATTCATTTTTATTATAAATTATAATATTATCAACATTTGATAATTCTAAATATCTAAAAGCGTTCACAAAACAGAAAAAAAAATTTACAAAATAATAAAAAATTCAAGAATTAAATGGCTTTTTAAGAAAAGAACATAATTATAATATAATTATTTTAAAATAATTAATTTGTTAATCATTATTTTAGAGTATCATTTAATTTGATTTTTCTTTTTTCTTTTACTTTTTGCTAAAATTTACGAGTATATAATTAATTTTAAGGTTGCTTTTTTTGAGAAAAAAAAATTCTTTTAATGTATTATATGGTTTCTAATAGAACATGTTATAACATGCAATTGCAACCTTATAATGCAATTGCATTCTTTGGTACGATTCTGTTTTTGTTTCTATATTCCTATTTTTTATAATTATATATATATAAAATATATAATTTAAAAGTATATAAAAAATATATAAATATATATATATATATATTAAAATAAGGTTTGTTTAAACAGAGGTGTTATTATATCATAATTTTTTTTCCAAAAAGTAACTCTTCATAATAATATTTCTTAATAAAAATAATAAATATAACACTTATTTATATAATTAAGTTATTTATAAAATTAAATTATAACCAATCAAAATTAAAATTTAATGGAAAAAAATAATTAATAAAATTACCATAAAATATACATAAGGTATACACGATATATAAACAATTAACAATAATTTTACGCAATAAAAATAATTCAATTCTTGAAAAGATATTGATTTTATCACAAAATAATTTTAATATATAATATATTATATATTTTAGTAATAATATATTTTTTTTAGGTTTATCTCAATAAGACATATTTAGATTTTAATATAGCAAATAAAAATAAACAAATCAAAAAGAGAATATTTTATATTTGTTGTCGAGGGTCAAATTAAAATTAAAAATTTTAATATCTATAATATTTTTAATCTGTATTAATACATAGCAAAAATAGATAAAAAGTAAAAATAAAATGATGTTAAAGTCAATAAAATTAAAATATTTAAATATATTATATTTTTACTGTATTTAATACATAGCTTATATAGTAAATAATATAATTTTTTATTTTATCCAATAAAATTTAAATTTAAATAGGAAAATAATATGGCTAATCAAAATAAATTTATCTTTATTTTTAACCAATATAATTAAAATCTTTAGTGGTATTTTTATCAATTTATAAACATAGTAGAGATATTTTTAACAATCATAATATCGCACACTCATTCCTACTTTATATATATCATAAATTATTTACAAAATATTTATGTATTAATTTTACTTATTTCACCAAATTTCAAAACATAAACTTATATATATTGTGTCGTCCCGAAAAAAATTCGATATTAATTTAATATTCTCGTCCCATAACGGGATCGATTATTTGATTAAAATCAACCCGTATCGATTCAAGTTTTTTTCCATCTTGTCCAATCCCAAAAATTGGATATTCACATTCCATTTTTTCTTTAAAATTCTGGACATCTGTTTTTATGAATTTCAAATTATGTCCATAAAAATCATTTTATTTATTTTTACTTTTTTTATGACACCGATTACTTGTTAAAACACAATAATATGAAAAACATAATATGTATTTTTTAAAGATAAAATGAATAAATTAATTAAACATATTTTTCAATATAGATTTTTCCTCCATACAAGTAAATCTCTCTATATTTGATTATTGGTTATACTTAATATTATCATTATTTATTTTTCAGATAATATTTATGATTAAATAAGTAATTATCAAATTTAAATGATATAATAATGAGTCAAAATTTATATTATACATGTCAAGCTAAATTGTATATAGTTTTTCAATTATTTTGTCTTATTACATTTAATGCTCTTATTAATAGGAAAGTAACCACTAAAAAAACTTCTATGTTGAATTCAACAGTAGATCATCAACGATTGAATTAATTATTTAGTTTATTCCTTTTTTTTTAACTCGAATTTGTATAAATGAATTTTGTTTGATTGTAATTGATAAGTATAATAATTTTATTTTTTTGGCGAAAAAATAATTTAGTAAGACAACCAGAAATTGATTTCCTATTTCACTAATTCTATCATATTCCATAAACTTAAATTCTTATTTTGTTTCGTTATTTTCCAGAAAATAAGATAGAATGAGACGGAATTACATACCTATTGAATGAGATTAAAACTCAATTTTTTATATCTCGATGGTTTAAGATGAGATTGAAATTATATAATTCACATACTAACCGAACCATGCACAGCCCCAAAGATTATAAATTTATATTGTAGTTGATGATCAAAATGTATTTTGCTTGTAAATTTCCAGCATTGTAAGCGTTATGTGTATCAAATAACGAATATTCAATAGCTATTTGAAAAAATGTGCTCTAAAAGCTTAAAAATAGACACATTGGCGATTTGGTATGTTAAGAGGTGATTGCAATTATTTTAATTTATATTTACCTAAATTACGCTTACAAGCTATCACAATTGTTAAACCATTTTAGCTACTGAACATGTAATATTATTCCTCTACGGTCATGAGGAAAATAAGATCTATATCAAAACTACATCGTTTTGATAACGGAGGAAGGGCGGTTGGTTTTTTGGTCTTCCGAAGATTATTCTTCGATTTCTAATCGCTGCATTCTTCTTCTCGCTTTTGTCCAATCCAAACTCAAGCTCAAGCTATTGAAACACTAATTCCCAAGAAACTCAAGTTCATCACATTCAATTTTCCTCTCTCTTTATTAGGCTGCTCATGGTCGGCGGCACCTGGTGCAGCTCATACTGTACTGGTACTGGTAACGTTGTCCTCTTTTTCTTTTTTCTTTTCCACTTTCCTTTTTTTTTTTAAAAAAAAAAAAATTTCTGTTATCCCTTATATGCGGGGCCACCCCAACTGGTCAGCTGCAATACATGTAACTTGGTACTTGGAAACTAGGTTTTCCTCTGTTATCTTTTTTCATGCTTTCCAAACTTTCGCTTTTTTTTTTAAACAAAAAAAAATTTTCCTTTTTTTTTTTAAAAAAAAAAAAAATTTCTGTTATCCCTTATATTTTCTTCATTTCGTTTGGATATTTTGATGTTATTACTTTTTTTTCGCTTCCCTGTGAACGTACTTTGAAGGTATGCATGATTAAAAACTTCTGGTTGCCTAAATTTGAAGGCACTTTCAGGTCCAAAAGTATAATCTTTGTTTCTAGTTCCTTGATCAGTATGTGCAATTTTGATTTTTCTTTATTTTGGTTGTCATTTTTTTTTTTTCCGTTAGAGTTGTTTCATGCTTGCTTTTATATTCAACTTGAATACAAGCATAGAAATTAAGAACTGTGAAGAAAAAATACTACAGTGTAAGAGTCGCTAAACTCTTTTGAACTAAATTTCGTTAATTCATAATTTACATTATGGAAGCTGGAAACTGAGTCTCCAAAATATTTTTCATAACAAAAAAGCGGGACCCTTTGCATGAGCATCCCGTAGGAAATTTATTTGGTATCAAAATTTCTTTTTGTTGTTGCTTTAATCTGTTTGCTGCTGTTTATCTGTTTAGGAAATTATTTCAAATCAAACAATTTGTTTGGAATCTGTTTGCTTTTGTTGTAATTGTTTAGGAAATGAAATTATTGTTTTGTGTTGGATATTACTTTACTAAGGTTATATATATAAAAAAAATTGTGATTCTATTCCAAGCTTGTGTATATATTTATTATATATGTTATATGATTTATTCTACTTTAGTATTGTTGTGTTCTAAAGGATTTTGATTGTGTAATTTTGTTTTGTTTGTGTGTTGTATGGATTTAGTCTGAATTTTATAGTCTTTTACGGGTTTGGATTCGGGTAGCATTCTTGCAATACTAGTTGGATTTTGAATGGGTTCAGATAATGCAAATTTAATTTTTGATGGGTTTTAGTACCTGACCTATTGCCAATCCTGAGGATCTAAATAGTTATTTACCCCAAAAACTATTACAGGTAGAGAGCTAGTGGCAGTCACCGAGACAGAGCAACTATGAGTCTGAGAAATCTACAGCTATGGAAGAGCTTTGCCAAGGAAGCACTGGATGTATCAGTGTTGCTTGGCAAATTCTTCTGCTGCCTTCACATCACCAACACCTATATATGCACTGTTGCTCTGGTTAGTATTTCTAAATAAATTTACACATATCACTAAATTCCAACAGAATAGTTTGTGCAAATTATAATCGCTTGCATTGCAGACCTATGGACCCAGCATGCTCCCTACCCTGAATCTCACAGGTGACCTGGTCCTTGCCGAAAGAATCTCTCCCCGGATTGGCAAGGTGGGGCATGGTGATATTGTTCTCGTAGAGTCCCCTATAAAACCTAAAAGGGTTGTCACCAAACGCGTGATTGGCATGGAAGGCGATCGAATCTCATACATTGTTGACCCTGCGAACAGTGATGAAACCAAAACTGTTGTGGTACTTGTTATAAATTCTGTTTATTTGAGTATTATTTTCTTTTATAAGTTTTAGCAGCTCTGCTTTCATATTTTCTATTGTTTAATATTTTGCTTTTCATTATTTTGGGACTTTTTACGCGATGTGTTGACTGATTGTGCTTTACTTTGCTAATATTTGGCTTTAGTTAGTGATCTTTTTTTTTTTTTTTTTTTTTTCTATTGTTTAATATTTTTGCTTTTCATTATTTTTGGGACTTTTTAACGCGATGTGTTGACTGATTTGTGGCTTATACTTTGGCTAATATTTTGGCTTAGTTAGTGATCATTTTTTTGTTTTTTTTTTTAAATATATTTTGATTATTCATTTGATGGGTGGTGGAGGATTGTGCTGTCATATTGGTTACGTTATTTTGATGATTGGCATTTTGTTGTCTTTGGATGGTGCTGCTAGAATGCTCTATGAGCTCAGTACATACATCGAGATTATCACTTACTGTTGCTTTCAAAAATTCTGCTTTTATGTTTTTTTTTTGACATTTGTTCATTTCATTGCCCTCTCTTTATTATTAGGTTCCAAAGGGCCATGTTTTGGGTAGAAGCAGATAATTAAAAAAAAAATTCTGCTTTTTTTTTTTTTTTTTGACATTTGTTCATTTCATTGCTCTCTTTATATATTTAGGTTCCAAAGGGGCATGTTTGGGTAGAAGGAGATAATAAATATGATTCGACAGATTCAAGAGTGTTTGGAGCGGTTCCTTATGGCCTTCTTCAGGCAAAAGTATTCTGTAGGGTAAATCTAGTTTCTTCTTGAGCTCAATTTTAATATCAAGTTTTAGTTATTTGCATAGAGAAAAGTTTTGGCATTTAGATTGAAAATGGCAAAGAATTCTGTCAAATATGACACTTTTATGGCTGCATAGTTGGCAATATTAGCACTTAAGTTGAATTATGTTTGGAAATATTTTGACCGATGACTTTTCTGGCATTTCTTAGAGTGTAATTATTCAAGAAGGTATAAAGTGAGATAATAATGTATGAAATATGGGCTTTGTAGTGGCAGATTAAACCATTGAAGGTCTAAGACATCTAACATTAAATTTAATTATTGAGATAGTCTGCATTGATTTATGTTCAGATAGTTTCGTATTAGTTTCGCAGAAGGTTCCATAAATTGTTTGCCTTCACTAATTTTACAACTCTTGATGGTTCTATAAATTGTTTGCCCTCACTAATTTTTTTTATAGGTGTGGCCACCAAAAGATATTGGACCATTGGGAGAAAGAGCAATATAAAGGCATGTTCTTTTTAAGGTAAACATTTTAAACACATGCTTTTGATATATCAAATTGCAGGCTTCTGATTGTCAATTCTTTTCTATATCCTTTTTTCATCATGTGAAGCTACTACTACTACTATTGTTATTGATGGAACATTATTGAGGTTGTCTTAGTCAGCAGTCATAGAGTAGCTGAAATCAAGTTTGGAAATGAATAAGGCACAGCACAGTAGGACTGCATAGTAACTCTTGCTTTTGAATCTTATCGAATGAATGGCTTTCTGGCTGATATCTCTATTCTGCCAAAATATGGAATCAAGTCTTGTATGCTGCTCCCTTGGCTTTATGCAACATGTGTTTATGTAAATATTATTGAAGTAGCAACACCCACTGTGGGCTTCCCGCTATCCTGCTCCCTTGTCTTGGGTTAAATTAGCAAGGATTTTATTATTATTTATCCTCTTCTAATATTTGCTGGTGAAAGTTGACTTCGATGTTAAAGTAATGCCTTCTAATATCTCGTCGTCTGAAAGACCTTTGGACTCGGTTCAGGTTTGGATGTTGGTCAGAAGGTCATATTTGGTAGAAGTTTTGGTGCTTTGCTAATCCAGAAGAGAACCAAGCAGTAAGACACTTCAAGAGAGACATCAACGAGAGCAATTGTTGACTATTGTTGTTCTCATGCAACAGTTTTATTTTAAGAAGCATTTAGGCGTTAAACCTTTGCATTAATTGTTAGTTGTTGCTTTTCATCAAGTTAGTAACTTACAATTCTTTAGGTTTGTAGTAAGAACAGCACAAGAATTGCTTGTTATGACATGTTGATATTTCTAGACCATCAATTTGTTAAATTAGTATTTTAATTGAGCTCTTATCGATTGATGAGTTGCTAATTGCAGCTCTGTTCAACATCCATGACAAACAACATATTGTTGCTTAACTATTACTCAAAATACTTTCACAAAAATGTAGCTCAGAGAAATGAGCAAGTCACAAAAAGAACTTCCTATCAGCAGATGATTCAAAATCAGGTAGAAGTATTCATGTTAAACAAGGTATCAATGGAGTGTGTGAATGGAAAATGATGGGTGAATTCCCCCTCTTTAGCATTTGTCATCGTTATATACATACTCTAAATCTCCAATTTTGTGAAGACAACCTTACAGCTGTACCCCGTGTGGTGTCATTGATGCAATTAGCCAGCTTCTTTAGGATTCTCTCATCAGTAAGTCTTCTTTGTTATAATCGTTGAGCAATTACAGCATCCTTCAAGTTTAGCCGTGAAAATACAGAATAGCCGAATCACGGTAATGCAATTATATAGGGCTGCCTCTTGATATCTGCACTTAGAAAGCTGAAGTCACAATCCTTTATCTGTGTCGTATCAAGTCATCTGAATAACCATCCTCCAACAAATAAGAAAAGATGTTTTTGTTAAAAAGCATTAACCAGGTTTGGGTCAGCAGCAGACAAATTAAATGAGAGAGCAAAAAAATATATCCCAGTAAAAGAATGTTTACAAACACATTTGACAGCATAAAAATGTTATGCAGATGGATTGTAAGTTTGTGAAGGATATCAGAAGCAATTTCTCTCCTACGAAATTCGAAAACAGTTGTTTCTGACTTCAGTTTTGAGGAAAAGGCTTTCTTATATCGGCTATGAGTTTCCTTCAGCAGCAAGCCATGAATAACAATCAACTTAATCTCAGTATAATTTTGTCAATAAGAATGGGGTGTTAATTTAGTGAAAAATGTAAACTGTGTGGAGATCAAAATTTGGCTATCAAAATAGTGCTTTTGCATCAAGAGTTTGGTGTCATCTTCCTCCAGAGGATTTTATTTCATAAAACGATTATAACCATATAAATTGAATATAGACATAAACAAAGAAAAATGACCTGATTCTGCAAGCTTGCTGCAGTAGTCCAACTCTGAGTATTACGTTCTACTGAACTATCAGCGATGTAAGCAATTGTACTTGATTCCTCATGTACATTAGGCACTGGGGCAGCTGGTAATTCTCTCATGATCCATAGTATAAAAGCTGAAGGTACTGAAGAACCTAGAAAAGCAAATAAACAAAATCATAAAAAAAGACCTAAAGCATTAACATCTAAAAATAGAATAATTACATTTGCACTCAATTTACAATTTTCAATGCAAACTGGGAAAGCAAAAATTTTTGGCGAATCAAATTCTGACTCCCAAGTAAGAAAAACCCTATCAATAAAAAAATCCATTAATAACAAAGCATAAAGCAAATCCAAGACAGAGGGAAACAAATGTAGCTAATTGAATTTTCACATGGCTTTCAACTACTAATTTATGAGTTCCTAAAATCCAAAAGATTAAACTTAGTATCTCAAGTCATTTTGAAATCTAAAAGGAAAAGTTACACTCAGTACCTATAAAATAATATAAAATCAGTAAAAGACAAGTGTAGAGACCATTGTTATCAAGCTTCTGGCAGTAATAGAGGACCTGCAACGCAACTACACAGTTAAATTTAAGAAATTTAGTGCTTGGAAATGCAAGCACAAAATATATGAGGCCACCAAAAAGTACGTACTGGAATCTGAGTAAAAAGAGCAACTAAAGAACTTGAAGTGAAACATAGAACAGAGACAACAGCCAAACCCGCAACCTGCACATGCAACATCCTTTCATAATTCATCACAGCACTATTTTGATTAAAAAAGAAAGCCACAGAAATTTGTAGCAACTGGACCTTGATCTCAGAAATCCATAACATAATCTCCTCAGTAAAAATACAATATGCCAAATAATACAAACTGATTGACGTTATAATGATGAATTCATCTTTAATGAAGAAAGGAGCTATGAACTTAATACCTTCCACATTTCTGATGCAGCTCTCTCAGATCTAACTCTTTTCATTTTTGAACATATCAACAATCCTAAACAAAAAACAAAGGAAAAGAAAAGGAGCATTTTGATATCACATGACAACAAAGAAGACTGGCCTGTACAATAAAATTTCTGACACTACATATACTCAAGAAACCAATTTGTCTTGCCAAACACTAAACCAAAAGGCTGATCACTGATTCAACCACAAAGCATTTCAATTAACCAATTTCCAATGTGCAGTATAATATACTTTCCAGCAACTAACTACATGCCACTTAGGGAAGTTCGAAACAACATTATTCATATTTGGTTTAAAAATCATCTCATTCCTGTTTAGCCCCCCATGAATCTGAAGTAGAGTCCTAACAAAGATAACAGGCTCTTTGTGCCACCTACCGTTTTTTCCAGGGGAAAAAAGTAATACTTCAGAATCCAAATCTAGAAATTAATAACTAAGTGTAGATTTTCCATTTATTAGTCAGCTTCAAAAGACAGTCACTAAAGGTTAACAGATTCCAACATTTGCTACTTAAGGGACATTGCAGCTCGTTATCATTTGCTGCTTTCTGCAGTCCAAGTAGCTTTCTTATGTCACCACAAACTTATAATTCAAGTTTACAGGTTTTGTGCAAAAATTTGCCACTCATAGTATAGAAGGTCCTTTAGCTTGCAAGAAGATAATTTCCAGAGCAACCGATCCAAATGTAAGAGTATAAAATGATAGCTGCTCACCATAACATGCTAACGCTCCTCCCAATACTAGAAATGCTATAGCAAAAACATCTACATACACCTGCATGAGATTACAGTCATCACATACATGATACTCCATTACTTGTCATTCAGTAAAATAATAATAAAAAAATTGTCATTTGCTATCAGATTTTAACACTTGTATCCTACTTTTAAGTTATTCATTACACTTATTAATGTCTTCAATCAGCTATTATGTCCTAATAATTGGGTAACTGGTACAAAAGCAAATATTAGGAAGGAGACCAATAACTGCTCTGCCATAAGTAGATACAACTGATTAAACGAGATAAACTTTTGGTGTTTTATGTGAAACATATGGTTCTTAGTCTTCTTTTCTCTCTCAACCTAAATTTCCAGATACACGTGAATTTACTAGGTGCCTTAGTGCACTTATTTCAAATATTTAGGTTCTATTTTTCATGAGGGTGGTAAAGTAGATGAAGAATTAATCCACTGAATTAAAATACGATGGATGAAATGGAAGAGTGCTACAGGTGTACTATATGATGGGAAGATATTTAACAAAATCAAAGGCAAGTCTTATAGGACATTGGTGAGACCTGAAATGTTATACTAGAGTGAATATTAGGCACCAAGTGGCCTACATGTTCACAAGATGAATGTTGCGGAGATCCAAATATTAAGATGGATATATGGTTACATAAGACTGGACAAGATCAGAAATAACCACATTCAACGAAGGTGCAAAATAGCACAAGTTAGAGATAAAATGAAAAAAGAACGCCTGATATAGTTTGATCATGTCTTACACGGACATTCAAGTGCCCCGGTTCGTAAGTGTGATATATTGGTGGTGAAGGGTGCTAAATGGGGAAGAGCTAAACTTAGAATCACAAGGAGGGAAGTAGTCACAAAAGATCTTCTGTCTCTTGACATTAATGCAAATTTAGCTATGACCAGAGTAGAATAGAGACAAAAGATTCATACAACCAGCTCCAATTAATTTGGATTAAGGCTTAATTTTTTGTTATTGTTGTATTATCTACAAATTTACGACAACATATTACAAGATTAAAATCGAGTGCAATGGCTCCCATTAAATCAGAACTTCTCAATGCAACATGGTAACTGCACTGCAGGAGTCAAAGTGGCAAAAATGTGTCAAACAAGAAATTTGAGAAGTTGCAGAACGAATATCTACGGAACAGCAGCTGTGTGTAATTAGAGAATCTGTAACAACTGTTAGAAGCCATTGTTTTCTTTCTCCTTATCTTTTAGCAACTAACAGAAGCAGGTCGAAAACAGAAAAGTTAAAGGATAAATTGGAAGGATGATTATGCATCTAGCTCAAATAAAATTTTTTACCTGGAATAAAACAAATGCCAACCAAATAAAAAGTGGAATGGTCTAGAAGTATGCTTCCATAATTAGAAAAGAGACATTATAATTTTGAAGTCCATACCGTGGCCAATGATGATAAATCAATAAAAGTACTTCCCATTCCTATCCACATTAGAACAGCAAATGCCACCATCAAACCAAATACTAGGACAGTAACCTGGTGAGAAAAGAGTTAAAAGTTTTGTGAGTATTCATCAAATAAACCTAATACTTATGCATGAGATGAGGAAAACATGAGAGAAAACTTTTCATCATTCGCATACCCATATCACAATTTTTTGACGGCTTCCAACTTGGAGTGACCGGAAAGGTAAACATACTCTTAGACTATCTGTATGTGCTGAACTTGGGTCATCCAATGCCATTTCCAACAAAGATTCATGAAAACTAAAGTCTTCCTCTTCATAATCTTCATCATCAGCTTGGTGGCGAAGGTCAGCCCTAAAAAAAAAAAAAATCACCAGAGAAATATTTCAGAGCATAATTTATGAAGGGAACATAGGATTTTTATCTGAAAGAAAGATATACCAATTTTGAGAACTGTAGCATTAGTTAGAGGAAATATAACACAAGTGCAGTCTGCAGAGGAACAAACCTTGAATTATGAAACAAATGTTTCAGAACCACTAAAGATTTTTAGACATTGAAAGAACACCAGATCTTCATGGTCTCAAATCAAGTACAATTTCTATATACCACAGTATTCAATCATGTACTGCCGTTTAAGAAACTTTAGATGAAATAGAAATACCTAATTGAAGATGTGTGACATTAAGTACCCATGAATAAATCCCCTCCACTTACAAATATCACAATCCTTGTAACCCTGTTCAAAAACCTAGAAACTAAGGCTACAAATTTTACAGCTCTGATGCAGATTCATACCAATGCTAAAAGGCTAATATATACAAATTTTCTGCAATTTCCAGTATTTCACAACCAAAAAGGGGGCCAGAACATAAGTCAACAACTAAACCTTTTTCTCATTACATGTGACTTGGAATTCTTCGCAGTTTCCACTATCATTATATAGACCTCAAAAACTTTGTTTCGAGTTCCCTACTTTCTAGAATCCTTGGTTGGACTCTTATCAAATGAAGCAGAAACCAATAAGAGAAAACCCCATACAATTGATGCAATTTAACATTGAGAAATTCATTAGTACACCACGATAATCACTTAGATCCTGAAACCCCGAGACAAGAACATGAAAGACTAATTCTATATAATAGTCAGATAAAACAGTTATATACTTTCTTTTGAAATTTGATCAATTGTTTGTATTTAGGAGTTGTTTCTCAATTCTCCCTCTTGATTGCATCACTGTTTAAGTTGGACTCTGAAACTTGAAGCAGAGATGTGAGACAGAGAAATAAATAAAGCACTACGTTCCCAGAATTACATAAAATTGAAAATCACCATCATGAAGCTTGATTAATTACTTATAAATCTTGAACTGAAACTTAAAGGATTGGACTAACAAATTATTGTTTCTGTTAAAGTTAACATAGGAGGCTCATTTCAACTCCCTCTCCCTCAAAACGAAGATAATTCTTCACCATAAAATATCTATCTCAGAAGTCCTATTCATTAATTCAATCACGTATTCAATGCAAAGATCTCCAAACAAGGTCATACAAAGAAGATAAATTTAATAGAATATTGTCAAACTGAAATTCACAGATGCTCCTCTTCATTCATAATTTCAGAAATAAGGAATGGAAAACCCAAATAGATTTTAAAACCAGCCTGGACATTGCACCAACAGCACAAAGGAACATCTACAAATATTCTGTCCCTAATTTTATTCATTCTCTCAGATATATGAACAGAAATTAATAGCAAGGAAGAAATTGTACCAGAATGATAAAAGTAGAAGAAATGCCGCAAAAGACAGAATTTTTGGTAAGGCTGAAAAAACAAATTCACAGAATTTCAAATACTTTGACTAAGCTGGCAACATAGGAATCCAGTTAGTGTTTGAAACAAGAGGCATGACATACCCATGAAGATAAAGCCACAAGAATATGACCAGCATAGCCACCTCTCACAAATAGCAATAGTAGTGATAAGGAAAAAGATGAAGTAACCTGCCAAAGTCAGAATTAAATAATTAATTTTGAAACAAGAATACAAGAAACGAGAGGCACATATACATGCATATATATGGTACATACACTTTCGTGGATGTATGTTTGTATAAAAACGTCTAGATGAAAGGAAATGACCTTTGGGTGTTCATTATAATTAATTTGAAGCGTGTCAGAAATCTTACAAAAAACATTGTAATACCAAAAGAGTTATAAAGGAATAAAAAAAGAAACCACTGTTAGCTGTTTGAGTGAAATGAAGAACATGTTGTAACTATGTCATAATCAAGGGTCCCCCTCCCCCCCCCCCCCTTGTTGAATAGAAAAACGTCTAGAGAATGAAGGGAAAACTTTGGGTGTTCTATATAAGGATTAAGTTTGATAGGCGTGTAAAATTCTTACACAAAAAACATGAGTATAGACCAAAAGAGTTTATTAAGATAAAATAAGAAAATCAACTGTTAGCTGTTTGAGTGAAATGAAGAAACATGTATGGTACCTATGTCATAATACAGGGTCCTCCCCCTCGATTGCAAAAAAAAAAAAAAAAAATAAGTTTGTAATTCATCATTTTTGGTCAGATAATAGATGACATAGCTAAATTAAATAGGTGGCAATAAATAAAGTTACAGCATTGATTCAAGCAAACAAAGGCAGTTAAATTATAGCTGAAATAGTGTCATGTAATTGCAGTTTTGCAAAATATAGTTCTTCAGAAAATTTTTGATAAATTTGAAGCGCATTATCAGTTAGGAATACAGGACATGAACAAATTAACAATAACATATAATATAACCCCCCCAAAAAAAAAAAAAAAAAAAAATTTATTCCTTCATTTTGGTCTAGATAATAATGACATAGCTATTAATAGGTGGCAAAAAAAAGGTTCCGGCATGATCAAGCAAACAAAGTGCAGGTTAAATTATAGCTGAAATATGTACATTAATTGCAGTATTGCAAAAATATTAGTTCTCAGAATTTTGATAAATTACGCATTTCTAGTTAGGATACACGGCATACAAATAACAATACCATTATATATATATAGGAACAAAGAAAAGTGGTGTAACCCCTCATACCTAATTCATGTACCATCAACCCCATAACTTTACTCTCCCAATTTGCCAGCCTATGGCCATATCTCCTTTACTCATCTTGATCACTCGATTAATGCCATTGATGACTAATACTATTTTAGACTTCCAAGACTTCTAGTTCTAGTTTCACTTTCAGTACAATTAAGTTAATCTTTTTTTTTTTTTTCTTACTGGAAAATTTCCAATTAAATCAAAGGAATATCTTGCTTTATTGTTGTATTTGTGAGCTGAAGTCGATTTGGAGCCACATCTATACAAATTACAGAACCATCAGTTCTTTATGCCAATATAAATCCCAATTCCCATAAACTTTCCCTAATTATGTCTTCACCAATCAGACCATTCAAACAAATCCTATCTCCATTTTCTGCAACTTTAAGAACCAGCAACCTTTTTAGAACTCAAACCACCAAAAATTCACTGATTTACCACAAAATCTCAAACCCATTGAATCTTATTCAAACTAGACCCTTCGACATTACCTCTTTAATCATAATTATATAGACATTAATTAACAAATAAAGCTAAGAAATAGATTGACTAGTTATAGAATAGCCACAGGCTTCCCATAAGTACCAAATGCACCATGAAAAGGACTCTGACACTTTCATGGTAAAAATAGTTGTTCTTACCAGTATTTGATGAGCCAATCAATAGATGAAACACCTGCAATTTGACATAATTTATTAAGATCATCCCATCATACCAAAAATGAAAATTAAAAGGAAAAATAATTCATAATCAAACACAAGCATTAATTTCCCCGTTAACTCTATCAAAATGAAACAGCTTTACAAGATTGATGCTCCCCCTCCACCCCAGTCCCTCTCTCAAGAAATTGAACGCCAATTGTCCACATTCTCTCTATTTGCATAATTTAGGCATCACTGTCTCACTTGAAATGGAATTATATCATTCATAGTTTCAGATGGAATGAGCAACATTTTGTGTTGAAACAAAAAAGGAAGCAGCAACCAAAGTTTTCTGCTCTTTTTACTGCTATAACAAAGATTGATATGTGATTAACAAATTTCAATGAAATTGATTTACACCTCACTTTCATAATGAGAAAATCACAGATATGTGAAAAAAGTAAGTAGAATGACCAAATATACCATCTTCATAATCTGTGTGTTAGGCATGTGTCACCATTTAATATACAAAAATCCAATAATGACTCACTAACTGCAGGAAGTTTAAAGAGAAAATATTCTTTTATATAATTTGATAAGAACAAACATTAGTAGCATTGATTATTAAATAGAAGTTTTACAATCAATTCAAATGGATTCACCTGGTGTCTGCCATAAGTTGTCGGACAACTCACTCAGACTGGACCAAGGACAAGTCCCCAATTCAACTGGCTAGTCTAACAACAGGGGGTTAACCTAGCTAGCCAATCAATTAGCTTAAGCTCAAAAAGGAAACAAATCTAGAGATGGATTAGAAAGTGATGATTCACATACTTTTTGTCGAGTCCAGCCAAGTCTTGAGTTCCTTGAGTGAATCCTCATTAGCTGAAAAATATGGTAGCAACCATAAAATCAGTCATTTCAATTAAAAAACAGTACTACGGTTACCATACAAATTTTCAATTAGGACATCTTATTCTTGCTTTAATTAGTAAATGATAAAAATATCACCCTCTAATGGAAGTCAATCAAAGGTCCATTAAATTTCACTCGACATTACAACTTAATTACCAATCCATCAACAAAGCAAATTCCCTTTCCATATAATTATTAAAGACAAAGCAAACAACATTGTACAGAACTCCAATGAATTCAAGCAAAGCCAGGTAACACAAGAAAACTCAATTCCAACTCTCAAATTGTCTTCTTTAAACACACCCTTACCTACATTTATCATCTTTGTCTATTTCAAAAAATAAAAAATATCTCTGTCAGCACTCCTAAACAATCAGCAAAGCAAAATAAATATTCAAGAACTAAGCAAAACAATAAGAAAACAAAGCCATTGCAAAAAGAAAAACAGCTTTTCAAAAAGAGAAACAAACCTGAGAAAATGCAAGAATCGCAATAATGCCATCAACAAGAGCAAGTCCGACATTCACACCGACCACCTTTCTAGGAAAGCAACAAGACCCTTCTCTAATTTCCAACATCTCTCAGCTTTGTGTTTTGTCTCTGTCTCTTGCACTTCCTCCCTCTCCGGAAACAAGGAGAGATATAGAGAGAGAGCAGGGTGAACTAAAACAATGCTTTTGTGGGGTTTTTGTACTTTTGAAGTGTACGGACAGAAAACTCAATCTTTACGAAGGTATCTTTCATGGAAGATCTGTTTGTTGCTGAAATTATGCTTTTCCCATCTTAGGATTCTCCTTTGCTTTCAGAGACACAGAGAGAAGGGATTTTCGGGATCTCTTATTAACAATTATTTAAATTAATCATATAAATACAAAGGGCAAATTTTTATTTTTAAAAATTATTTTTGACAAATTCGTCGGGAATGGTGAGAATGGTAATAAAATAAAATTAGTGAGGGTAAAGTAGTAATTCAGAATGGATACGATTGTGGAAAAAAAAAAAAGGTACGGGTGTTTTGTCTAATAGCTAAGTCACAAACTCACATATAAGCGGGTGGCCATCAGCCATCAGGCGTTGAGAAAGGAGATTCCATGTGATACCTTTTTGACCTTTCTTGTTTTTTTGACCTATCATCACATTATATAAATAGACATTTTTTAAATATTTACTTTTAATTTAATTAAATTAAATAAAAATTATTAAATGAATAAATGATCAAATATCTTTTTTTTTTTTTTGACATTAATGATCAAATATCTGTTACGTAATGAAATTAATGTTAAATATTTTGTGTGTCAGGTGGATCTTTTAATCTTGCAGAGCGTTGGGGGGTTCATCTTTTAAATTTTCATTTTAATAGTAAAATAGAATGGTGAAATATACGACTCGTATGGTTTCTCAATTTTATTATAATTTTAATAAATAGAGTGGATAAGAATATACTCAAACTTAAAATTTAAACTAAAATACTTTTATTTTAACGAAAGTTTAACTATTGAGATTGCTCGGAAGTTTATTCGTGAACTAATAAACTTGGCTCATTTAGTAATTAAATTTGATAATTTGACTTTACAAGGTTGTTAAATGAACTTAAATAAGTTGTATTGAGCTCAATATCATGTGACATTTGTCTCATTTACTCTTTTAATTTTAATAAAAAGTGTGTTTTTTATATATTAAAAAGAAAGTTAAATAATTTTGTAATTTTTTATATTAAACAATTAAACAAAATTTTATTAGGTATATTGGATATAAAATTAATTTGTGATTATATTTTTTTTATTGTTATGATAAAATAATAGTGTGCCTAAGAGTCAAACTTGTCTCAGTTAATGGACATTGTTTGTTTGGAGTGTACTCATAAGTTAATTTGTTTATTATTAATTTTGTCACATGGTTTTAGGAATTAACATAGGCCAAATGTAATTTTAGCTGTCAACTTGTTAGAACAAACAAATGTTAATAGTCACAACATATTCTTTTATTCTTGTTTATATGTACGCTTAATATATTTTAAATTGGGTTTTTATTTTTCTATTTTCTTTATCAAAGTTACCCTTTCAAGATTATATAATTGTTTATGTATTTTTTTTCTATGGTATAACTGCATTATCAATTATTATATTTGAAATATTAAAAAAATTGTAAACAAAGAATTAATGTGTTAGTATTTAGTTCTTGGAAAATAAATGTGTCTGCTATTATGTATATGGAGTTATATATATTTCAAAATTTTATTCTTTTTTCTCGAAAATAAAAAAAATTATAAAAACTTTTATTTTCTTTAAATAATGAGATATGAGATTCAGACCTGGCTTTATACGCAAATCTTATATGCACTTTTGCTACATTTATGTATTACGAATGCAATTTTCTTGAATTTATTAAAATTTTGCTAAAAAAAAAAAGAAAAAAGATTTTAATTATTCCATTGAATTGTAATAAGAAAAAACCATTTCTAACTTATAATCCAACACTTCAAATTATTAAAAAAAATTCAGAAAATTGTAATTAAGGGGATGAAACGAAGAAGACAAATTGTTTGCATGTTACTGATAATTTTTCTTCTTGATGAGTATTACTCTAGAAAAGCCTTTTATTAATTAGTAGCCATAGGATGCATCACTTTCACTTCCTTCCTCGAAAGAAAATGAGCCGTTGATTTGCTAAATTGAATCTTATCCCAAATTGCTTGTCTAAGCCAAAATTTATGCCCTAAATATGCTAATTAACTAGTAATTAAGGAATTCAGTATTATTGTCACGTAAGAATTTTCTTATTTTAATGATTAATATTTGAATTTTTAATTAAAGTTTCAGCCCTAAAAAGAAGTAATTTTGGTAGTCTTATTTAAAAAGGAAAAAAGAAAAAAAAAATTGTAATCCAACTGAAGATGCCGTGATGGTTTGAACTTAATGGATAAAAAAATCATTTTAATAATTTAGTCAATAATTAATTTTTGGTACTACTTCACTTTGCCATAAGAAAAAGTAATTATTTTGAGATTCTGAGTATTAATTATTTCTAACAAGTCAGAAATCTCATGTATTAATTATATATATATATAATTTTTTTTAAAGTTCAACATTTGGAAATTAATTTAATTAAATTTTATTTTGCTGAACAAACAAGCGGTTGGAATTGGATTGTATTAGGAAAGTAAACTGCATCCTAATTTAATTGTAAAGTGTAGATTTAAAATTTAAAATTATTACTGTTGAAAGGATGACGTGTACAAACTAAAAATAGAAAAAAATTAATTCGTTGATTATTATATTTGGAAATGATATTATTGACAAAATCTAATTTTTAAAATTTAAAATTAGTTGTTGTAAAACGAACAATTTCATGATAAAAATGGCATGATTTGTGCTAAAATCCATTCCATTAAATGAATTTAACTGAGGTCAAACTTACTCTTTTTACAATAATTAATGATGAAATATGCAATGACGTAATACATAAATTTATTTATATACTTTACATAAAAATCTCGCGTTATCTTCAAGATATACGAGTATATTTATGCATTTGACTAATATAAAATTGAAATTTCCATAATTTATAATTAGTAAATTGTTGGATATTAATTTTCTTCCTTATTTTCTTTTCTCAGTTACTACTATTTGGAGTGGGCCACGAATTTGTTACAACCACCTTTCCTTATGTTCCAAATTGGAAAGAGATTTAATTTTTTTTAGCTTGGTACATGGATTAATGAACACAATCAATAGTCTAAACTTTATATGGATTAATGAACACAATCAATAGTCTAAACTTTATAAAAATTATTTTATAAAATATTTATATTGCCCTCAGGGAGTAATCGAGGGACAATTATATTATGAGTAGAAATACTAAATATATAAGGGTAGATTAGGAAAAAAATTAATGGAATATTGAAATTAATAAAAACAACATGTATTTTGGAATAAAAAAAAGAAAAAAAATGACACTTATTGTAAGGGAGGAATACTAGTATTAATAAGAATAATATTTTTTGAATTTGTTATTTAAAATAATTAATAATTTTATTTTAAAAAATTAATAATTCCAACAAAAATTCACTGCATTAATAATAAAATTCTTCACCTTTTTTCAATAATTTTAATAACCTTATAATAAATTTATTATATCAAATTTCAACTCAACAATACTCTTTATCTGTTTCACTTCACAATAATACATCTTATTTGCAAATATACATCTTATTTGCAAATAACAATATATCATCAATTTTTCTATCTTCTAAAAATTTTTTATTTTCAGTTTTAGCTCCATTTATTTTCCTATTGATTTTTTTTTCCGAGTTTTTACTCCCTCATTTGCTTATGAAAATGTAATAATATGTTTTTTAAAAAAAAAATTCTCTTTTACGTAGCATATGTATAAGTAGGAAAATTTAATTCTCTTTCAGTTTATTATATTTTTCTGTGTTATAATTTTTTTTATATTCAAATTTTATTTGGCATTAACAAAGATTAAGGAAGTAAAAGGCATCAAATAATTAGCATATTCATTTATCTTTCTCCATTTAGGTTATTTTTATAGTTTCAGTAAAATAAATTGATTTAATTTATAAAAACAATATTTATATATTATTTTTTGTTTAGCTGACAATTTGATTCTATTTTTTTTAATTTATTGTTTTTAATTTATTAAGTTTGAGTCTATTGTTTTTAATTTATTGTTTTTAATTTATTAAGGTATAATGTGTTTGACTTTTTTTAAAAAATTATTTTGGTAGTGAAAAAAATGAAAAAAAAGAGAGAAAAAACTGACACATAGTATTTGTTTATAATATTTTTTATTTACGATATCGACCAAATTTAATTGATACCAAGTATTATATATCCTTTTATTTTTTATGTATTTATTTTTATAATTTTGTATAAATTTTCTTAATTTATCAAGAAGTAATTGTATTATCCCTAAAAAAAAAAAAGAATTTGTATTAGTAAAGACCTTCTATTAATATAATAACAATATTAACACATTATGCCACAATATTAAATAGATTTAATTTATTATCCCCTCAGTATCCCAACACTAATTATCACATTTGAGAAAATATTATATTCCTGAATATTTATCACATTGGTGAATTTAATAAATAATAAATTATTATTTTCTATTTTTACCCTTTTATATAATCAACAATGATTGAATGACTTTCATTTAAATAATAAATTTAGAGTAATATAATTAATTCACTTAATAATTTATTATAATTTAGATAAATTAAATAATTTTTTTAAGGACGTGAAATTTGCAAATATTATGAGTATTTAGTAACCGTGGGAGTAATATTTTTTATTTGCTCTTGCACAAAGCATTCATGGACATGTGGTGATTTAAGTAGCTCTTAATGCATATTTTGACATTGATTGTCAAGCTAAATAGAGAATTTGGGATTGATCCAAAATCTAAAACCTAAAAGCAATCTTTTCTTGTTCTACGGGCGGCTGCCGGTGAGTTCTCACCAGTGGTCACCCCTTTTCTTTTATTCATTTTTCTATTTTTTTTTTTGCAAATAATCTTCAGATATTTCATATATATATATATATATATATGAATTTGAGTTATTGTCACCAAAATATTGAGATTTATTATTGTCCATATCTTGTGATTTTGTTATCGACCCAGTTCTGAGTTATTGTCATATTTTGATGTTGATTATCAAAGCTAAATACGAGAATTTGGGATTGACCAAAATCTAAAACCTAAAAGCTATCTTTTCTTCTTCCACAGGCGATCGCCAGTGAGTTCTCATTGGTGGTCACCCCTTTCCCTTTTTTGTTTATTTTTTTATTTTTTGCAAATAATCCTTAGATATATATACAGATATGAGTTATTGTTGCCAAAATATTGAAATTTATTGTTGTTCATATCTTGTGATTTTGTTATCGATCCAGTTTTGAGTTATTGTCATATTTTGATGTTGATTGTCAAAGCTAAATACGAGAATTTGGGATTGACCAAAATCTAAAATCTAAAACCTAAAAGCTCTTTCTTCTTCTTCCACGGCGGCTGTCCGTGAGCTCTCACTGGAGGTCACCCCTTTCCCTTATTTGTTTTTTTTTTTTTTTTTTTTTTTTTTTTTTTTTTTTTGTTTTTTTTTTTTTTTTTTTTTTTTTTTTTTTTTTTTTTTTGCAAATAAGTCCTCAATCTGATTATCAGATCTGATTAATTTGTCGCCCAAATATTGAATGATTTATTGTTGTCCATATCTTGTGATTTTATTCTCAATTAGTTCTGAGTTCTTATTGTCATCATTATGGTGATTTTATTAGGGTGTTTTTGTTATTAGATAGTTATGGAGAAAGATTGTGCATATTCCCTCTTTGATTCAAGGAAGAATATTTGAAGGCTGATCAAAAATCAAGCCTTGTGGAACCCAACAGTGCCATTTTTTTTTTTTTTTTTTTTTTTTTTTTTTTTTTTTTTTGCAAATAATCCTCAAATCTGATTATAGATCTGAATTATTGTCGCCCAAATATTATGATTTATTGTTGTCCATATCTTGTGATTTTATTCTCAAATCTAGTTCTGAGTTCTTATTGTCATCATTATGGTGATTTTATTTAGGGTGTTTTGTTATTAGATAGTTATGCAGAAAGATGTGCATATTTCCTCTTTGATTCAAGGAAGAAATTTGAAGGTGATCAAATCAGACTTGTAGGAACCCAACAGTGGCCATGAATAGCTACTAGACAGAGCAAGCGATCGCCTATGACGCAAATATTATGCTCTTAGTCAATTCGATCAGATATTTCAAATTAAGATTGTGTTTTTTTATTTTTCGTATAAGCGATTTATTATTAGACCTACAAATATAGAAACATATTAGCATGTATCCTATATCTGTATACAATATTCTCCTAATCAAATTTCTAGTTTGATTTTGTCTATAAAAAAAATACGAAAATTTGATAGTGTCATGAGTTGACCTTAATGATGGATTAATCATAAAACATCAATTTCCTTTTAAAAAATCATAAAACATCGACGAGGAATTTTAATTGCAATTATTTTTTAGAGTAATTGTTCAATACGCTCTTCTTAGTGTTTGGAGTGAATTATTTTTTAGAGCAACCGTTTAAGACGTCTATTATTGGTTAATGATGGATTAATTTTATATCTCAATCGGATCCTAAAATGTCCTAAGTGAATATATGAATTTGATATCATTATTAAATTTGATGCTCGATTGAATCAATTCTATACTAAATAAATCATGTTTTTATGTTAACTAAGATATTACTGTCGGGTGACAGGTCATTCAGTGATATTAACTAATAATAGTCCACAAAATGACCACGTCTTACGTTAACTAAGAGATTAATGTTAGGTGACAGGTCATTTAGTGATATTAGCTAATAACAGACGACAACATTGATCACATTTTCCGTTAACTAAAAGATCAATGTCAGGTGACAAGTCATTGAGTGATGTTAACTAATAGTAGATTACGATATGACCACGTTTTACATTAACTAAAAGATCAATGCCAGGTGAAAGGTCATATTTTTATGTTAACTAAGATATTACTGTCGGGTGACAGGTCATTCAGTGATATTAACTAATAATAGTCCAAGAAATGACCACATTTTACGTTAACTAAGAGATCAATGTCAGGTGATAAGTCATTCAGTGATATTAACTCTAACAGACCACAACATTGATCACGTTTCCATTAACTAAGAGATCAGTGTCAGGCGACAGGTAATTGAGTGATGTTAACTAATAGTGGATCATGACATGGCCATGTTTTATGTTAACTAAGATATTGATGTCAGGTGGCAAATCATGTTTTTACGTTAACTAAGAGATCACTGTCAGGTGACAGATCATTCAGTGATATTAACTAATAATAGACCACAAAATGATTACGTTTTATGTTAACTGAGAGATTAATGTCAAGTGATAGGCCATTCAGTAATATTAATTAATAATAGACCACAAATTGCCGGTTCCAGTTATAAAAAAGGTGGAACGAAACCCAACCATATAGCAATTCTTAAGGCAGTTGAGCTGTTTGCCAGTCTAATAATATCTTTTGCCTCTAATTATTGAATAAGATTTTAGAAATGCTATTTATTGAGTTTATCAGAAAGATAATTAAGCGGCCATGGTAATGGTGAGATTGTTTGAATAAGTTTGAATTTACAATCCTTGTATATGCAATCTATGTTTTTCTTATTTTTAATACTCCGTGTTTTTCCCTTTTTGAAATATATGGTGCTTAAGCATTTGTGCAGAGAAAATATAAATATTTTTTTTATTAGTCTGATCTATATGTGATAAGTGTAAATTTTATAGTGTTTTTAATATAGTTTTTATTAGAATTTTAGTAAGTTTTTACTTCTTTAATTTAATTTTAAATCACTTTTAGTAAGTTTTTTACTATCTTTATTTGATTTTAAAATCACTTTTAGTGTAATTGTGTTTAAAAGCTCTTGGTCTTATAATCCCGCTTGATCTAAGAGAAAATTGCCGAAATTTGGCGCAGAAAGAAATTTTACGAATGCACTCAGCTTCTAGCACGCCCAGCCTGTGCTGGAAGGCACGCCCGTGCTAGAAGCCAAGTAAACCAAAGGAGAGACAGAAGAGAGCACGGCCAGGGTGTGTCAACAGGCACGGCCGTGCTACAATGGGACCAGGGCGTGTCAAGCATAGCACGCCCATGGCAACTCTAGACAGACTTCAGAGAAGAGCACGCCCTGCCAGTGCTCTGTAGCACGCCTGTGCCTCAGTACTTCACTAGCCCGTGCTACCTAGCATGCCCCGTGTTTCACTAGCCAGACCTCCAAACTACAGCACGCCCAGCCCGTGCCATGAAGCACGCCCGTGCTGCCTAGACGGAACCAGCGTGAATTTAACACGCAAATCAAGCCTTTCTCACATGGGCTGACTTCAGGGAGTTTCCTAAACACACTAAACAAGACCTGGACCTATTCTGGACCTATTCTTGAAGAAAAAGGAGTCCTAATCAAGAAGAAATCAAGAGCCTAAACAGTGAATCTCCTTAAAGGAATTTTTGTGCTAAAATAAGGATTCTATTTTTCCTAACAGGATCAGACTTGCTTAGGATCTCATAATAAATGGGAAGGAACTTCTCTCTTCATATGTCAAGGAGGTCGTTTTTGGTGGCAACATCTTTACAATAATTCTCTTCTTCTCAAAAGATTTCAAGCTTCAATAATTTGCTAAGATTTAAGGAAGCATCAACATAGTTTTGTTGATACAGGTTTTTATTGCTAGAACTCTTCATCTTGTTTCTTTTCCCTTTATTAATTGTCTTTAAATATAATCGAATGATTCAAGTATGGATTTGAGTTAATTAATTACTATGTCTAGCTAAACTTTTATAACTAGGGAATTGAATGTAATTTTAATTCGATTCAGCTTATAATATCTGATTCTTATTTTTTCTTTGTTCTTGTTATACACTTATTATTGTGCTTAAGGCTTCCCAGACAGCAAAATTCCCCTGGATTTGAATTATTTCAATAACCCATTCGGAGAAGGTATTGATTGAACAAGGGTAATCAATTTACTTTGAGAATAATAACTTGATGTGGAAATATATGGTTTGACTCAAGGGGGGGCTTTCATAATTAATAAAGTATTAAGTTGTGCATTCAATAAACACATAAAACCTAATGATTTGATTCATGTTTAAATTTTCAAACTATTGAAGATAGGTGAATTAAATTGGATTAGCGATAGCTAACAATAAATCGGGAGAGCTTGTTCTAGTACTTAGGGTTTGTTTTCTCCTTTACTTGAAATTCAACTTGATTAATGAATAATAGAATAAGCTGGGTAGAATTAAATGAAATAAATTCCTAGTAAGTTAATCTCTGATTTCTCTTTTTCAACCTAAATTTTGTGTTTGATTCTTTTACTTTTGAAATTTTTATTTACTTTACAGCGAATTCCTTTATCATCAACTAATAATAATAGGTTAACATAATTGGTAATTGATAAACAATCCCTGTGGATACGATACTTTCTTACTCTATATTACTTGTTGCGATTTCGTACACTTGCGAAAACCGTTGTCAATATGCATTAGAAATCGTTTGATTTATTTAAATGCTTTATTTTTTTATATATGTCGGTGCATAAATTTAGTAAAAAGAAATGTATATGAAATAGATAATAAATTAATCATTTATATTTTGGAGCTACTTTTGAATATCAAGAGGGCTACTTCATCGCATACAAAAGTATATGGTTGTGAGCTATTTAGATAATATAAGACCTAAAATTATTAAACATTATATCTAATAATGTTCACAAAACAAGATAAGCATCTCCACCACATTTATGTTGAAAATGGGAGAAAAGAAAACAGGAGAAAAATGTATTTAATTTGCAATATTGAATACATACATTAAAAGGATAAACTCGATTTTGATTATAGGATGTAGGGAGTGAGCGGTCTCGAGTTCGAATCATATCCATTACGAAATTAAGATTGTCACTAATGTGGTGAATGTTATTCAAAGGAGAAGATTGGACCTCCCATGTATTAAAAAAAAAAAAATGCAAACTCAAATTTGGGTTGCCAACCTAATGTATTTTGTTCGTTATAAATTAAGAGTGCATAATATGGAAAGAACTAACAAGACAACTTAAAACATAAATTCATGACCATAATATACGCCATTCACTTGTCTCATCTTCTCCTCCTACATGTATATATACCTCTAAATCCCACCCCAAGAAATATCAAGAAATACTTCATCTCTTCTATAATTTTTCTTTAGTTATAAAGAGTTTTTTTTAGCTATATCATGGCTTCCAATCGAGGCAAAAAAACAAAAGGTAGGCAAAAGATTGAGATGAAGAAGATTGAAAATGAAGATGACAGGCTTATCACTTTCTCTAAACGTAGGTCAGGGATTTACAAGAAAGCTTGTGAACTTGTAACCCTAACTGGTGCAGAAATAGCTTTTGTTGTGTTTTCTCCGGCCGGTAAGCCATTTTCTTTTGCTCATCCTTCTATAGAATCTGTTACTAACCGCTTTCTTGGTAAGGAAATTTTAATAAGTCCCGATAGCACTCATCCTCTTGTCGAAGCTCACCGCCAAATAAGGATAGAGGAGCTGAACCATCATCATAATGATGTGCTTCAACAACTGGACGTAGTGAAAGATAAAGGGAAAAACCTGAAACACAAAGCGACCGGGATAGAAAAAATGGGGTGGTGGGATACTCCTATTGAAGAGCTGAATGTGAAAGAAATGATCCAAATGGAGTCTGCGTTTAACGACATTAGAATCAGTTTAATCAGCAAACTCAAAGAGAAGGTTGATTCTAATAATATTGGTGCTTCTTCATGTTCGTCTTCTTCCTCTTCGGCTCAACCTCCCATTGATCCGAGTTCAGCGAACATGATAAATCCATTTGTCCCCATTAATGAGCCCAATCCACCAGTTTTTCCTTCTGGCTATGATTATGGGCATCGACCGTTTTAGTTTTTTTTTTTTTTAAAAAAAAAAAAATTTTTTTTTTAAAAAAAAAAAACAATAATATGCATTTTGTTTTGTTTTGTTTTGTTTTGTTTTGGTTTTTGTTGTTCTTTTTGTTGTTCTTTTTGTTCTTGTTTTTGTTTATGTTTATGTTTTTATGTTTATGTTTTTGTTTTTGTTTATGTTTAGGGTATGGGAATTTTGTAAAGATTTATGCATGTAATTAATTGCATGCATTATATCTTTTATTTTGAACAATAGATCTTCTGTATTGAAATATTATTTTGCCCTTACCCAATTGCGGCGGATCAATATAATAAGTATAATAAAAAAAGTTTATTCTAAATTTTGAGAGGAACCATTAAGAAAAATTATTATATATATATATATATTATATATATATATATATATATGTATCAAATATATGTATCAAAAGAGAATTATGAAAAAAAGGAACCATCATTGACCTATCTATTTATAATGCAGATCTGTCATTGCTTATCTCTATGTATCATCTACTGTTAGTGCAGCTAGGTCAATCCAGTCTATTCTTGAAATAAACAACTAGCAGACACTCCCTTTCAAAATAATAATAATAATAATAATAATACACCATGGACTATACTTAGATTTATTAGATTTGTTGCTAAAATATCGATATTAAACCCGAAACTCCAAGCAAATGGTCAGTGACCCAAGGAAACGAAAGAACCGTTTTTTTTTTTTTTTTTAATTACAGGATAATACTGCGTTTAATGACTGTATTGAACAAATATTCTTATCCACCGATTTATTCAATGTTGGAATCAGCCCTTATGGTATCTCTTACATATCTTGACAATTGGCCGATCGAGCGAATAAGTTAACTTCCAACTTAAAATATTAGAATTATTTAATATATATATATAACCACTCTAGGATAGTAGAGCATTTAAATATCTATATTAGACAAATATTTTTATCCGCCGATCTATTCAATGCTGGAATCAACCCTTATGGTATTTCATACATATCCGACGATTGGCCGATCGAATAAGTCAATATCCAAATTAGAATATTAGAATCATTTAATATTTGTATATATAATATTTGTATATATATAATATTTATAATATATTATTATATATATATATATATATATATATATATATAACCACTCTATTTATTAAGTAATTTGGTTTTTTAATATATTATAGAATCCCATAGTCAAAAAACAATATAATGTTGCAATTTTTATATAAGCAGTTTGATTTATGATTGTTATCAAAGCCATCTCAATTAAAAATTATAGATATAATTCAATTAGTAAGCTTATTAGATTGTTATTTTATTATTTTTTTGCCATTTTATATATATTTGATTTCTCTTAAAAAAAATCGCTACAAAAATTTTTGTATGCTTTTAACTATCAAGGGTTCGTTATTATTTCCCGTCTATGATTCTTTGCGTTTGTCATTTCCCTTTTTATTATGGAGGTATTATTTTGTAACGTTCATTCTTCTTCTTATTTACCTATATATTAAATATATATATATATAATATATATATAATAGTACAAAAATATAATTGATCTAATATATAGTACAAAAAATATAATTAATCTACATATACTATGGAATTTGAATAATTCATATATAAATTAAATTTGCTCGTCAAATTGAAAATTTATACGTTATTAAATATGCAAAACAAAGCTTAATATATATGTATAGCAAATGCATATTCATATTCCAAAAAATTAAATTCAACATTAATGTTAGAATTTAAATTATTGTGTGTACAATATAAAAAAAATAAACGAAATATGGTATTTCATTCATTACCAAGGCAAAAAAAGAAGAAAAAAAAAGCATCTTTCCATCTAGTTTTACCTTGTAAAGATTGTACAATAAATATTAAATAGTTAAACTCTATTTAAAAATAATTATTTAAAATGTTTTGTAAAATGATTTAAAATTTATTTTTATGTAGCTTATATGTTTGGTTAATAAGCACTTAAAAAGTAATTTTATTTATTGCAATTACCAAAAAAGATACATTAATTATATAGAAAGGCAAGGGATTGATTAAAAATTATAGTGTTGACAATTTTTTTTTTAATTTGTTAATGTAATATAGTATTTTACTTCGTGATCAAATAGTATATTTAAAATAAGTAGAAGATCGGAAATCATACTTATATTACAAACCAAATACAATTCTATTTATGTTTTTCTACTTAAAAAGTAAGTTTGATTGATTTAAAAATCTTAATTCTATTTATGTATAAGGTACATAGCAATGTATTTCTTTAATTCTATTTATGTATAAGGTATATATTATTTATGTATAAAAGCATTTTTGACTAGTTTATGCATTTCGTTAAAAATTTTAATTTTATTGATTGAAAAAATAAAGGTAATTTATTTTTATTGATTATGTTAAATTTCTATTTAAATCTAAATTTTATTAATGTTAAATTTCTATTAAATCTTAAATATAAATATTATTAAGAAATTATATTATATATTAAATAATGTGGTATATTAAATATGAAATGAATATAATACTATTTTAAGGATTTTAATTTTATTTATTGATGGAAGAATATAATATGTTTAATTATTATTTGTTACTAAATCTTTGCTCACTAAACAATGTATATTAAAATATAAAATTATGATATAAAACCTTTATATTTGGAACCATCAAAATCAATTTATATGCAATTAATTTTATTGCATTTGTCAAATATAAAAAGTTATGGGTGTAATTAAATATGATAAGAATATAATATATTTTTAAGGATTTTAATTTTATTTATTGATGGAGAATATAATATGTTTAATTATTATTTTTACTAAATCTTTGCTCACTAAAAATGTATATAAAATATAAAATTATGATATAAACCTTTATATTTGGAACCATAAAATCAATTATATGCAATTAATTTTATTGCATTTGTCAAATATAAAAAGTTATGTGTAATTTTCCACTTGCAATGCTCAAAATAGAAATTGATAGACGATATCCGTTCAATTCTTAAATTTTATGGGTAGGCAGAAACGTTTTTTCTTTTTTTTTTAAATAAAAAATAAAAAAAAAAGGAAAAAATTTACATGAGTTTCAATTTTTATAGATTGCTGATTTAAATAGTAATTAGTTATTTGTTTGATGTATGAGTAGGCTCCGCGTACCACTGTGTATGTATAGAAGAATATTTTCCATATTTAAGATGTAAATTGAAACACGTATTTATTTTTTTTGGTAATACAAAACACACATATTATTACCAAATATCAAATTATGGAAACATAGAACAATAATATCTTAACCTACCTTACAATATTTTAGAAACATACTTACCTACGTTTGGTTTATGGCTCCATACATGTACTAAATTAATAAAAGTAAGAATTTTTTATTAAAATGAGGGTATTTTTGTCCGTATACTTAAAAAAAAAGGATAAAATCAAAATATTTTTTAGAAATATTTAATTTCATTTGTTTGGTCCATAAATAGAATCACGGACTCGGTCTAGACAATTAATTTCCATATATATTTAATATAGGTATTATATAACACTGCAAGGCCATTTACTGGTTGCAAAGAAACCCTTATTATAGAAAACACAATTAGATTATTTTTATTAATGGCGGGAAAAGCTAAGCAAACTAAAGGAAGACAAAAAATAACAATGAAGAGAATAGAAAATGAAGATGACAGGCTAATCACTTTCTCGAAGCGAAGATCTGGAATCTACAAAAAGGCAAGTGAACTAGTTACGCTCTGCGGTGCTGAGGTTGCCTTGCTAGTTTTTTCACCAGCAGGCAAACCTTTCTCTTTTGGCCACCCATCTTTAGAATCTGTAGTACGTCGTTTTCTTGGAAAATCTTCATCAAACGACAATACGCATCCTCTTGTGGAGGCTCATAGAAGAATGAGGATAAACGAGCTGAACCTTCAACATAACGAAGTGCTTAGCCAGCTTGAAGCAGATAAACAGAGAGGAAACATGTTGAAGATGATGGTGAAGGGGAAGACAAGGCAAGGTTGGTGGGATACTCCCATTGATGAGCTTAACCTCCAAGAGCTTCAACAAATGCATGCAAAGTTAGAAGAGCTTCATAGTAATTTATGCAAGAGTGTCAGTGCAGTTTCTTTTAGGATTAATAATCCATTATTTGCCTCAGATATTGCAAGTGAAAAAGAATCCTTCTCCTTCCTTCATGGACATGGTTATGAGCATAGGTACTTTTAAGTAAGTTTATGGTTGATCTTTTAAGGAATAAGAGGAGATTACTATAACTCCAACTTTTAAAATAGAAGTATTTGTTGTTGTTCAAGTTTAATATTTCATATAAATAAAGAATCTCAGTTTGTATAAACGCATGTAGCGTATTATGTTATTTTGGTTCATCGAACTTCCTAATAAATTTAAAAAAAAAAAAAAAAATTTAATCTCTGTTATTGATATTGCTTGATTAGCCATACCAGTTCACAACAGAAACATGTGAATTATCCTGCAAGGTAAATCATTGTTTCAGGTCAAATAACTTCTTGTTTGGTCATAGAGTTAGGAAAATAGATGATTTAAATTAGAAATATGTTAGATGAAATAACTTACTAACGAACGACGTTCCATTTGCAATCAGTTTAAATTGGACGAAGCAGTAAAAGTTTGATAGATTCTTGCAATCAGTTTAAATTGTAGTAACAAGATTGAATATGTAAATTTCAAAAACTATTTTTTTTTTTTTGTGAGCAAAATTCTTTTTGGGAAAAATTTAACATAACTAAATACTTAAATTCGGGTCATCAAAGTGTTCTCAATACACCCAACTTAGCTCATAAATGCTAAGTAAAAAAACTCGGTAAAAATTAGATTGAGATATATATAATTTTTGAGAACCAAGGAATATTGGAAGGTGAAAGGTGAAGGAAAATTTTGATAATTATTAGAAGATACTAGTAAATTAATCGGAGCAAAAAATACCTATTATTTATCTCTACGGAGTGGCTGAAATAATAATAAATATTTGAATTCGACTAATAACTTTTGTAAAGTTAAAATTCAATTTATGGGAAAACATTTATGAGAAGAGATAGCTATGGATAAAAATTATTTACTATTCTCTCAGCTCACAAAGATAGACTTGTTTCTATTTTTACATAAATAAATAAAAAGTAACTAATGATTTTTAAAATTTACCTATATTTTTTCTAATAATAATATTTACCTATTAAAATTTACCAATATTTTTTTCTAACCTACCTATTTTTCCTATTGCTAAAATTTACCTATACCCTTGTATTAATATTAAATGTATTTTCAATTTTCAATATAAAATAAAATAGGAAAACTGTTGATAACAAGTTATATTAAATGTTTGAGAATTAATAAATTTATTGTTCTTTCACAATAAAAAGTGATCTAAATTAAAAAAGAAAGTAAACCGATATAAATAGAATGGAGAAAGTATTTAAAAAAAAATTTCAAATCAAATACTTTTGGTTTTAGAAAATGGTCCGCTCTTATTTTCAAAAAAGAGGTAAAAGTAGTGGCAATTTTCACTGGAGGATAATTTTTTTCCATCGTTTAAGATTAATTATACAGTAAAATGATGATACCACGTCATCACCATAAGTTGTGGCAATTCAATGAAAATAAAATATATATTGACTAAATAAAAAAAAATAACTCCATTATCTTTCTATTTATATTTTTAATTTCACTTCACATGTCCTATTTTTTATGAATATCTTATCTTTATTAGATTATCATTCCAACACATAGTGACGTGGTTTGAACGTTACAACATTTATAATTATTCCTTAAATAGATATCCACAAAATCTAACAATTATATAACAAAACTGAAGCATTATATTATTAAAATGAGTTGAACCGACAATTTAATAAAAATAAAATATTTATAAAATATAGAATACATGATTATAAATAAAAATAGAACTATATTTTAATTCAAATTCATGATATTACAGCTTCACTTCATTGTATAATTACTTATAGATTTATGACAATACAATGCATCTTGGAAAGCAAATTCTCAAAAACAATTCAATCTTATCCTCTTGTAATAAATCAATTACATAAAATTTTTTTTATAATTTATTTATAAAACTAAATTTTTATATTTGGTATGAAAAAAAAGAAGAATTAAATTCTATAAATTCTATGTATTTAAACATAACTAAACCAAATTCTACCAAAAAAAGATAGAAGTTTCAAATAAATTTCACAAATTTAAATAACACCAAAGTTTTAAGACAAAATTCTTTATCGTTCTAACCTCTTGAAATTGTTATACTAAAGGTATTTTAAAAATAAAAACAAATGAATTTCAACTTTTTAAGTTATTCCAAACATGAAAATTCATTTATATTATAAATGAACTCTACTTTTTAAATATATTTATACCAAACATAGTGGAAAAGCAATTACAAAATAATGTTTGGTTTAACACTAATCATACTGATGATTACTGTTAAACCCAAATATTATTCTTGCAATTAATTTTAAAATTGCATTATATTTTGGAAATTTGTTTTCCAAAATGCATTATTATTTGTCATAGTCACATTATTGGTTCGTGGTCTAGGGAAATATTTTTGACTTGGGGAAGGAAAGAAAAGGTTTTCCCTCGCGTAAAACCATGCATGCCATTCCCTTAGAACCATCGGCCCAATGGACTTTGCATACTATTTAATGGGCTTATTAAAAAAAACTAGGCCTTTATTTGAGCAGCTTCTAGTTCCAGTAGCCCATTTAAGAAATACTACCATATTTAGGGTACCATTTACAATTGCAAAAACAGTTATCTTGGTTTTCCTTTACCCGTTCAGCCGTTCCACTCATCGTCTACCAATCACTTTAAGAATTTTTTAAAAATTATTTTGACAATTTTTTAAAAATTGTTTTGACTTTGTTTTTTTTTTTTTCAATACATGGTCAGAAATACTTTTATTTTAATAAAAAAATTTTATTTTCGTTAGTTGGTTTATGAGTGGGGCCATAGACCTTATCTAAGTAAATTTTTTCCCTACTCTCATTTATATAATTATCTCATTTATATAATTATCGTATTATTACAACGTTATTAATCTTCAACAATATATGCTTTTATGGTTGAAATGAAAAATATTATATATATAATTAATTAATTAGTCTTTTAAAAGAAATATAGCGTACACTGAATAGTAAATAAAAAAAGTATTTATTTACCGCTAACTTTTATTGCGAAGGCGGACTTATAAATTAAATTAATAAAAATAAAATTTTTTAATGAAATAAAAATATTTTTAATTATACACTTTGTTAAAAAAAAAAAAAAGAATAATTTTTAAAAAGAAAAGCATGAAACCAAATCACATAATGTCAATCAACGCCTCGAATTAATTATGAGTACGGAGGAGAGACATGGGTAGATAGATGAGAAAGATATTTATGCTTAAATGAACTGACTGGTAGATACAATATGGACGGTCCATACTTAAATATTGCTGGTACAACGTATTTTTCTGAAAAAAATTGAAAAATTAAATACCGACAATTCAAGAATTGAATTTTAAACACAAATATCAATTATTAATTACATTCAGAATAAATTTTAAATTGAAGTTTTGATTATTTCTAATTTAATTAGAAAATCTAAATTAATTATAAATAAATATTCTAAATTTTAGAAAATATTATTATTTAACATTTAGTTTCCTTTCCTTCAAGGAGACTTACAGTTTACATGTGGGTGGGCCATGTGGGAGACCATATTTAAGAGCTTCTGCTTGTTTTTATTTGCAGCCATACAAAAATAAATGACGCCACTGATTTTCATTTTATTGGATTTTTTATGAGTTTATTTTTTATTTTGTAATCTAGGTCTTATCCATAGTCTTTGTTTGATATTTTTGTTTTATATAAAGGAACAGAAATGTTTAACTTCCTTCTGGATTATAGCAATTTAATGCAACTGTTCTGAATTCTGATCTAAGAGACTGTATGTCTCCACCAATAGAACTGTTTCTTTATCTTCTTCTTCTTCTTCATTTGTTCTTTTTATTTATTGTGTTGTAATTATACTGAAAGTGAGGTCACGTCTTTGGTGTCATCAGATCACAAATGCACTTTCTCAGGAAACAAACATCATCTTCTGACAATCCAAGAAAATCGTATTTCATAACCTGCTCAATGGAAATTCAAAATGTAACCATCTACTAGTCTATAATATTTTACTACTCTTTTTATAGTTACTTACCACTTGTAAACTTCTACACTGGAAATTACAGGAAAAACAGGATACCACTCTTTACCTGTAATTCATTTAATAAAATTCTTCAAACTCTAGCAGAAGTACTCTTAAGTGCTAACTCTTCAAGCTGCAATAAGGAAGCTTTAGAAACTTGACCGATACTTTCATTTCCAGCCTTGGAGTTTTGATCGTCGATATAGTGCTGATAAACATAAGAAAGAAAGCCCCAGACAGCCAAAACCATGGAAATTATTTTGACACCATCCATCTTGTCATGGAAAACAAAAACAGATAGAACTGGAACAATAGGCAAGCCCAGAACACTTATGGAATTGGAAAATAAAGAAGATACTTCAAAAATTAACCCAACACATCCAATTGTGAAAATTTGCCAAATTATAGCTGTCCAAGTTAAGTTCATCAAATAAGAAATTTTTCCTAACTGATACCCATTCATTTCTCTTGTCAAGTCATTCCATTCTCCGCTAGTAAAAAGTCCAATCAATGTCACTACAGTTGCAACTGCCGATGGATAGATTATCATGCTCATGACTACCTTGAATGTTTGCTTTTTAGCAACTTTCCTGAGAAAAAGCTGTGTTAATGAAAGTACCAATCCATACCCAGCTACCCATTCATTTCTCTTGTCAAGTCATTCCATTCTCCGCTAGTAAAAAGTCCAATCAATGTCACTACAGTTGCAACTGCCGATGGATAGATTATCATGCTCATGACTACCTTGAATGTTTGCTTTTTAGCAACTTTCCTGAGAAAAAGCTGTGTTAATGAAAGTACCAATCCATACCCAGCAGAAGCAGCAACAGTGCAGACAAAACCGATTGCATATTTCACTTTGGAAACTCCAGTAGGGTTTCCAGACTCATTATTGAACACTAACAGGACAGAGGAGATTGTTAAAAGGACTAGAGAATTTACTATAAATGGAGTAAATTTCTGGGAATTCAGAAAAAATGAGAAAAAAGCATTGAAGGCTAATTGAGATGCACAAATGAGAGTGTAGGTAGAAACAGGAAGATACTGCAACCCAATTGAATACAGAAAGCAGTCTACTGCTATGAGTAAACCAAACGATATATAGATTGCTGCTAGGGTTAACGAAGATGGTGATTTTGTAATTATTATATCATTTTCCCTTGGAATTTTGAGTTTTAGAAAGAAATAGCAAGGAATGAGAATTGGGAAGCCAATAAGTTGAACTAATGTTGCCATCCATTTACTCTTTCCACCTCTAACAAAGTAGAGTCTTCCTAAGAGAACAGCTACTGACTGGCCAACGAGGAGAAAGATTATGTATATTGATATTCTAAACCACCAATTGTAATTCCTTCTTCTTTGTTCCATTGCTGATCGGCTTGTAATACTCGCAGAATCAGCCGAGTTTGCTTCTTTAGCTTCTTGAACTGTTATAAGAACAAACATTAAACAGATTAACTATAAAAACCTACTTAACATCTTAATTAATTATCATTATTTCAAAATAAACTTGGCCACAGCTACTAGAAGTTCATAAATTTTACTATTCAATACATGCTATGCATTTATTGTTAAAACAATAACTGAATGTATAATTATAATTAACTAGTCTTTCAACAGAAACATAACGAGTTATACTGAATAGTCAAAAAAAAAAAAAAAAAAAAAAAAAAAAAAAAAAAAACAAAAAAAAAAAAAAAAAAAAAAAAAAAAAAAAAAAAAGAGGAAAAAAAAAAAAAAAAAAAAAAAAAAAAAAAAAAAAAAGAGGAAGTGTTAAGTGTAAACTTACCCATAATCTGCATTGTCACTTCTTGAGGTTCTCCCATATCAAGAAAGGTGTAGAAGTTCCAAAACAACGAAGCTTAGAAGGTTTATATATAAATATGCGTGTGTGTTTTTGGTAAGCAAGCTCTTCCTATTAAAATAGCGTAGCTGCAAATGCGAAGAGGGAAAATGCCAGTAACAACCCAAAAGACAAAGTTAGTTTCTAACAATTGAGACTTCCCAAGTAAACCACAAATAAACAAAATACAAGATATCAGCAAAAAAATAGAAAAAGAAAAGCAAGAAACATCAATTTACCTAATTAGCATAGAAGTTCAATCAACACCAAGCAGATCAAACTTATTATCTTCAACCAAATTAGGCAGGCCTCCAATTAAATCAACCAGTTATGGCTATGGAGAAGAGATATGGATAGATCATAGATAGACCAGAAAGGTATTTATAGTTAAATTAGAATTATGTATCATGCAATACTGGTATTTAATATAGAGGATCCATACCCATATATTTTGATGGTAGGCCATATTTTAATTAAAAATCTGGTGTTGACAACAATAATGCTAACCCTTTCCCTCCAGACAAAGAGAAATTGCATACGGTTGATTGCTGGTTGACTGTCACTTCAATACAATAAATTGGTTGAAATTTTCCAAGATACTTTCTTCCTACAATTTAAAAAAAAAAAAAAAATGTGGCAGCCATATGGTAATTGAGGTGTGTGGTTTTCCTTAAGCTTCAAGAGTATTACCGTCGGAGTATATAATTTTATAACTTGAAGTATTTGATAAATTAAAATAAAAGTTGAGGGTGTTAAAAGATTAAAATTATAGTTCAGAGTTGAAAAATTGGCATTGCAGTGAATTGCATGAAAGATACATAGACAATTAATTCTGACAATTTAGAATGTATTGAACTTGGGACCATTTCATTTAAAGCCAAAATAGACAAATATAATTTTGATTTTAAGAATCCTGTAAGAGGTTGAATTGCATCCATACAAAAATAATTACAAAGACAGGCTATAATAAATTTAAAAGAGATTAGTTTTATATCATAATCATGAAATCTATGACTATATATATATATATATATAACCTCTAAACTTTAAACAATGTTTCCATAACTCGTACTCATGATCTTTAACCAAAGCACTGAATACAAATTAAGGGTTTCCCATAAATCTACCCACTCCCCCGTTACACCGATATTTGCTAACTCATGATTCTTTAACCAAGCCACTGCTACCATTAAGGGAAGGGAAAGGGAAACCTGCGAGCTTTTCCTGTTCTCAGTCAAATCCTTTCAGAATTAGGCTCCAATTAATAATGAATCAAGTTCATATATATATATATATAACCTCTAAACTTTAAACAATGTTTCCATAACTCGTACTCATGATCTTTAACCAAAGCACTGAATACAAATTAAGGGAAGGGAAGGGAAGACCTGGACTTTTCTGTCTCAGTCAAATCCTTTCAGAATTAGGCTCATTAATAATTGAATCAAGTTCATTTATTTAGTGAACGTAGTTCTTCATGATGGTTAAACGCTGTTTGTTATGAAACTTTTACGCTATTGTAGTAAACCTTTTTTGTTAAATAATATTAAATTGTAATATTCTTTTGATTTTTCCATAAATTTCCGCAATTTTTTTTAAATATGAGATTAATCTCGTTTATAATTCATAATTAGCTCTTTTTGTAAGCTTTTTTTTCATAGCAGGAATGGCTAACGAATACAAAACCTAAGCTATCAATCTCATATATTGGCATAAAATATGAGAAAAATAAATATGTATACAGCAATGCATTGAATAAAATATTATATTATTTTACGTTTAATTTTCCTTCTTCCAAGGTCCATGTGAAGGACCATTTTTTAAGGAGTTATAAGAGCTCTTGCTTGTCTTTATTGGGCAGCTATGCACAAAATTTATTGGATTTTTGATGGGTTTATTTTATTTTATTTTTTTAATTTTCTAATTTCAGTACTCATCCATGTGCTGTTCATAGTCTTTGTATGGTCTTTCTGTTTCAGAGGACAGAAATGTTTAACTGCCTTCTTCTCTAGATGATAGCAATTTCATGCAACTGTTCTGCGTTGTATCTCCACCAATGGAAGTGCTTCAGAGAGTTGCCTTTTTGGTTCTTGTTTTGCTTTTTTTATATATTTTTGTGCTGAAATTGAGGTCATTTGCATTTGGTCTCATTTTCTTCGATAAATAAAGCTGAAAGTTAAGTTTGAAGCAAAGCGGCCGATCTGACTGGCTTGAGCTCAGCAGCTCGATTTCTTCTAATTTCTTTGTTTTTCTACGTAAGTCTAAATCTTTAATGATAGCAACCGTATGGAGGGGAAAAAAAATAGTTTTACATATATATATAGTAGTTGAAAGAATAACATTTTACTGGGGAAAATTAATTTATTGTTTACATTAATGAAATTTAAGTGATAAAATTTAAATAATCTACAGATATATATATATTGTGCCAAGTTGCTTCTTCTTAGTTTTGGGAGTTTGGATTTATGATTCTCTGTCTTCTGGCCTTTCTACTAGTTTTGATCATGATTTAGCTGATGTAGTTATATTACATTCTTGCTCTAGCTAGTTTTTAACTATTGTAAAAAAAATAAAAAAAATAAAAAAAATAAATCCCATTTGAAATATGAAATTTCTCAATTAGATTTTATTTTCTAATTTAATGATGAAATATGAATTTTTATGAATTTTAATCCAAATGATCACTAAAATAATAAATAAAAAAATATCTACGTGATCACATGAAGTAAACAAATAAAATATTTAAACATATTGTGGAGTTATCTTTTAGCTGTTATGGGTGCAATAATAATAGATAAGATCATGATATTGTGAAAATGACAGAATGGTTCTAAATAATTTCTTTTAGCCAAACCTACCCTCATTTATATGCACAGTTCTTCAAACCCTGCGATAAAATGAATGTTTTCTGATATCCCTGCACTACATATAGTCTTTACCAGTAATGGAAGCTAAAGAGTCGAACTCGAGCATCTCGTATTCATATGAGAGTGGTGTTTGTAGTAACTCAATCTAAGCAAATATTTTTCTATAATTTTTTTTTTCTTTACTAAATTTGAGGAATAGAGTACTTAAATTCGAATTTCTCGTACCTATGATCACATATAATTTTTGGGTCTTGAACACCTCATTTTAGCTTTTTAGGTAAAGGGTCACTGTCATATTCAATATGAATTTGCAATTATGATCTCGGACATTAATATTTTTATATAGCTTTTAGATCCTGTTTGTAATGAATAAATTCACACAGCATTATTGGGTTGATTTGGAATTTTATGAATCGAAATATTCATCAACTTCTATGAAATTTTATTTTATAAAATTAAATATAATTAAATCAAATGTTTATAAATAAGCTCTATACTTCAAATTCACATTACAAAGAAATTAAGTTAATAAAAACTTTATATTTTTTTTTTTTCAAAAAAGAGCATCTTTAGGTAGATAAATGTTAACGTCTTGATTTAATGTTGCCCAATAAGAGAAAATATTGCAGTATGCTGACAGTGCGTTGATATCTTCAATAGGATAACAATAATGATTTGTTTTGCTATAATGGAGTTGAAAATTTGCTAATTAGCCTATAATCTCTATTTATACAATCAAATAAACGAAAATAAAAATTTTTATTGAAATGAGAGTATTGTTATCATACACCGGGACAAAAAAATGATAAAATAAAAATAATTTTTTAAAAATTCTTATTTTTATTGATTTGGTCTATCGATAGAACTATGACTCCGATATAAGTAAGTATAATTTATGTACACATCTCGAAAGCGTTTTTCGTTGTTTGAAGAAGGTTTATGTGCAGTCCATAAACCTTTTTTTATAGTTGATTTGGACTTGAATCAACATTGAAAGAGAAAAGAAAAGTTCGTTGCAATTTCATGATTAAGATTCAGAATTAAGTAATTAATGTTAGTGCAAGATTTGGAAATTGCAGTTAAATATAATTAATTAACAAGTTTTGATTTAGGCATAATTTGATGCCAGAAAGATGTCTCAGACACTTATGTCACCACTAGATCCTAAGCATGAATATTTAAAGAAAATGATATTTAGCCAACCACCGACGACTCAAGCAGTAAGGTACACTCGACTTTAGTGGATGATATTTATAAGGTCAAGAATATAATTCTTGAAAGCCCCAAAACTATAACTGGACTTATATCCTGAGGACACGTGGCAATTTAAAAAAAATGATATTTAGTAATCTATCTGTGTAGTATAGTATAAAAATAATAATATCAACAACAAACTGTTACTTTCTACTTTCTGCCTGTAATCTTATAGTTAAAAAAAACAGTTATTTATTTATCTTTTTTTCCCCTTTAAAGCTGCAACATAAGATCTTTCGGGATCAAAACATAAATAGAAAAAAGCAACAAAAAGAAAAGGCATAAGATAACTTGATACTGAACCATTTTTGGAGATGAAAGAAAAAAAAAAAAAAAAATTCCCTGCTTTCTTTATCTAGAAAGGAAGCAGATCAGTATCTTGCTTGCATAATTAAACAACTAAATTTTGTATGCAATATACATGTATATATATGTCCTGTACTTATTCTTGTACTAACTTTCTTTGAATAGTAGAGTCTTGAGAAACCTCTTCTTTGACAGTATCATTCAAAATACTTGCACCTGTCTTGGACTTGTAATCATCAAGATAATGCTGATAAATATATGAAAGAAATCCCCACATAGCAAGAACCATAGCAATAACCTTCAAGCCATCCATTTTGTCATGAAAAATGAAGACAGCAAGAACAGGAACAATTGGCAATCCAAGAGTGCTAATGACATTGGAAAAGAGTGAAGAAACTTCAAAGATCAATCCTGTACACCCAATACTAAAAACTTGCCAATTTATAGCTGTCCAGATCAGAGTCATTAGATATGATACATTTCCTAATTCAAAACCTTCCATGTCTTTCTTTAATCCTTTCCATTCACCACTTGCAAAAAGTCCCACTAAAATTGCTAATGTAGCAACTATTGATGGGTAAAATATCATATCCAAAACAATCTTGAAATTTTCTTGCTTAAACACTTTCTTGAAACAAAATTGTGTTGAAGAAAGCATTAAAGCATACCCAGCAGAAGCAGTAACTGTGCATATATACCCAATTACATATTCCCCTTTTGAGATTTTCTTTGATTCTGTTGAGTCATCTTGGAATACAAGAAGGGTGGAAGAAATGGTGAGGACAAATACAGAATTTATGATAAAAGGAGTAAATTTTTGGGAATTTAGGAAAAAGGAAAATAAAGCATTAAACCCTAATTGAGAAGCAGAAATAAGAGAAAAAGTTGAAACAGGAAGGTATAAAAGCCCAAGTGAATATAGCAAACAATTTGCTGCTAAAAATATACCAAACATGGTATAAATCAAAACAAGCTTTAATTTAGAAGTTGAATTTGTGTGAATAATAATAATATTATTACTTGGTTTGAGATTTTTAAAAGGTGTAAAGAAGTAAAAGAGTAAGTTAATAGGAAAACCAGCAGTTTGAACAAATGTTGCCATCCATTTGCTATTTCCACCTCTATCAAAGTACAGTCTTCCTAAAATTGTAGCAACTGTTTGGCCAACAAGAAGGAAAAATGTGTAGATAAAAATTCTGGCAAGCCACCATTTAGACTTCTTCTTCGGAAAGGTTGGCTGGTTCGTGTCATTTGTTTCCTCAGCTTTCTGGGTTGTCTTCTCAGCTTCCTGGCCTGAAAAGGGCATAATTGGTGCAACGGCAAATACTTAATCAGAGACTATAAATATTTAACTGATCAATGAAGAAAAACGAAATGAAGGATCTATTATACGTATATAATTTGCTTACCCATGATTTGAAGTTGCAATTCTTGAGCTTCTCCCATATTAAAGTTGGAGAATTTGAAACTCAGATATAATTAAGCAGAGAGGAGGAGAGACAGAGGCAGAGGGAGAGTAAGAAACGTAGACTACTTTTATACTAACAAAGGGCAAAAACAATTGCACCAATGGAATTCTTGCTGCTGTTCAGTGCGCTTCAATTACTTCCGTTTGGGACATCTTTTTTTTGATTTAACAATGATAGTTAACAAATTAAAATTTGGAAATGAAATGATGAAAGAACAAGAATTCTTAGATCATGATCTCTATCAGTTAAAATAGTCTATGTTGGCATTGTTTTGTCTTTTAGTAGGGAATCATGCCTCTTTTCATGAACCTCACTATGCGTTTTCGGTTTCGTTTTGTTTGGACTTGAATTTAAACTGCCGGCCTCTGTTGCTTTCATTTTCCTTTTTTTTTATATATATATTTTTTTATTTTTTTTTTTAGCAGAAATTTGGCAAGTGCCTCAATTACTTTTTTTTTTTTTTTTTTTATTTTTTTTTATTTCTTTTTAGCCAGCAATTTAAGGCAGTGCTCAATTACTCTTTTTTTTTTTTTTTTTAATTTATTAGGTTTTTTTTTTTTTTTTTTTAATTTATTAGGAGAATCCAAATAACATTACCGGTTCATGTAGTCTTTCCTTAACTCACCAAATTGGTGACTTGTAATCGAAAGGATTTAAATTCAAAACTTTTCATTCTCTACATTACCACACTTTATTGTCCGTATCGCATTAGTTATTAGAATTAAAGCCGAAGAGAAGAGATAATTGAATTAATCAACTATTATCTACGGATAAATTTTAGTATAAAATAAAGAAATTTAAGCATTTGTTTTATATAAATCAGTTTTATTAAATGTATTCATAAAATTTTTTATATTTAACATAAATTTATTCATTTACAAATAATTTTTTATTGAAATTAATTTGCAAATAAATAAATTTTATTTTATATTCAAAATATACTATGTAACATTATGTAAGTATTATTTTTGTGATTGCTACGAGTACTTCAAATTCCAACCCCACCCATAAAATGTGGGAATGGTACACTTTAATATGCGTGATTAGGGAAAAGCTTTCCCCTTCAGAATCCCACATAAAATTGCTTAAAGCTCAATTTAACACGTATGTTCACAAAAGGACTAGAGTCCAGCGGTCTAAACATACATATTCACAATAAAATTGCATTACTATTGAATCTTGGATTCGATGGATAACAAACAACAAATTTAGGTTATAATAACCTACTTTCTTCATCAATGGCATAAAATATGAAAAGGAAAAAAAAAAATAGAAAAACAAAAGAATATATATTGATATGTAATATTACAAAAAGAATCCCTTTCCTGTCATTTGCCTGCTGCCCAATCTTCAAAGGCAAATCCAGCATCTAGCTTCAGACCGGGCTGGCATCGGAGAGCATTTTCGCCCTTAAGTTTGTTGAAAACACTCATCATCTTCAGCTAGATCTCCAAGCAACATTTCTATGTTCGCTTATTTCACTTCATCTGTATTTCTTTGTATGTTCAACTGAAAAACCTCTATGCATATTCTCTTTCTAATCTTCATTTATCAGGCCTGTGTAAACAAATAGATTTTTGAATTCCGAAATGCTAATCATTAGATTAAACAAGATCCTAAATCTATCACAAGCTCAACAGTAATTATAAAGTGACAGTCATGTGCTTACAGAAGAATGAGGGATCTGAAGAAGAATGAGTGAGACACAATATATAAATAGAGAAATGGAAGCCCCAGCAACAAAATTATGGAAAAGCCGCCGATTATCTCTTGTGGGTATAAAAACTGACTTGAGTGTATTGGTTAATTCAAAAAGCCGAAGAGATACCTGCATAACCAATTGGAGATAGTGACACAATCAAAAAGAAAAACAAATTAGCTACCACTGCTAACTCGTAAAACTTTATATGGTCAAGGAAAACATATGCTTACTAAGACATAGATGGCAGTTGTGAGCATGAAATTCAGCAAGGGATATTCTGGTATAATAGAAAGAAGCCACTTAGGCTGTCCATTTGGCACATTCGATCTGCAATACATAAAAGCAAGTTAAAATTTTGCAATTTTTTATAAACAAGCTGAATTCCTTCTATTTTGCATGTTTCTTGAGAATATTGCATTGCTGCTGTATTGAAAATTTTCTATCTTATCAGCCTCTCTGTGTTCTTTTTGTTTTTCAGATCCATTTACTTGTTCTGATTACATTCACTAGGACTACTTCGACATGGTCAAAAGAAGTTGATCCAAGTCCAAAAAGTGGTTTGGCCAAAAATAAAATAAGCTTGTGCAATTGTTGAACTATTTCAGGATTGCCTCATAGGAAAGATAATAGAAACCAAATTCAACTGATCTGTGTTCAAATAAAATCACATTTCATAATTCATCAGCTGTTTGTAGATGTGCCGTAAGAGCCTCTATTCTACTGTGAATCATTCTTCTAAAACTATAACGGCATAGAGTACTGACCGACTTTGAAACTAGGGAGAAAGGAGCAGAAGAAAGAAAAAAAAGGAACCAGTTCAAACCTCAGCCAGATGTGGAACTGAGAAATATATGTCTCCAAAGTTATCTTGCCGAGCCAACTGTGAAAATAGATTAACAAATTAGAAAAAATAGAAATTGGATAGTAAAATAATTCACATCTAAATCAATCAAATTTTGATAATTCTTCACTCTATAAAATGTATAATCATATGGGTTAAATAACATACGCAAAGAGAGTCAAAGAGAAACTCCGAAGCTGATGAGTGAAATTCCGCAAGCAAATGTAAACGCTGGAATCACAATAAGAAGATAATAAGATGCCACAAAACCAATTAGATCATATCACGGAATTATCAGTTTTGCTAGCCACCCACAGAGCTCTATGGTCATTAACACCCACTCAACCTAAAAAAATAATCCATGATACATACGTGATAGGGATCCACGATGTGTAGGGATGGTATTTGTTATATGTAACCTTGTCCAGCTTGTAAATATATTCAAACCACAAATAACCAACCTTGTAAAAGTAAAGAAATAAGATCAATCAACAATCAGAAAGCACAAAGGAGATAATGACGCAAATGGTACAACAAAGTTCACATAATTGCATGCTCACCAATGAAGCAACTGAAACAATTCCTGCTTTTACCGAGAGTTTCCTCTTGGTTTCTGATTCCTCCAATTTCTCCATCCATTTCTCCACCTGAATTTTTAAGGACATTTTAAAAGATTTAGAAGTTGAGTTAGAAAGAAAACCCAAGATACCAAAAGTGTTCAAGTACTTACAGTGGGGTGGTAATATGCATAAATCATTCCAATGATCCAAATATAGCGATCAAGTCCAGATCTGAAATGCCACTCATGCATTCGAGGAAGATCTGGCTTTGCAGGATCAGTATACCCTGGCCACAGAAAATAACTATTACGCATATATAGAAGCCAAAAGTAGCACACAATTTGAAATCTTGAAATAACAATCCAATTCAAACTCAAAAGAAATTTATTTATAAATTACAAATATCTTTAGAAAACTAATTGTCATAGCCATATTAAACCAATACTAATTCAAAAGGCAGCAAAAAAAACCAATAATAAATGAAGTTTGCAGGTAGAAGAGCCAAAAGGCTGAATAAAACCATAAAATATGTTAATAACAAACAAAAGGCAAAACAAACCAACTAGAGAGCAGAAGATCATAATCAAGAACTTTTCCAAATCCACTGTGATTATACAAAGTTGACTAAGCAAACTTATACTGTGTCTATATACTTGCCAATCAAACAATTATGAATTGAAAAAAGAAAAGATATGCCAGATACTGACCTAATAAGAATCGAAAAGGGCTCCAGATAATGTCAAACACTCCAGGTATTTCCCAAATCAAGATAACCACAAGAAAGCAAGAAAGAATCTTCACAGCCATCACTGAGCTATTTTCATTATACTTGTTAAATATACCAAGGGCCCCATACACCATTAAAGTGAAAAGCGTGTGCATTGGGCAGATGTAGTACAGCATATAATCATTATTAAGGACGATACAACAAAATGCCACGAAGAAATTGAGCCGCCACATCATCTGCATGAAAGGATTATACATAGTAAAAAAGGGTTATCTTTTATCCTTATGCAATAATACAAGGTACAAAAGTCACTCAATATTACCTGAGTGAAACGTGCAAGGCTAAAGTCCTTCCTAACATAATAATAAGAGAAATTGCCAAAGCCAGTCATCCAAACATATGCAGCTATAAAGACACGTATTGCATTGTATATCTCTGTTGCAGCAAAGTAGTGGTACATTAAGAATAGGACCTGTTAAAACAATGCAGAAAAAAAGAACCAAAACAGGGGTTAATTCCGTCTCCGAAACAATGTGAATATCTTTAGAAAATGAATTCCCTATGTTGTTTAAAAACGGAGAAAGCAATATAAAACAATGTCTATCCAACTAAAACACAGGACTTGATAAACACAGACAATGTTTTTCAAGCAGCATTCTAAATTGAATTGCGGTGGCAAACCAAAATTATATTAGTTTTAGCAACATCTCATTAGAATTGGGATGTATTCACTGGAAGAATAGACAATAATACAAACCAAAAAAAAAAAAAAAAATTCAATGTGTCTTTCTGAAGTCCAAACAACAAAATTAAGAATCAGAGAAAAATTATATTATCCTAAGAAAAAAAAAAAAGAATAACACTATATTACAAATTCTTAAAAAAAAAACTGAGAAACATGTGATTCAAAAACCACTTTGATTTTCTGTAAGCTAAACCATAGTTTGGTGTCTAGGTTATAAAGCTTAACAAGAAATACTTGCCTGCATCCATCCTTTCCACTCCTCAGTTTGATGCCGGTTAAGGTAATTAATGGATTTTCCACTGAATGCTGATTTATCAGTATGTTTCTTCAATGAAGTCATCGCTGACACTATAATGAGAAGAACATAGAGAAAGAGGAAAAGGTCCCGATTGTAGTTCTGTCCAAGGAACACCCCGAAAGGATCAGTACTGAAAATCATAAAACCTGTCAAATCCTTATGAATGCATATAAACCATGAGCTCAGCATCACAGTCCGCTAAGCAGAAAAAACATAATTCTTTCCAGAACACTGCACAAGCAGCCAACTTTAGTTCAAACATCATGTCTTTATTCATTTTTTATAGTTTGGGGGCGCAGGGAGTGGGGGTGTATTCCAGTGAAGAGTGGTGTCTATCATCTTTGCCTGTAGTATTATGGTCCTATGGATACTACATTGTTGCTTAGAACCACTTCTTGAATATTATAAAATTATGACCAAAACGGAGACAAAATGTACATTGCAAAGGTATCATGAGGAGTATGATACTCTTCATCGGAAAATTTTAGTTGGAAGCCTAAAATAGCATAAGAAAGGTCACTTTCAAGAACTGTACTTGTGCACTCTCATTTAAACCCAAGAACAGTGACTAGTGTGGACTATGAATTTATCCCTTTATCTGTGTAAAACCATTCAGCCACGAACAAATAGCAGAAGGAATTGCTAAACAGAAAAATTATATGCATGAAGCATTTAAAAGAATTGAAATCCGAAGCCCTAATAAAAGCCATCATGTGCTATCATACAAGAAAGTAGCATTTCATTGCAAAGCCAAGGAACAGAGGAAAGAACCTTGTTGGAGTCTCCTAACAAGTTTGTGCGGTCAGATATGTAGAAATATATGAGAATTGCCCCAAGCTCAGACCTATATAATTGGGACAGAGAAATTCAGATAGTATTAAGAATTACAATTGACCAGCATCACTTTTGACAATATATAGACTCACATTGCTTTTAAAGTTGCTCGGTTTTCTAGCAAGAAAGAGTCTTCCATAGTCATAAACCTACAAAATAAAAATTGCAGGAGGTAAGAAAGAATTGTAGGATATTCACAATAAAACACCATAAGAATACCGCATGATGTAACGAGCAACCTGATTAAGTTCATTTTGATGGATGAGCTATGAAATTTTGCAGATGTTGTTTTTGTGAGGCCTCCTTCAAGTAAAACAGCCCGATCATCTTCCTTGATTGTCTCCTTTTCCAACTCAACCAGATTATTGTCTGAATGGCTGCAATCCAGATAGTTTAACATCAGAAAATAAGGAAGTGGAAATACAGTCTCTTTCCATCATGTTATTTTCACATGGGAGAAATAGGCACATCTTCCTTGATTATCTCCTTTGCAATGACAAATTATAATAGCTGTCTTTATACCGAAGTATGACCTGCTCTCTTGCACAATTTCAGTCCTCAGAAATTCATCTTATTCCCAGGAGAAGGAAGGATGGATGGGTGAGAGTTCGGTATAGTCATTGACCAGTTTACTGCAACGACATTATTTGGTACCTTAGCATACTTGCTGGTAGCCCTACCTTAACCGACTTAAGAAGAGGAAAGGAAAACATCTGAATGATTAGCTAAAATGTGATCAATCTCAAAATAAAATTACACTCCAAAATTTAAGACCATGATGCATTGGGAAGGTATAATTTTGCATTAACTCAACAAGAGAATGACAGATCAGTGATAGTTTTCCTCATTCAATATCTTCTCATTTTGATGGACGAACATGGGTTGTTCACAAGTTAAATGCAAAAAGGAAAAGGAAAATCTTCCCATTATTTGCACATTACAGTTCCCAAGCCAGAGAATGCCAGACAATACCATTAGAATGAAGCCCAATACATGAAGTACATGGCTCTCAATCACCAAGGGAATAAACTTACACTTTAGAAGGCAATAAGGATTTCTTGTAGTATAAAAACTCTGTGTATATCCATGCAACAAAAACTGGAATAATTCCAAGCAAAAAAGACACCTAGGACATGATAAAAAACGAAAAAAAAAAAAGATTTCATTAGAGATTATCAGTGATAATACTTAGAGCAAAATAAAATAAGCAAAGACAAACAAGAGATAAAATAAATCAAAAAATGAAAAAGGAAGAAAAATAACAATAAGTTTACAACACTTATAATTACTAATGTATGGGAGAAAAAATCACTTCCTGGCAAAAGAAGCAACAGTGAAAATACACAATGCTAATGAAATTTACATAGATGAGTATACAACAAATTAAAAGGCAAATACAACAGCTAAACCTGCTGAGCATTTAAAATTCTATTTCCTCACACAATGCAGAGAACTTAGCAATTTCTTTTGACAGCTAAGTAGTAGATTCTTGAAACGAATTTTGAGAAGACACTCCAACATAATCGATAATCCTTATTAAAGGAACTACTACCGGTCTCAAAATTTAAATAATCAGTATTAGAGAACCAGATTATTATCAGCATTTACTGAAACAGCAAAAATTGAAGTCCAACCCTAGCAGATGGAATCTTACAAGAAGTTCCTGGGGCAGCTAACTTACTGAATGACAAAATTTCTTATCAAATACATTTCAAATGCAAATTTTAGTTCAAAAAATTCTTAGAACTTCAGATACTACCATCTGATTTAACTAGTTCGAGTTTTCCTCTTTCTCATTATTGCTAATCCTCAGGAACAAAAAATCACTAGCTTATTCTAATTATTCCAGCAAATTAAAACACAACATCCTCAATAAATTTATGCAAATCCACTCAATACTTAAGTGAAGCTAGAATGATCCACATTGTAACTGGCATTACCAAAAGGATACACAATAATTGCAAAGCAATGCTAGATAAAACCGAACCTGTCCAGGCGTAATTGGACCCGATATCACCATATCTCCGAATTCCGATCCAGAAAACTGCCACAATCGAAAACGAAACCGCGTCAGATCAATGAAGCAAACGCCACAAATCAACTCAAAATCAACAACCGACCAAAAAAAGCGGAAAAGGAAAAAAATAGAAGCACCAGAGAGATTGAGAGGTCAAGCGAGATAGACAGAGAGTAGTGATCCAAAGGACATGGTCATAAATATTACTAGTAAGAAGACCAAACAACAAGCACAAAGAAAAAGAGATCTGCGAAAGAGAGAGAATAGAAGAGTTTGCTTGAAGAATTGACAAAAAATGGCGGAGGAGAGGTCCCTCTCACACTCACTCACTCACTCACTCATACACTCCTCCTCCAAACGGTTGATTAGTTGCTGTTGTTGTTGTTATTGTTGGTGATCGAGGTGACAGGCGGTGAAGGTAAGTGGGTTTGGTTTTTGATTTCGGTTGTTGAATTGCTTTCTATTTGAAAATTTCGAAAGAAATTGTTTGCTTTTGGTTAAAACAAAAATATAAACATTACAGCCATGCAATGATTTTCTTCTGACCATTTTCCTTTATTTATTTTTTTAATAAATAGCGTATCTTTGGGTCTAAAGAGAAGACTATAGGCTGTCATTAGATTTGATTATTCATAATATTTATTGGGTTTGATGTTGGATTTACCTCCTAACACAAAATATTATTTCGTTTCGGATTTTATTTATTATTATTTTTAATTATTGCAACTTTTTTTAGATGAAAAATATTATAATTTGAATAATATATTTGTAGATTTTTGCATTATAATTTTATCATTATATATATTTTTTTCCTAGATGATATTATCAATTTTTATATTTTTTCTAGATGAGATCACCATTTTTTAAAAAAAAATTTATACCCTTTAAAAATAATTACATGCTATTATCCACTGTAGATGGCGATAGACAATGCAATGCATTCGTTTTTTTACATGATTATAGTTACCAAGTTAAATGAATTAATAACATTAATATATATTGGCTAATCAAATGCAATTACTAAGATTGTTTTTTTTAAAGAAAAATAGAATTACTATGATTAATAGCAAATTTCCTTTTAATGAATTTTTTTTTATTATAGTTAACATGTGTTTCACTATTTTTAACTTCTTCTTGTAAATAACCTTTAATTTGTCAATAATTAAAAATGTATAATTGACATAAAAAGTTTCTTTTTGAGTTATCCTAAAACTTTTAAAATTGAAAAACTCGGTTTTTATTAATATGCAAATCCTCATAATTGCCATATTTTTAAAAGATTAAAGAAAATGGAAAAAATAGATTCTCATACAAATCCATGGAATTTGCTATTTTTTTTTTTAAAAAAAAAAAAAATTTGTCCAAAATTAGAATGATTGCAAGACTGAGAAGTCTAATTCCTTCTTTGGACGCACGTACGATGGATATGTGTCTCGCTAGATATTCCATTCCCCTAAATGATCGCCGCAATCATTTTAGTCTTTCTTCCTTACAATAATCAAAAGAAATGGGGTTGAAATGGAAAAGGAAAATGTTAAACCCAAACTCATACCGAACTAGTATTAATTCAACTATATGCATTTTATATATAATTTTGTCAATAATTGGTCTTAAAAAATATATATATATTTAACATTTACATTCTTTTTATTAAACTAATTAGACTTTATCTGCCAGATAAGAAGTTTAAAATATAAAATCATTAATGTTTACGAGGGTTTTATCTGAATACCACCTTTAACTTAAGTATAAAGATACATATGCAAAAAAAAAAAATATATATATATATGTTAAACCAAACTCATACCGAACTAGTATTAATTCGAACTATATGCATTTATATATAATTTTGTCAATAATTGGTCTTTAAAAAATATATATATATTTAACATTACATTTTTTTATTAAACCTAACTTAGACTATTTATCTGTTTTTTTGTTTTTTTTCCCAGATAAGAAGTTTAAAATATAAAATATCATTAATGTTTACGACGGGTTTTATCTGAATTACCAACCTTTAATAAGTATAAAAGATACATATGTGCAAAAAAAACAAAAAATATATTATAAAAAAAAAAAATATATATATATATATATTATTAAGAATATTACCTAATAAAACTTACTCCAATCATATCAACACATATGAAGATAATGCAAAACACAAAACCCTCCCAAATAGTAAGACTATAAATACACCAATGATGTTTAATTTTTGCAAGAAAACCAGCCAGCCAGCATTAGAGCTAAGCATGTTTTGATTAACCCAAGTGAACCAAGTAAACCGGTTTGGTTTGGTATTTTAACATATTTGGTTCGATTTTGGTGTGAACATGCATGGTGGATCTCTCTTATTGCTTAAGCTTCGAAGTTGAGAAATAAGAGTACAAGATAAGCAACGGCCTAATCCTTTGGTTATACACTTCTTCACATGATTAACAATAAATGGATTGTCGTTTCTGCTGCCTAAACTAATGTCTATCAACTTCATTATAATTTATAAATACATGACTTGATAACAGCGACAAGCCAGTACCTACTGCTACTACTTTTGGAGAGATGACAGAGACATAATCCAACTGGATAATGCAATTTTCTGGTGCCGTTTGATTTTAGATATATCTGGGCATGAATGAATGGAGTCTGGTGGTTGGCGTTCGGTCATTGAAACATGCTTGTCGCTTTTAAGAGAAACAAAAAGCGAGCGACACGTGATTGGACGAACGAAACAACGACATATCTCAACAGAAGGACAAGTCATTAATTGGACACAGAACAGAATGTTGCTGTTTGTGAATGTTAAGCGGCAGTCATCCGCTTATCAACGAACGACATGAGCGACAGATGGTTAACATTGCAAACAAACGGCTTAGTCGTTTAACGAGGCGAAGAGGCCCATTATTAAAGTATGGGTCAAGGTTTTATGCCTTGGGCTGGGCTTTCGGATTTGGAAAAAAACTTAAAAAGAGCTGAATATAACCACAATACAAAGCCCACTGCTCTCGAATATAGACAACTAAGGCCGAGTATACTTCCCTTAAAGCAATCCTGGTTTTATTTGGTTCAAAAGTATTTTGTTATGTATATATCATCAATGAGTATGAAATTAAAAGTTGAAATTTAATGGAATAACGTATAATTTTTGACTTTTAGGGGGAGAAAATAGATAATTTCTCAAATTTGAATAATAATTTTATTTACTAAGGAAATGTTTTTTTTTTTTTTTTCTTTTTAACTTTAGTTCCATTTAACTGACTACTCAACAAACACGTGAAAAGAAAATTCGACAAAATTCATTCCTAAAAAGACAATAGATTAGCTTCAATGTGCATCATGTGAACAAAAACCCTTTCTAGGTTAATAATCCCAATATAGATATACCTAATAAAAAACCTTGTAAAAGAAATTACTTTTTATAAAGGTTATTTATGCAAAGTGTAAAATTGTTTTAGATCTTCTCAAGTGGAATGTACTTTTATGGTCAAAGTTCCTTTCATTATCACTTATAATATATAGACAAAATACCTATATGTAATCTTTCTTAGAAAACAAAACAAACAAAGCAACACACGTATGCACTCTCCATCTCAAAAATTACATCTCAAAGATTTTTTTTTTTAATTATAATTTAGAATGTAGATATATATGGAAAGGAATTGAAAAGCAAACTAAAAAAAATATTCAATTCAATTTAATCAATGATATGCTAATTTCTGTCAATTTCAAGAATCAATAAAATTAATAAAAAAAAAATACATTATAACATCAATCATTTAAATATTTCAATATAAAAAGCATGCACAATCTACACAACAAATAATAATAATAATAATAATCATTTAAAAAAAAAAACAAACAATAATAATAGCAGGAAGAATTTAAAAATGGCCTCATGTGAGATTCATTGACTAACAAAAGTAATATTCTTGTGCATGTGATGATATATTTGCCTAACATGTACAAGAGATCCACGCCACGTTTTCAAAGCCCGACAGTTTGTAATGTAATTACAAATTAATCAAAATCAACATTAATAATTATAATTATTGTAATGTAATTTTAAATTTTATTTTCTTATAAAGTTGAATTAATAGCAACGTTTTGGGCCAAAAAGGCATAATAATTTTAATTAAATAGGACAAAAAGGACATGTAGGTGGGGTGACAGCTGACAAGCAAATTGCTCAGCAGACCATGTTTTTTATTTGGGTTTCATGTCTTTCATTTCTTGCTAACTTAATGTTTAATGCAAAATTACCAAACTGTAGAGGAAGAGGAAAATTTAAATCAAAATCGAATTTGATGGCATATGGTGTAGGATTGGATTAGTATGGCCTACCGTTGAAGATAGCAATGTGAGTCAGCTGTTTGTATTATTAGTGTAATATACACTGAATTTTCAAGCAATTAATAGGTGTAAGAGACCACTCATGACAATGAAATATGAACTCTTTGACTGATTTATTCTTCAAAAAGATGGATTATAGTTTTCTTTTCTTGTTTTAGGAAGCAAATTCTAGAGAAACACGATAAATATAATTTCCCTTTTTTTTTTTTTTTTACATCTATATTTAAATTACATTATTCAAATTAACATTCCTAAATAATAATTATCAAAAAAATTACAAAAAGTAAAACTAGTTATAGGAGAATTGAGAATATCATTAAACCTTTTTCTACGGTAGATCATATTGTCGGTTGTGTTCGGCAATAGTTTTTAAATAGCTTTTAACAATTAAATGTTAATTTTTTATAATATTAGGTTAAAATAGCGTTTTACAAAATGTTAACTTGCATAATGTTTAGCTTTTAGTATTTTGTGAAAAAACTACTCAAACAACTAATAATATAAACACTAATAAAACAACTAATTTTACTAAACAGACCCATAGTCGAGTCAAATTGATTTTCATGTAAAGCCCTCGGTACGCTTGAAGATGCATTAATCTATTTTCATTGACCCAACCATGTTTAAGTTTGTTAATTACATTTCTTTTTTTCATTCTTTTTACTTTTACTTATAAACCAAACACATCACAATAAGGTTTTTAACCATGAACTAATTAATCTTGTGAATTTAATTTTTCACCAAGCATATTAATGAAAGGGAAAAAAAACTTAACAGAAGAAGATTAAAATAGTGTGATTTTCTATAAGTATTGTGTGGTCAAAGCATCAAGTCATGGGGATGTGAATAGAATAGCTAGATAGATGCTTTTCAAGGTTTGGCAATTGAGTGCCAAAGCAATGTTTGTTTGGCAATTACTTGATGCTTGGGGCTTATTTCTAGCTTGTTCTTTTCCTATCATATATAGTTTGTTAGGTAATTTGATACTGACTAATAATATTGTTTAATTAAGATTTTTATTATATATATAAAGAGAGTACTAGCCTTGATGTTTCCCACACAAAGCACATACAAAAATAAATAAATAAAACAAAAAAAAAAATAGTAACTAAAAATAATTTGGTCAATGTTACGTTGTAGAAATTAATTATTAATTATATATTATATATATTAGTTATATGCCAACACATGCACATTCTAATGTTTTTCCATGAAAATAAACAAATATTTATATTAATTCTTGATCATCATCAGCACCCAATGTTAGTATCCATCTTATTGACTGTGTTTGGACCATGGAATAATATTATTTGAATGAAATTAATTTTAATTAATTGATCTATAATTAAGGGCAGGTGACCTCATACTAATCATCCCAATTACCTAATTAGTACATTTATGATTAATATGATAGATTCTCTAATCACTCCATGAAACCAGTATTAGACAGGCACTTTTAACCCAACTAAAAAAATAACCATGAACTTGAAAACTATGTTTGCTTCAAATCTAAGAAAATTAAAATTAATTCTATAAAAACAGATTAAATTAATTTATTAAATTTAGAAAATCTAGAAAATCCCACATTTTTTTCTAATTAGGGGTGGATTAGGTCTCAACCCATGTTTCCATTACTGGATTATATTGGTCAAGAAACCCGCTGGGACCAGGAACAAACCCTAATTTACATGTATATATATGTGTGGACATGCAAAATTCTAACCTTTATTTTTTTTTTTTTTTCAGTCAATATAAAAACTTGGGAAAGCCAATTGCTGAAGCTTTAAATGATTATATTCTTTAGACTTTCTGATAAAATTTTCTGTTTTCTTTATGCATATCAGTTTAGCTCAAAGACTAAGCAGCATTCAACTGTCCCGCGAGGAGAGGCAGTCAAAATTTTCTGCATTTCTTTTCTCTATAATTGAAGAGAGCATTATATATATATATATATATATATATATAAACCCCACATGTAATATGCATTCAAAAAATAATTCCAAGCTGACCGTAATTATAAAATATCTTGCATTTTCCACAAAAAGCATTTTTAGACATTTGTTTTGTTTCATTAGGCGAAAACGGCATTGAGCAATTAATTTCTTTTTGTTAATTTTTGGAAGAAAGAAAATATCATTAGCTAGGTTTCTCATTTGGATATGTACGATTTTCTTTTTCCTTTTTTTTTTTCTTGGATATATTTGATTTTATGTAATAAAAGAATAAGAGAGAAAAATTCTTCCATTATATATATACAGAAAGAGAGAAAGAAAAAAGAAAGATAAATAAAATCCTCTGAAAGATCTTAAATTCCCATACAATATGAAAGCCTCCAATGTGGGAGTGCATTTTGCGGTACAAGCACATGAAATCCTCCTAAAGCTAGGTTTTTGCAAGACCTCATCTTCTTGGATTCTAAAACTTTAATTTCCCATTGATTTTTCTATAGCATCTCTCAAGCAAATCACCCTCTGATGATCTAATTAAGAAGGGAATTGAACCACTTCTAGAAATATAACTGAAGTGGGTGTTAAATAAAATCAAGAAGAGAAGAAGCACTATAGTAACATATGTAACCTAGCTAGCTCATTAAGAAGTCAGGAAAGATGAAAATTGAAAAAGAAAAACAAAGTAATTAGAGTATATATATATATATGTACAAATGAGAAACTGGGACTTAAACTTTTTCATGGCTCTTGTTTGAAGAACATAGGAGGGACCATGTCTTGCAAAAGTCCATAGTCATGAGGAACCTGATACTGGTGAAGATGTTGGTTGTTGATGACACTTTGTTGATACATGGAGCTTGCACCAACAACTTGGTTGCTTAAATGAGGCATTTGAACCAGAAATTCGTGGGGGAAGGTAGGTCCAGTAGCCATAGGAGTTGGTGTAAGCATGGAATGTGAGAACATAGCAGCTGCATTTCCTCGAAGCGTCGCGGGGATTGGATGATTATGTTGCCCTTCATATGTTGTGATTACAATTGATGGATCTTGAAATGACCTCTCTACTCTTTTCTTGACAGTACATTTTTGAGTAGTGCACCTATAGTAGCTCCTGCAATGGGAATTATAGGTAATTAGTTTTTTGAACAAAGTAAGAACAAGAAAAGAGTAAACTTAATATTCCAATTTAATCTTTTGATTTCTTTCTTGACCTTTGGCTAATGCAAAATTATATATAGTCAATGGAAGATATTTATTATTTGTGACATCAAGTTCTTGAAGAGAGCGTTCACATTTTCTTCACTACGTAGGTAAATGATTTAGGTGCAAGAAACCCACAAAAACCAAAAAAAAAGGGAAATTCATACCTTGGATAAGGACTATTCTTAACAGCCTTTTGTCCATATTTTCTCCATCTATACCCATCTTCTAGATGATCAACTTCACTCTTAGTCATGAAGGCAAATCTTGGCTCTCTTTGCCGTTTCTCTCCTTTCTTCTTTGCCTTGCCTCTGTTAATTTTAATCATAAAATCATATATCTATATTCTTAAAAAGAAAATAAAAGATTAATCATCCAAATCTAATATCAAAGAAATAATAGCTCAATCTGAAAGCTCAAGAATTATTAAAGGCTCCTATACCATGTAAAGAGCAAGACAGTTCAATCTTGTTAGTGAAGGCACAGGAGAATTTTTTTATATCTCCAATTAAAACATGAAAGAACAAGAACTTACTCTTTCTTGGAGCATTCTGCACTCTCTTCAGACCCTTTTGGTGGGCTTATCTCTTTCTTGATCTTTCCAGAATCTTCTTCACCACCAGCCTCACTTGAAGAGAAAGAAACTGAAGAATTTGGGGTGACTGGATTTTCAGTACTAGTATTATTGTTGCCTCCACCACCAAAATCTCCTCCAATTTCCACAGGCTTTAGATTATTATTGTTGCCTTCTACGGAAGAAAACACTTCAGAAGAAGAGGGCGACATACCAAAAGCTTTCGCAAGAGAGTTATAATCCATGGATCCATGTTGTAAGCACTCAGTAAAGCTCATATAAGGGTCAAACCCATAACTAGTTGATGAAGAACCAATAATTGAAGAAGGCTTATCGCAATGATCTTCATGGTAAGGCGCGTGATAGTAAAGGTCTCTGTGTTCATCAGACATGGAAAATGAGAGAACACAGAAGTAGAAGAAGAAGAAGAAGAAGAAGAGAAGAAGAGAAGAAGAAGGGTTTGGATTTTTGTGTTGGTTTTGTGTTAGACTTTTAGTTCAAGGGTGTATATATATGCTCAGTAACTTGTCTGGGGTTTTACATATATAATAATAATTAAATATATAAAATAGAAATTATATAAAAATTAAGGATTTTTTTATTAATTAATTAGGTTTTAAGGATGAGAGTATAGTAAAAGTTTAGCTAATACCACTTTATAAAGAAAGTTGACAAAACAGCTTCCAATTAGAAGAGCAAAAAGTGCCTTCTCATGTGGAGACATCCATTTTCCAATCTTACTAGTTACTGCCCATCTTTATATCAATTTCACTATTTCTACTCTCCCTTCATCACTTTTTTTTTTTTTTTTTTCACTTTTTTTTTTATTTTTTTTGTCTACTTTCTTATTAATTTTTTTCTTGTATTAATTAATCTAACTTAAAAATACAAAATAAAATGAAATTAAATAATTTTAGTCTGTAATTTAATAGTAATTTGATCGCGTAATATTAAATAATATTTTTTTTTTTTTTTTTTTTGTCTATTTCTTATTAATTTTTTCTTGTATTAATTAATCTAACTTAAAATACAAAAATAAATGAAATTAATAATTTTATCTGTAATTTAATAGTAATTTGTCGCTAATATTAAATAATATTTTTTATTTTAAAATTAGATTTTATCTGTAATTTATTATTAAATTTTAATTTTTTTGCACGATCATGAGATCAATATTTCGATCATTCAAAATGAATATTATATGAATAAGAATGACAATTATGTGTTTAATTATGAGATAAAATTAAAAAAATAAAAATAAAATTAACATAATATTTGACGAGCATAATGAAATATAACGTAATATAATCAAAAGCATTTCAAAATGTGTAATGATCGTTACTTTTTATTCTAAAGTCTAAATTGTTTTTCAACATTTTAAATGTTTAATATTTATGCCCTTATTTTACTTCAACTGTTTCTAGAGGGTTATTAATTAATCAACCAATAAAAAATAAAAAATTGTTGACAATTGGACTCATTCCACCAAAACAAATAATGTAAAATTTTGTAATTTCCTTTGACTTTACTGGGAATAAGGAATATATGTTTAATTAATAAAATAAATAAAATTGACCGATAAGACTGCTTAAGCAATACTATTAAAAATATTTAATTTTGTTTGAAAGAATGTAAATGAAAAAAATATGTAAAATTTTTAATATGAGGTAAAAATGCGAATGGGGGAGTGAGAAACACGCGGATGGAGAGAAAGTGAAATGAAGATTTGAATAGGAAGAGATAAGTCAGCGAAGACTAACAGTAACCGGTGATAGTCAGTCACGAGGTCCCCCTTATGATGAGAGAGGGTGGGTGTTTTTCTAACTGGGTCAAAGATTCAAAGTTAACTATTAAAGAGCTATGGGAATATCAGGCTTACACGTGTCGATATTGGCACCGGCATTTGACCGTAGCCGACATATGACTCAGGCACGTGGGAGACGCTCTGCCGCTTTTTCTGTCTTGCTGATGGGGAGCCAACGTCATCGTTTTATTGGCTTTGGGCCTCCGCCTCTTGGATTTTACTGGCGTATTTGGTCCCAATTTTTCATTGGATCCCAATTTGCTCTTTCCTTTTACACTATGGGAAAGAAGAGAAATTGTATTATAGAGATATTAGTCCCACTTGCTTATGTTAGGGACAAAAAATTATTCTTTCTTTCACCAAAAAATCGTTTTTAAATATTGGTCAATATTCCCTCACATGTTTTGCTAATGTGATACAAAAATATAGTCAAACAATATTCCTAATTTCTTATAAGAAATAAAATAAAATAAAATAAAAAATAAATTATTTTGATTATACAGTTTAGAATGTTATTTCGATTCATTTAATATAATTTTCAAATATCAATGACGTTTGAATTTAATCTATGTTTAGCAAGAACTTGCGTATTAATTGAAGTGGTAAGTTACCATAGCGAGAATATAAATTTGATCTCTAAAAACACATGTAGTAAGAGAGTCAAAAACCTTATCCTCCGTAATTCGAGGCAATTAATACCTTTTAATTTTATCAAACAAACAATCAAAATCTATTATTGACCACTTAACTTTGAAATTAAATATCTTTATTATATAATTATGATTTATTGAATCGGAATCAGAAAAAATTTAAATCAGTATTGACTATTTCTTTTTTTCTAGTCCGACCATCATTTAAAATTTTTGTAGTTGGGGTATTGTTCAATTTTAGGTACATAAATTTCTGTAGTGGTAGCCAAAGCAATGCCGACTATTATACGTGGCTTGCTAGCATACGAATACATTATAACTTTTGCTGTCTCAAATTAACACGCATTTCAAGAGATCCTTTTCACTGAAATTTGACACATCCTCCCTCTATTAAGCAATTATTATTTTTCTTAAATTATTTTTTATTTCAAAATTAATGTAAATAAGATAAAATCGAAATAATATCATCCATTACTTTTTAAAATATTTAAAATAATTTATATTTTGAATAAAAATAATTCCTTTAAAGCAATTTATATCCCGGAACGAAAGGAGCATATCAAATCGCATTTATCATCAACATTAAACTTTTGAAAAATCAAAGAAGAAAAAGATTGTTTGTAATTAAACAAAATTTGAGCTTGTTATTAAAGAGGATGACTTCCATTTTTAATATACGCTTTTTGGCAATTAAATCCTATATAAATATATAGTCATAAACAGTATTAAATATATTAGCATTAATCATTCAACGAAATTAAAATTAATAACTAAATGTGTCTTTATTTCGACCGCTACGTAAATCTACTATTTTAATGTCTTGTTTGTATAAAAGTGTTGAAGATCTATAAATATGTATACAAGTAATGTTTTATCAGTATCAAAAACTAAATACATATTAATCAAATTTTATATATCAAATTCACATTTTCATTTCATTTAAAAGGAAATAATAACACTAAATAATTGAAATTACCCAGTATTATACTGATAAAGTAAAGGGTAAACCTATGGATTGTGACTCGGTTGACAAAGTAAATTGAACATGTGGAAAAAACTTTCGAATTTGAACTGTACTAAACATATTTGCAGGGAGGGTTGAAGGGTTTTAAACGTAACTAAACCCCAGTCAGTCCTTAGAAATAAGGTTTGAATACATAAAAAAATAAAATAAAATAAAATAAAGGGTAGCCCTAATTAGATTAATTGTTTCCAAAAACCTAAGTGCCCCACCGTGATTTGTGGCTAATTATAAGCTTATGAAGATGAATCTATCTACATGCTACTCAACCATTGTGTCATAGCCCACAAAGAAGGACTGAGATAACTTCATCGGGGAGAACAAAACAAGCTTATTATATTATAGTTCACGTAGATTATTAAATTTTTGTTAATTACCAAATTAAATGACTTTTTCTTTTCTTGGCGTTTCGATGGTAATAGAAAGATGAACTTTTTGACCCTTTTCTGTCATTGCAACGATTGATCATATTCATAGGCATACATGTATAGGTGCATTTTATCTGCTGCTTTTTTTTTGTGACATCTACCTACCTTAACTTGTAACTTGTTCACTAACAACATGTGGGGGCATAATTGAAATAAATTAATAAAAAATATAGACTAGTAATTTTTTTTTTTTTTCCTTTTTTTACCAAATGGTCTGAAGATAATGGGAATCACCATAAATGGATATACATAGCACGTATATGATAAAAAAGGGTAAGCTGAATGAATAGAAGCTCAGGTATAGTATAATCAGTGTTTTTATTAAATGTTTTTATATTTTATATCGGATATTTTATATTTTTACTAAAATATCGGATATTTTATATTTTTCTATTAACGAAATTCTTTGAATATAAATGTTTTTATTAATCAGTGTTCACACACGAACCATAAATAATACAGGAATAAAATCTTCAAATGCGCTTTTTTTTAATTTTAATTTCTAATTTTATAAATAAAGTTGGCAGTCTACTCCTACTATCTAACCCTCCGATAATTATTGGATATAAACTACATAAAGATTGAAAATTGAGCCTTTTTTTGGTCCTAACCCCAACTAATTAATCACTTTCAGTGAATGAAAAGTAGAAAGACTCATTATGGCTAAGCTTTTCTTGTTGAGGCTGATCAGAAAACAGTCGTCTTCTTCGAAAAGGTAATCAAAACACTTTTAGTTTTATTTTCTCTTCTTAGAAAATTAAGAAAATTTCTCTCGACTAATCTAAACTTTAGCTTGGATCACTTAATTTTTCAGAAAAAAAAAAATGACGCATAAAAAAGCCACTCTTACGTCATGCGTATATCACTTGTCCTAACATATAATATATTATACGGAGTAGTTAATTAATTAAATTGTATGATTAAGACTTCCAATTAAGAAAATTAATCTTGTGTTTGATAGGATGATTTGGAAAGCTAAAAATGTAAACATATAACTAATTATATAATCACGTATGGAACGATTATCCTGTATTTTCAAGAATTTTTGAAATCGAAACGTCTCGATTATAAAATTTTTACTAATTTAATAGGCTATTGAAGTTAGACTGATTGATAAGAAAAAATTATTTTTTATTATTACCCATAATCTTATTTTAATTTTTGTAGCTAATAATATTAGTCCATTCTTTTTGTTTTTTAAATATTATTTCGGTCTATTACATCTTATAATGGATAAAAAAAATTATATATAATGTTAAAGAGATAATGGAATATGAAATGGTTGGTTATTTAGATGGGTAGTTGCTTAAGATAGACGACTCTAATTAAGAAAAAAAAATAAATTAAGAAAAGAGTATGAAATTGTTGACTTTAATAAGTTGAGTTGTGTCCATTATATGTGACATAAAGTATGGTCTATGTGTTATTGTTATTGCTTGTCGCTATCAACATAGAAGAGGGGCAGGTTTTTTGTTAGGTGGGAACAATGAAAAAGAATCTTTTGGATATAGACTCAATTTGTAGGTCATTTTGTATTGGTTACTCCTAATTTAAGGACCATCTACCCTACCCTCCCCTCCCTCTATCACATTCAAAGTATAGTAATGTATGTGTTAATTAACCCAAATTACAAATTAAACATTGGTTCAGTAAGCATTATGTTCTGTTATAAATACTTAGTTAACCAATCAATTCTATTCAACGTGAACTATCAGTTCAGTTAATAAAGATATCAGTTAAAATTCATTGTTATTGAAAATACCGTGAGAATAATATTTTTAAAAAGTGCGTCTTAAAATCGTTCAATGGGAAATAAATAATTATAATACCAAAAAAAAAAAAGATTAAGAGTTTTGATATTGAGCTTTTGTTTTTTAATAACTTTCACTATTTATATGAAACCAAAATTAGATAAATGGTTAGCAATGAATAGGTTTTGGGGCTTAAATATAAAGTGGAAGTGGCACAAATAGATTGGCTAAATACATTCATTGGGCTAAATTTTGAAGAGGGTAACTTGAAGAAGAAAAACTCTTTAATATTTTTTAATTAATTCTTAAGAAATAAATGTAAAAATGTGGAAATTAGTATTAGTAATAGTGGTCATATTAATGATGATAGTGTTTACTAAATAATGCTGGTAGGTTATCAAAAAGTGATGTTGTTAGTCAAGTAGGGCCTTAAATTGATAAGTTGATTTTAAATATCCCTATTTATCATTTTCATAATGCCATCACATGGGTTATGTTTATTATTAATTATTAAATTAGATTCTCTCTTGACTATATATCTATCTCATATTTGACAAAAAAAAAAAAAAAAAAAATTTGCCAATCACATGGGTTATTGTTTATTATTAATTTATTAAATTAGATCTCTCTTGAACTATGATATTCTATCTCAATATTTGACAAAAAAAAAAAAAAAAAAAAAAAAAAAAAAAATTTATATATCAAGAATGGAATGATTTCCCAATAGTTTACTTGTTCATCACAAGCATATTATTAAGGCTTAATCAAGAAAGATGGTAAAAAATAACTTGATATTGAGTGATAATTATGTAATTAAGAAGTAATTAACATTCTCATTCTCATTGTCAATAGTTGTTGAATAGCTAATGTTAATTTTCTTCAAGGTCCAATGTGAATTGCATATTGGGGTTTATTAAAGATGAAAAAGATATTACTCCGTCTGTTTTAAAAAATAAGTCAGAATCGATTAACTCTCCTAGATTTTGCGATAACATAATCATCTAAAAACGACTCATATTTTAGGACAGAGGGAATAAAAGAGAAACCATCAATGCTACCAAATGGGTTACCTTTCGCCTGTAAAAAGAGAAATTAGACAAACCTTAAGTTAAACCAAATGAATTTGATCATGGTTTTATAGTGTAATTCACTAGTTCTTGCCTCTTTTACAAGCATAAAATCAAATATATAGAGCATAAAAAATTATCATAATGCACATACATTGAAAGTATAGTAATCAAAGTTTCTTTTTCATTTTCTTCTCAAATGCAGCCAAAATATCATCATCATCACCTTATAATAACCCTCTTTTTTTAAACTTGACAGAATGCATTTTCTATAGATTTGAAAGTAAAAGTCAACATGACTAATCACTATTCACTATCCACTCCACTTGGAAATTGGAATCTATTCCAAATAGGTCAATGATATCAAAGTGTTCAAGACCCAATTATTGTAACAAATTTAAAATATAAGCAAACATAACCAACTTGTAAGATATGTATATGTCTTTTATCTCTTTAATTGTTTGAAGCATAACATAACATGAAACATCAAGTGTGAAAGGTTTTCAAAGGCTTAGATCCTCTCTTATGTCACAAATTCTTTTGACTCATTCCTAGTACTATTTGTTCTATTTTATATTTCTAACTTGAGTTTTCTAATAATGTGTCCCACCCCATCCATTGTTTATTAACTTAGCAAAGAAGAGGATGGTGAAAGAGAAGTTCCTTTTTTTTTTTTTTTTTTTTTTTTTTTTTTCCCTTTTTTTTTTTTTTTTTTTTTTTCTTTTTCCTTTTCTTTTCCAATTCCTTTTACCATTTTTTTTTTTTTTTTTTTTTTTTTCTTTTTTCCTTTTCTTTTTCATCCTTTTTACCATTTCTTTTTTTATAGGAACCAAATTATTACTTTGTTGAATGTTGGGTTAAGTCATCAACTGTCACAAGTTGCAATAGGGAAGTTGACTTGGCCATGCCCCAAATATGGTTTTTAATTATTTATAGTCCCTTTCTCCTTTTTGGTAAACTCCATATACTAAAAATCATTAATTGTCTTAGCCCCTTAGCTCACTTAGTCAAGCTTCACTTGAATTCAAAAGTGTGTTTGATTATTCTTAAAGTTGAATTATTTAGAGTAAGGGTGACTAGGTATGCACTTGTTAATTTTGTCTTCCACCCCCTTAATTTTTGGGTTCAAGTAATTTTTGTTTTTACCCTTAAAAGTAAAAGAGCTTAAATATTGGGATTGTGCTCCTAGATTTTGAAAATGGGGTTATAAGAATGAACAAGGATAATTAGTGCCCTTAGATGTAAAATCCAAAGTTCACTAAAAGTGTCCACTAGATATGAAAAATGATTGCTTTGATCTTTGATACTACAAAATAGCTTTTGAATGTATACTTTCATGGAAGTTATGAAAATAATAGACTCTGTCTGTCTTAAGGTAACCTAAAACTGCTTCTAGATCACAAAAAGAGTGATATTATTAAAGCTTTGAAGGAATGTATATAAGCAACTTCGCTAAAAAAAATGGAAGAGAAGGTGGACTTGACCTGGAATGTAGAATTTGACTGGTTCCATTCTATTTTTACTGAGTTGAGCATATAGCTAGGTTTGTTGAAAATTGCAGGCTTGAATTTGTTTAGAAAAAAGTGGGAAGCAGCCTTTCAAGAGTAGAAAGTGTTCACACAATTTTCCTAGTATCACGCACATGATTCTTGTCAACTCTACTATTGTATGGGCAACTAGTCCTTCTCCTTCTGGATTATAGCTACTTTTGGCTACATAGGGCACTTTTGCCATTAAAGATCAAGAACAAAGACCATCCACTGAATCAAGAATGACAGCCACCAAAGAAAGCTGGGCAAGAAAACTCAGACCATTATCAGAGAATAATTGTGGAAGAAAAAAAAAGAAGGTTCTTGATCATTAAAAAAATCCATTGAAAGACATAGTTCTCAGTCCCGCTGTGGTTCCCAATTCTAGACTTCAGATACTTGTAGGGACATTTTTTGTATTTTAGGTTAAAATCACCAGAGACCATTATTGGTTTATGAGTTATCAAGCTACTAATCCCACGCAAGTAATCCTTACTTAGATGGAGGTCCAGTGGACCATCTCACAGGGGTTGGAGTGGGTCCTATCCCACGTGAGATGGTTCCATGTGTGCAAGAAAGAAAATTTCAATTGTTTATATTTAAGGATAAGGTTGAAGTTGATGGTTATTAGACGTATACACGCACATGATGAGGGAAATATCCCATATATATATATATATATATGTGTGAGGGAGAACCCACCTTCATTTCATGCAATTTATATTCATCCTGTAAAGCCACAGAGAACTTCACAAGCAAAACATGAACAGGCATATTTATACAATAACTCAGCTTTATCACTTGGCATCTGCTGAAGAGTTAATCCAATATCCCAATGCTAAGGACCAGTGAGCATGATCCATTCATCGAAACCTTTTTGTCAACCAACCAGTATCACGATTGCTAGATAGCCAAGTTGCTGAAAACTGCAAAAGCCTTTGGCATTTGACTGGTTTCTGCAATTTGACAGGCAACCGAACTATGAAGTATTCTGTCTATGAGGTTCTTTCATCTTACAAGATGCCAAACTGATTGGATAGGTCAGAATGGATATGACGAAGAATATCAGATATTCAGTTCCAAAATTCATTTTAGAGACCATTGTCTATTGAATTAGAACCTTAACTAGTCCTTAAATTCATCGTCCTGTAACATTCTCATGCTCCAGTATTACCACTGAATACTATTTCGAGGGCACTTGCGCATCAATGGTTACTTTCCATCAGATCAGCAAGACTTATCTTCCCACAGTTTCCTATATCTAGCTTGTCAAACTTCAGGCATATCTGCAAAATATCTTTATCTGAAACCTTTCCCATCTCCTTGAGCTTGTATATCACATATTCTGATTTACTAAACAAACAAAACCAACATTAGTAATCGGCAAGATGGTTCCAGATATAAATAACACATAAGATTGCAAAGAAAATTCTAAATTTCTGATAATGTAATAGAATTCAGATAAAGAAAATGATAATGATATAAAGGGATGATGCGAGAACAGAGACAGACGTTCTAAAAACCAGAAAACCAATAATCAGAACAAGACATCAAGGCCAGTATTTGTGTATAATGAGTACCAATTAAAGTCAGCATTTTTGTTGACAGCTAGTGGCAAACATGATTAGGAAAAGTAATGATTTCTTATCTCTTTCGAGAGGCAATATTATAATCCATCTTCTTATGATTATTAAACAGAAATTATACTACAATGATGGAGAGCCTACAGTTAATGCCATCCTATTAATATGTAAAATAATTTTCAGGGCACCCACTTAAAACCTACTGGGAGTCGCCATACTTACCAAGTATACAACTAAACATGTATTGGGAAATTGGTGTTTCCATTGAATACTCCTAGATAACTATATGAATTTTGAAAGTTCTATATAAAAATTTCTCAAAATATCAACATTATCTTCACATGGTTGTCAACAGGGAATACAACAAAAATCCCACAAGGTTATAAACTCGCACTTTGCCCCTCTTGCTTTTGAAACTTACTGCTTGCTTCTAAAACAAGTTCCTTCTTACTAGGATATCTGCACCAAATTTGGGAAAAAATGGCATCTTTTTTGGACCTGAGATAAATCCTGAGCGGAGGAGAAAAGAGGAAGACCATTTTGTTTCTTTGATTTTGTTTTGATGCATATTGGCCTCAAATAGGTACAGCTTTCTCCCAACTTTCAACTAGGTACTGTTTATCAACTATTGTCTATGGACTTTATAATTTTGGGTTTGAGAAAAATAGTCCAAAATGACTCAATTTTAGGTGAATAGGGGGTAAGATACAGAATGGTAGGGCCAGGACAAGGTGAGGTCATATTGGGAATAATTACCCACAAGGATGAGGGATGGGAATTAATTTGCCATGATACAGAGCGTGTTGAGAAGTTGAGAGTTTCCAGCATGGCAAAACTTCATCATGTTGCCATTACTTCATAATTCCCATATCTAGAGTAAATAACATTTAAGTATCATCCACAATTTTCTTGGCTAAAGGGTTATGTCCCAGTGTAGGAATAAAATATATAGAATTGCTTGTTAATTGGATTTAGAGCATATGTATTACAAATTATATAGAATCTAGACAGGAGGGCTTGAAAGTCCAAATGGGAAAAATGCTAGGGAAGTATAATGAATGGGTGGCTTCTGCACCTCCACTGTGACAAATTAAGTTTTACCTAATGTGATTCAAATGCAGGGGAAAACAATAAGCTGTATTTGCTAGTATTACTGAGTTTGCAGAGAACTATACAATAAGCATCATAAGCTTGAAGAAGTTGGTGTGAAAGGCTTTCCTAATAAAACATTCTAGTCCCCCTATGAGATTGCATTGCCTTAATCCACTAATCAAAACAAATTTTGAAAATTTATCATTCAATTAAAACGATATTATACCCAAACATTCATTCAAAAACCAAGATATTGAAGTTGGTGCATCAACCTCCCATGTATTTCCAAGCACCAAAGATATATAAGCTTCGGGTTCCCACCTCACTAAAAATGTGAAAGAGATATTTCATGGAGGTGTATAGGTACAGAATTATAGAATCAAGAAATCTTGTATGCAAAATCAGTGGACTGATTGCTAAATCTTATTATGAAATTTTCTTCAATAAAGAAAGAGATTTTCTTCGAAAAGAGAATTAGGCATACTGTCAGTACATAAGGTGTGAAAGGCTCAAAGTAGGAATCAGAATTTCAAAGGTTCCTAAAAGGAGAATCTTACTGATGTACCCCAGAAACTGGAACAGGAAAGCAAGATGAAAGGAGGGAATTTTAGAATAGGAAAGTAAGCTAAATGAAGAGATATTGAACAAGACCTAATTCAAGAAAATTGCTACTAGTTCTGGTTTAATTCCACTGAATTATTTTATTTTTCAACAATCCTCAAAGCACAGCAGAAAACACTATTTAGAGACTCAGAACTTTCAAGACTTAGACAAAAACCCTGAAACTAAAAATTGGTCAGTAACAGAAGATTGCACATATGACTTGATTGAAAACAGAAGGATATATGCAGAGATTCCTTATAGACTTAAAGCCAACTCTGCTAAATCAATTTCCATATTTTTCTTTAATACATATAGATATAGTGAAAAAAAAAAAAAAATCTAAGTAGAGAATTCCTGAATATACAATATACTATAAGATCTATCTATCTATATATATATATATATGAGAAGGGATGAGTAAGAGAAAAGAGGCAATCATAAAATTTTACTTCATCTATCTTTTATTTTCTCATCTCTCTCTCTCTCTCTCTCTCTCTCTCTCTCTCTCTCTCATAAATACCTCATACAGATCACTACTCTATCCTATATATATACCTCTCACCTATGACGAAGGCGACTCGAAGTAAGACAGCAACACCAGAGGCCAACTCATTAAAATTTTACTGACTCATCCCTCATCCTTCTTAATTTTCCTCATCTTCTCTCTCTCCTCCCTCCTCCTCTCATCTACCACCCCTCCCTCTCCCTTCACTCTCCTCTCTCCTCTATGTGCTGTGTGTGCGTCGCTGCTCCGTGTCCGTGCTCGTTGTGCTGTTCATACATTCTACTAGCACATTTCTTACCATTCCTCTCATCTTGTCCCTCTTAACACTTTGACCAACTTCTGGCCTTTCTCAGCTTTTTTCTAAAATGTTTCTGATCCTGTCGCGCCTCTGCAAGACTCATAAGAGCGTTAATCCGAGCACCTTATATCTCCTCGTTCTCCCGACCATAAGAAATCCAGATCACTTCCGCAACTACAACCAGCACTACACATCTCCACACCAATAATCCTCATGCATAGCAAATACCTCTCGAAACCCGTGCACCCACCTCCGTCTCCACTGAAACCTACTAACTCCACAACCTGGGCCAATGTAAGACATACTACTTCACATTTTTTCTCAAATCAACGCAGCCATCACTTATCCCTCCACCCCCATCAACCAATACATCTCTTATTTCTATCTTCATTTCCGTTCATTCTACTAACAATGAAGACAATACTCCAAGACCACATTTCCTTCCATAGAAAGTGATAACATTCCTCTTAGGCCTTTCTGGTACTAATTCTTATTTTTCTTTTCGACTGAACACGATAAACTATTCAAATTACCTCATTGTCAACACAAAACGAAAAATATTTTGCAGGATTGAACATTGTTGAAATATTGATGAAAAAGCATACCTTACATAAGCCATTTTTTGGTCAATATCTGCAGGCAAAGAACTCGGAAACAGATACATGTTTTGACCAAGTACCCATTTTGGCCATCCTCCATGCGTTTATCCACTTTGGCCTCAGCCAAAATATAAAAATTGCTCGAGCCACTGCACAGCTGTAAAGAACACAAGGCAACCAAATGGAAGCAAAATACACGACCTGCAATGATGACTGACATGCTCTACTCCCCCACCCACTACACCCACCCCAACCCAGCTTTGCTACTGACCATACCCACAGAGACCGATACAAGTGAACTCTCAACCGCCAGCCCAAGTCTCTCCACACACAATGCATCCACCGCCAAACACCCCACATTCAACTATCTCTCTCTCTCTCTCTCTATGTGTGTGTGTGTGTGTGTGTGTGTGTGTGTGTTCATAATTTACTAGAAATTTTACATTTCATTTGTTTAAATTTGAATTTGTTTCTAGTTTTTTTAATGTTTTGATTGTGCTTGAAGACTATAAGAGGTTAATGAGCATTATATAGTTTGAATAGAATCAGATACTTGCAATCAAAGATAATCTCCACACAATATCTCATGCAAGCAATAGCTCTGAAAGTGCACCACTTCTCATGGAAAATATAATAAATGGGCCATATGTAGACATCTATTACACATTTTCTAAATCAACGAGCATATTATCATCCCATAAATCATATCTTATTCTATCTTATTCGTTCATTTATAAATGAAGAAATATCAGACCACATTTTCATAGAAAGTGATAAATTCCTCTAGGCTTTCTGGTACTAAATTCTATTTCTTTTCGATGAACGATAAACTCAAATTCCTCATTGTCAACACAAAACAAAAATATTTGCAGGATTGAAATGTGTTGAAATATTATGAAAAAAGCATACCTTACAAAGCCATTTTGGTCAATATCTGCAGCAAGAAACTCGGAAACAGTCATGTTTTGACCAAGTACCCATTTTGCCATCCTCCTATGCCGTTTATCCACTCTTGCCTCAGCCAAATATAAAAATGCTCGAGCCACTGCAAGTGTAGACACAAGCAACCAAATGGAAGCAAATACACGACCTGGCAATGATGTGAATGCTCTATCACCATAACCAACAGTTGTAACTGACATAACAGAGAGATACAGTGAATCTAACCAGCCAAGTCTCTCCACAAAATGCATAACGCCAACACCAATTCCAATACACAAAACCACTACACATAATGCCAATGCGACCTTCATCCTTATCCTCATTCTCCCTTTCTTCACATCAATTATAACAGAGCCGGCAGCATCTCTGTCGTTTCCTCTCTGAACATTCCTCAATAGATAATTCTCTTGCAAATCAAGCACATAACTTACCATCCCAGAAAGCAGAATATCAATGAATCCAAATCCAACCAACACAAACAATATAGAAAATAATTTAGTGGAAGTGCTATTTGGGGTGATATCCCCATATCCGATGGTGCACATTGTGACAATACAAAAATACAAAGCATCAACAACTGGATGCGTTTCATTTGCAACGAAATTTTCACGGTTAAACCAATATATTACCACACCAGAAGACAAATATAATACCAATAGAATAAAAGCTTGCCGAATTATTGATTGAGACTCGCCAAACGGAGGCTTGGTTAATGGAGGATGGCTACTATCGTTAATCACAGCCATAGCTGGCGCTGTTTTAGACCTGTGGAGATTAGTCTTTCTCCATGAATAATTGGGGTCAATCAACCAAGACTGTTGCAGTGATTCTGGGATAATTGCACTAAATTCTTGATTGGAAGACGAAGATTTTGGTGAGCGCTGAGAGAGTGTCAAAGCGTCAACAATTGGAGAAGTGTCTCTAGGGGAAGAAGAGACAGCAGGGCCAAAAATAAGGCGTTCTTTAAGGTTTGATGGAGTAATAGGGAGAGGGAGAGAAACTTCATCATGCTCAGGCAGAGAGGAAAGCAGTGTTGCTAGATGGGGTGGCGTTTTTCTTCGAGGACTTTGAAATGGAAGTAACGGCTCTTTATCCATATCAAAGAAAGCAAAAGGAAGAATCCAAGAATCCAAGAACTGAAAGAGACAGAAAAACAAGAATCCAAGAATGGAAGCAATAGAGGTTCAAAGAAAATAAAACTAGTACATATAGAAAGAGAGGCGGAGTGTGTATGCGCGCGTGAGTTTTTGAGAGGGAGAGAGGGAAAGACGAAGGAGTATGATTCGGTCTTTTGCAGTTGGAGAGGTAAACGGCATGAGGGAAGCTAAACTGGAGCGGAGGGGATGTGAGGATTGTTAACTCAATTGACGGAAGCGCGTGACCACACAAGCCTTCATTGTAATCAGGGCACCGTTGGGTTTTTTATCGGATTGAACCAACACATGTGAAAGTGACGCCACCTTCTTCATTATTAGATTTTGAAGCCAAAATATACATGCCCAATCAGGCGGTCTCTTTTAATAATTCAGCGAATAATTATTTATTCTCATAATATTAATTTAAATAAAAAAAAAAAAAAAGGTTTTCCACTTTTCATGCTCTGTTTACCGCACTGTGTTAGTTTGACGTGTTAATGAATTTTTATTCATTTGACCTATTAATGAATTTTTAAAAAATTAACAAAAATCCAAGATGATTAGAAAAATGAATTTCCAAGGAAAATGGTAAAGATTAAAGACTAAGCATTTAGCAATAGAAGTTATGATTAATCAAGTACAAGTAGACCAAATACTAGAGATAAATTGACCATTTGATAGTCATTTTCAGCTAAACATCAACAAACGACAGAAATTTACCATGGACAAAAGGGAAACAGTTTTCCTGTCAATCGAAACAGCTATAAATTAGCTAATCCTATCATATTTGTGTAGGAAGTCAAAAAAGAATATGCCAGAAAGCAAACTTCTAATTTGTATAGCTGGCTGCAATCATAGTAATGTTAATTTCAGCCCAAATCTTCAATCACATAGCCAATTCCAAGTCAGAAAACACCTTTTTTTTTTTTCTCACTTTCAATTTTAAAACAAATGCCAAACTAGGTAGCTGTGAAAGGTATCCAGATTTATTACTCAAGCCATAGAACTACATGATATAGATAGATGAAGGATTTCAGATCACAAAGCCACAGGGAATATAATTGCAGTCAGTATATGTCAACCCTCAGCCCTCAGGGTTTTGTCCATGATAGGCAACCCAAAAAAAAAAAAAAGAAAAGAAAAATAAAAAAGCTCTGCATCACTGGTAAAGCATAAGTTACATAGGAGTTTAATCATCATCCTCCAGAACACTCCGCCGCCTCTGGATCTGTAGAATCATAAGAGTATGCAGAGGATCAAAAAAACTGTTGTGCAAGCAGGCAAAATACCAAAAAAGAAAGTTGCATGACGTACTGTGACTTTTGTCTGTTTAGTTGTTTGGTTGTTAATCTGTTCCAGTAATGAAATGAGCTTCTCTTCAGAAACCTACAAATAGATTAAACAAGTATGGTCAAGTTTTGAGTGACATGCAAAGGGAAGACCATCATTACCCAACTATAATACACGTGAACTAAAGCGCACCAAACTGCAATGTAACTCCATTTTATACCTTCTCAACTATCTGACCCATTTGAGCAGCTCTCAGTATAACGTCTTCAACACCCCTTGCTTTCTCAGGTTTAACTAAAGCAATTCGGGCAACTGCAGATATTGTGTCATAGCAAAGAGAGCAGAATCAGTCATAAAACTGTACATGACTAAAGGAGAGTAAACAGAGGTATATTTTTGCTCTTAACAGAGTAATTAGTCTCTGCTGCAGAATTGCAAAAGCATCTGTACATGGCTAGCTAATGTTGCTTTTACGCTTTTTGCGTTCTTAACCATGCATTTGACTTTACATTGCCAAGCATTATTTTTTTGCAATCACTAAAACAGCTTTAACATCTCACACGTGGATGGCTAATTTACAAAGAGTTATTGCATGATCTGAAATTCAGAATAACAATTTGTACAAATATTTAGAATCACTTGTCCAAAAATATGTGACCCAAGATTATTTTTGACCCGAGATTTTGAAAAGTTGGTGAAACTCAAGCTAATGAATACCGACAGTAGGTGCCTAAAGAAAATTTGAAGGGGAAAAAATGTATTCTGAAGTTTTCCCTACCGATGTTAATAAAGAGAGTTTTGTTTCTCATACTCTTAAGGATTCTAAACACGACCAGCCCAACCTTCTTAACCATATAGATGATAACTTAATACATAATGTTCTGACACGAACATGATACAACTATATTACTTCACAAATACAGACTACAACACCAAATAACAAGTTACCTCCATTACCATGAGATCAAAGTGTTGAAACATTTTTTCAAAAATGCAATAATAAAATAACATATTTACGGCAATCCATACTAACAACTGAAAGATAAAGTGGATGTTCACTCATGCAGCTTAGAATCATAATTTCAGATGTGAACTTACTTCTTTCACGTGCCTCAGCAGATAGAATCTGACTAAGCATCAATTGCCTCCGCTCCTCAGCCTCCCTATATCAAATGCTTTAGTCGGGCAGAAAATTCATTTCGTATATATATGATTGCAATGTAAGGTCTTACAGACCTGCTTTTTACATTTTTTTTTAAAATCAAAAACTGTTCTCTGAATTAATTTTGTATTCTTGTTTTTCAATCTGCTATTAATCAACAGGAAAAAACTCAACATGTGAAACATTGTTTTCTTAATTTTCAGAACAAAGATTGTACCACTTTGTAGAACAAAAATCAATCAAAAGTAAACAACATGACAAAGGAAAAATAGGACAGTCATCCATTTTCATTTTCCAAGATGAGACCAAAAAAGATAAGGAAATGGTACCCAAGAAAACCCTAACCTGCAAAGAAAAACCTGCAGAATGAAACAATTAATTCACAAACTAACCTCTTTGCCTCATCCTGAGCCTTCTGTTGTTCAGAGCTTTGCTGATTTCCCTGATCATTTTATATATATGTGAATAATCTTATGATCATAAAGAGGAAGCCAAATATGCGTACACAAGGAATGAATTGTGATTACCATGCCACGCTGAGCCATGAGCTCCTGCATTCTCCTCTGGCGAATTGCTTCTAACTCGGGATCAGCCTAATATCAAGTATAAGAATAACAATTAGTAGATGCAAACTGTTTCGACAAAGTATTCCGAGAAGCAAACTAAAAAACTAAAAGAAATGAAAGAAATATAACAGTGATAGTTAAAACTGCGCCAAATCCACACAACATTAGGAACCAACTATAGGATCCCAATTCCTAGTCACCAAATGAGCTCAAGTAGTCCAACAAAAAACACAATTTAAGAGTTCTATTGCGCCCAACCAGAAGGGGTACAATTTCACTATCAGCAACAAAAGAGCACAACTTTGAAGAACTTCAATGCAGATATTTTGTTTCAAGAATTTGACATAACTAGAAAACTGACTTCCTGCTACTGCTACACGCAATCAACAATTTGAACCAAACACATAAACCTGATAGTACCCAAAAACGTTTCTAAAACCACAGTGTTATCAGTTCACCGTGCTACATAAACCCAACCTCAATTTTATAAATAAATCTCAGTTAGAGACCGGAATTCTCAGGAATCATTTCATGAAAAGCTGGAGTTAAGCAAAATAAACAAAAAGTAAACCCTAATTTGGCATAGTAAGTAAAAAAAAAAAACTTACCATTGATTTGAGCAATGATCGACAACAAAGTCTGGTTGTTTATGGATTTGAGAATCCGTTTGCTACTCCAAAGAGTGACTGTAATTTGTAAATGCCCGTTTGGTTGTAGATCTTAGCGTTTGCGAGACGCAAATTTATGAGCCTTTTGCTGTGTCGTAATCGTAAAATTGTAGCCCGCTAGTATATGGGGACGCGAGTTTTGTTTTTTCTTTTTTTCTTTTTTTTTTTTTTTTGAAGAACTCTTTGATTAATTTATTAATTTTATGTCGCATTTCTTTTAAAAAATAAAATTTTATGTTGCGCTTAACTATCCGAATTGATTCAGCATATTTTAGTGTGATAGCAGAAGTATTCAAGTTGAATTATTTTGTAAAATTAACAAAACATATTAATCCCTATAATTCATACACTTTCCACAACTTAGCTGAATAGATGGAATAGAAATTAAAAATTTTAGTCAAACCTAATTATTTTAAGAACAGGCTGAGCGAGGCCCCAAGTCCATCAGGAAGAAACACCATTCTAAATTAACATACAAAATTTTTACTTTAATCCTCTAAACGACAAGTAGTTTCATTCATTTTTTTTTTATAGTTCATTAGCTGCACTTTATTTTTGAGCTTTTAAATCAATATGCTTTGATTCAATGCTTCAATAAGGTCGGTCTACAATTTTTTTTTACGAAAAAAAGAAAAAAAAAAAAAAAAAAAATCCATCAAGGAAAGAAACACCATTCTAAATTAACATCCAAATTTTTACTTTAATCCTCTAACCGACAAGTAAGTTTCATTATTTTTTTTTTAATTTAGTTCAATTAGCTGGGATGCCAACCCTCTCTCATTTTCTGAGCTTTTAAATCACATATGCTTTTGATTCAATGCTTCAATAAGGTCACGGTCTACCAATTTTTTTTTAAGCGCCAAAACAATGAAAAAAACAAACAAAAAAAAGACCCAGTCATGAAAAAAAAAAAAAAAAAAAAAAAAAAGACCCAGTCATGAGAAAAATGGGAGCTTTCCCGTCATCTACAGATATAAAATTGAACACCTAAAACTAGAAATATAAGAAATCTCTTTGCCCCTCTCTTTTGGCTGTTACAAGTTTTCATTTAAGAAGAGATCTTGTCAAATGTTCACGTGCCGTTGCTAGTGCTTGAGTTAGTGTCTGCAAAGAAGGAAAAACTTTAGCATTTCATATTGTACAAAGGGTTATCTATTTTATTAACTACCCAAATTGACATAACCTGTTCAGACAATGGAGCTCCTGCGTCCATACTATTACTTGCTACCTTCCCAGCAATGACATTTGCATCAGTTTCCAGAATAATACTGCACACAAATACATAAAAGTTTTAATATTAGTGTAATAAGGAATGCTTCTTTGGGAACTGAGGAAGTGAAATAGAGCCAAATATCGCTCGGAACTCAGGAAAACATTTCACTAGTCTGCATCAACATTCATAGTTCTTTATCTCTTAAGATGAGTATGATTTAATATTATATTAGTGAGGAATTTACATACATTTTCCAGAAAAAACAAGACTTGGAACAAATTGCTAGAAATTCAATGAACTTAGAGGGTTATGTGTTTAAACTTATTCTCATTTGTGAAAAATCTCTTATGACATAGTTTAGTTATGTCAAAATTTTAAACACAAGGACACCTTTCGCTATCATGGAAGTAAAAAAGCAAACTATAAATCTCAAATCAAGGAAGCAAATAAATAATATAGTCATGGAAAAGAGCACTGCATACCCTCCGTCCACAATTTCATCAAGGCACAACAGAATTAGATCTAGATTCTCAAGTGCCTCTTTCTTGTCCACATTGCCTCTAAAACAAGGAATGTAAACATATGTCAAATTCAAAGAGTATAACAGGTGCTAATTTATCCTGACAGTATTTTAACTGCAGAGATGTGATGAGAGGCTAGTGATAAAACCTTAGGAGAAGGCCTACTGCATCAAAAAAACCCTGAAGAACATTGGCTAAGATGAGCTCATTTTCATCCTCACTCCCAGTAACAAAAAAGTGAAGATCTTGAACAAACTTGTAAATAATAATGCTATTCTCAAGCATAGTTATCTCCGCTGTACATGGAGTAACAACATGTTAACACAAAACTAGTAAGAATCACAGGCTAAACAAAGTATGCAGCACAGAGAATATCTATCCTATACATTCATCAACAAAGAGATGTCATTCACAGTAAAACTGAATAATACAAAAACAACTGATTTTTACAAATTAGATGACATGATGACCTTAATTTCAAAATTAAATAACCTAATTACTGAATTTAACATTAATACATCCTCCCCCCCCCCAAAAACAAAAACAACCCACCCCGCAAGCGGGCTATATCACCAAAAAGAAAGACAAAAGACATTAGTCACCAAAGACAGGTAACACCTCATAGAATTCATGTAAAATAAATGCTTGGTCTTTTGATCAATGCTTCATGAAAACAGCGAGTGTGAAAAAAACAGAGTAAAAGATAATATAATCCACCCCCCCCCCCCCCAAAAAAAAAACAACCCCCCGCAAGCGGGGCTATCTTCACCAAAAGAAAGACAAAGACATTAGTACCAAAGACAGGTAACACTATCATAAATTCTCATGTAACAGCTAATCCTTGGTCTTTTATCACTCTTATGAAACTAGCGAGTGTTGAAAAAACAGAGTAAAGATAATATCACCATCTAATATTGACACTAAATAGCCACAGCAAAACCCTAGATGAGTACATAAAAAGGGGAATGTCCACTTGATCAAAAGAATCTTGCAACACAGACACACAACTGAACAAATGCAAGAAAAAGCCATAATTGTCGTATAAAAACAATACTGATTGCTTACCTTCAGTGCGAGCATTAGTCTTCTGAGTCTTGGTAAACACTGATTTCTCAAAAGCTTCCTTGGAATTGTTAGTCGGCCAATCATCTGAATAGTATTTAACAGCTATGCGTTTTCCTTCAGAATCCAACAGAAGGATATTTTTCACAGAAGGACATATTTCCTATAAGCAACATTACAGTAGAATAACTAAGACATCCAAATGAACCAGCAATCTTCTATATGATACAGAAATGCAGATCAATAATCACTTGCTGAATTTTCCTTTTTCATTCATATTTTTAGTTGCAGACTAAACCAAAAGCTAATTTATCTAATAAAAAAAACAAACAGAATCCATAATTTTAATCATATCAAATCAACACCTTTAGCGTTCAAAGATTGAAAATCAATTAGATAAAAGAAAAGGGGAAAAACATTAGGATCTGAGCGGTAGCAACAATTTTTTAGATCTACACTAAAACCATAAAAAGGAAAAAAAAAAAAAAAGCACAGAATGTAACCCAGCTTAGATCTTCATAACGCAAATCAGCATACAACGTAATAGGAAATAAGAGACCTTTTTCTTCGAAATTGTAAAATTCATGTACACAAAATAGTAATGTAGATTAAGTTCTGTGAAAGAGAAGGACTGACCATGCTGTTTGGCCAAATTTTGACGGAAAATAGTCTCCGGATTTTCTGAGAAAATCTATAAGACCAGGATGATCAAGGCCTCGACAAAATATATAAAGCAACTGTATTTGCTTAAGCCGCACTCTCTGTTTTTTCGTGTATTTTCACTTTTGACCCATTCTTTCTGTTTATTTATTTTCCGCCACCATAGACACCTTGTTAAAAATATTTGCAATGTACAGAGGTTTTATAATTTAAAAAATAAATTAAATGGAGTAATGGAAATAAAATTAACAGAAGTATAAGTCAATATAATGCTGTTAAATTATACAAAATAAATATATATAGATATATATTTTTTTTAAGAAAATTATTTTTATGATATTTTCTTACACTAGAAAACAAACTTTATTAACCTTAAATATTATTAATTTATAACTTTACTCAAAAAAAAAATCCTACTGCTTATATGTTCTCTGAAATTTATTTTTTAAAGGAAATATGAGCAAAAATATTTATATTAGAAAATATCAGTAGAAATATTAATTTCATTTCGTAAATTTAATTTAATTTGACAAAATTATGTGCTTAAAATATTCTAAACCAAATAAAGGATTGAACATTGTGAATTTTTTAAGCTCCTCCAAGCACGGAAAAAATTAGAAGGGATTAAACAAAAACTTTTTGGGGTCAAAATGAAAACTACAATTTTATATTTCGAGCACATATATATTTGCAAACTCCAGCCGAGCGCAAAACGCTGTAATTCACCACTTCAAATTGCATATTGCAAGGCTAATAATAAGAACTCCCAGATTAACTCATGAATCGGTGGTTGCTGCCATCACTGCACTTCCTCTCTAAATCTCAGGTACCCCACTCCTCTCTCTCTCTCTCTCTCTCTCTCTCTCTCTCTCTCTCTCTGTATCTATTGTTGTAACTTTCCCGTTATATGATTTTCTTTAGGTGCCACTAGCATCTCTATTCGAAGGATTTTTGAACGGACATGGACGGTACTTTCTTCATCGCCAATATTCGATTTTTGTCTTTCTAAATCTTAAATAAACTCACTTTTTCAATTTCTGGTTTAGAACTGTTGTTTCTTTAATCTTAATTTTGATACCTGATATTTTGGGCTCTGGTATATGAATTAGATTGTGTCTTGGATGCTTTTGGCCTCGTACCTTGTTCTTCATTTTGATTGCAACTTTGCTGGCTAAGATGGTTTTGATATTTCTTTATTTTCTTTTTCACTGGAGTTTTTAGTGCACTGATATGCGTAGTTTCTCCTTCTGCCGTCTTTTTCTTGAAGAATTTTGTAGTGTGAAGATGAATTTTTGCACTTACTTACAGCTCCAGTACTCAAGTTAAACAAATACACTGGTATCATGTGAGGATGTCATCCAATAGGAACTCATTTAATGGATTTAGGACTTACTGCTCTGGCAGAGGTGCGTTATGACCTTTGGCTAATTTACTATACGAGTTAGATACAACTCCATCACCTGTTGAAAATTTATTCCATGCTTCTCCGGTGAATTTTTGGTTCTAAATTTTAGCATTTATTAGTGAAGGGATTCATTTCAAAGTTGCCATGAGTCAAGATTCAGATGAGTAGCGCAAGGGTGTGAACAAAATAGGATTAATTGGCAGGTTGAATAACAGGCTTTCTGTAAAAAGCCTATATTCCTCCCTCCTCATCCACGTGCACAGATAGGCATGATACTTCTCGTGTCATGTTTGATTATGAACTTAAGCTACTGATTAAAAGAATTGTTGACATGCTTTATTTGGCAATGCTACGCATATATGTAAAACACTACATCTAAGATGCTTCAGTTAAGAGTACCTTATATGATGCTATCTTAGAAACCTATGTGTACCATTGCGTTGCTTGATTACTGCACGTTTACTTGGCTAGTTTGTCTCACAATAAAATCTTAGTTTTCTCTGACCTTCCCACATAACTTTGTCTCACAATAAAATCTTAGTCTTCTCTCACCTTCCCACATAACTTCTTAGTCAGAGCAGGAGAACAAAATTCAAGAGTAGAAATGATAGGAAAAAGAAAACCTCTGAACCCATTGATTGACTGTCTCTGAGTTCCATCATTGGCTGTTGGTGCTTTTTAGGTTGAAACTAGTGTTATGATACAGCATATTGCATGTGTGACTGGTCATTCTAGTATCTGATACAGTTCTACAACCATGTTAGATCTAGCTGCTAAGAAGTGTGTACCATGCAACTCAAAGGATATCCGAGCCATGACAGAAGAAAGTGCAAATGAAATGATGCCAAAGGTTTGTATTCAAATTTGTGTGTTTTCCATTTTCTGTCTGCTGGACAGATTGTTCTTAGCAGGTAAATTATTTAGGTTGCCGGGTGGAATTTGGTGAATGAAGATGGTACACTGAAGCTGAATCGGTCATGGAAAGTAAAGAGTTTCACCAAAGGGTTGGAGTTATTCCAGCTTGTTGGCAATGTTGCTGAAGCTGAAGGTACTTTTCCCCCGTTTATGGTTCACTCTATTCTCTTGAGTATATTGGAAATGCTGCATTTTTTTTTCTTAAAGAACTTTTTGTTCCTTAAATAGACAAGTAACAATATTTATTTCAATGCAGATCATCATCCAGATCTTCATCTTGTTGGATGGAACAATGTAAAAATTGAGATATGGACTCATTCAGTTGGTAAGTATTTATTTTCTTCCTAATTACTTATTTGGCTGCTTTTTTCCTTTTAGAGCTTAATTTAAGACCTAGTTCAATCCGTTTCCTCTCTTATTACATCGGCCAACTCCTAAGAACATTTTCCTTCTTATTTTTTTATGCTTTTGAAAGTCTATTTCTGCCTATGCTCAACATAATTTGTCACGGCATATTCACAGTCTGTCCATATGTATACAAGGCATACCTGAATTTACCCAGCTAGGTGCACACCACAGTCTGGCCTGATGGCTTGGAAGTTATACAACCCCTCCGGCTAATGACAGGCCAGACTTTCCTCTTTCCTTTTGTTGCCTGTGCGGAGATCAAAATTCTTAGCATGCTCTGTACTTGCACAGGTGGACTAACAGAAAATGACTTCATACTTGCTGCTAAAATCAATGGGCTTGAGCTGCACCACCTGCTAAGAAAAAAAAAGGCTGCTACTTGAGAACTTGATTAATTTTGCAAGATCTGGAAATGACATGGTCCCTTTGTTCATTGAGTGAAGGATAGTATCTGCCATGTTCATACTTGGTCAAAAATGGAGATTTTTCCAATTTTAACTCCAATAAGCTTGCATGGACATCAATATATGTTCTGTTTTCTTTTTTTTTTTTTTTTTTCTTTTTAATATTCTACATTTGTGTAAATCAGAGATACAGCTATGTTGAAGCTTCCTTAATGAAAAGGATTGTAATGTAATCAAATATCATAAACATGACATTTATAGCATCTTTTGGCCTATCTTAAGCCAAGTTGCTTCAGTGGACCATTACCAATTATTTCTTCATGTAATCCATCTTCCTAACAAATCTAGATCTTCAGGAACTGGAGAAACTGAGCGCGTACCAATTTTGGGTCACCCACGAGGCCAAAATGATTAAATCTTATCATGCAATACGTAGAAAAGAAGAGTCTTCACTTTTCAGGACCACTTTCCTAGCAGCTTTCCAGCATGCAAGGATTCGTCCCTTTTTTTAAGGTCCACATGCACAGAATCCAACCTTTTCTTCCAATAATTGTTTTTATCAGCTAAGAACCCAAAAAAAAAAAAAAATGTTTGCTCATTCTTTTGATTTATTTCTGACAATAACATGTTTCTGAGTAAAAGAAATCAATAAAAATCAATCACCTCCAATATGTTCTGCTTATACCCTTTATAATTTTACACTGTTCGTTGCACCTATGATTATTCTTTTTCCCCATTCTACACAATCTTTACAACATTGATAACTTTCTCCTTGTGCATTTGCGCGGCAATACGTATGTTCGCTTCACTGCCCATTCATAGGACCACAGCTTCTATCTGAAGAGGCATTTGGTTTTGAGCACAGGGTAGTCTGCAGTTTGTAGTTTTGCTCAGTCAAGCAAGAGAAAGATCTGATAATAATTCCTGACAAAAACAGCAAAAAGTATCTGGGCTTACCATCTGAATTGGAAGTGATAAAAAAGAATCAACTCATGAAATTTGATGAACTAGTTTTAGTTTCAGAAGTAAATATTATTAACAGAATTGCCAAGAACTAAGCACACATCGATCCAGCCACAGAACACGAGTGTTTAAATCTAATTTGGAAAAATCTGAAATCTGCGCCGGCAGAAGTATGAACCGAAAGAAAAGGCACCAATTTTCTTTAGTTGTGTTCAAAATTGCTAAGAAATGTTTTGATCAATTGTGAATTGGAAAGGGGACCAATTAATTACCCTCGTGCCCCTTCACCCCCAAATTAATCTAATGAATTGTGGAAATCAACAATGTGAGCTCTGAATTCATCTACAAGGGCAATTTATTTTCAAGAGATAGGCATTATATTGCAAAATTACCACATAGCAATGTGAATGCTCTCCTGAAGCACCGCATATCATGCTCAACTTTTATTATCTAACAATGAGCAAAGTTTCAAGTTGGGAACTTCATTGTTTCAAGAAACTAGAGTTTTAAATCTTTTTCATGGAAAAGAAGAAGAAAGAGAACGAGAAATAGAAGAGGGGGAATATACCTACTTGCATAAATTGCGAAGGTTCACAAATTCACAATTTTGAAACGCGAAACTGAAATCAACTTAAAGGTGAAAAAGAAGAGGGTCGCATCCTAATTGTAATCAAAAGGTACAGACAAACTATGAAATATTGAGAACAAAAACCACATGCAAGTTTCAACACATACGTATGTGCCAACAAAAATCAATTACTACCCTTATTGAATTATTACTATACGAAGCACTGGTATAGTTGACAAAAAGCATGTCTAGGCCAAATCTGGAAACACTAACATTCTCTTGGTGTAGAAAACAAATTTCCTGATTTCATTCATCAATTTAAATTCTGGATATTTGTACTGACATATAACACTTGATTATTTTGTCAATGTCATTTACAGATGCATGGAGAGATTCAATGTTATCAAATTGCATGGTAAAGACTACATTCATATGCATATATTTGACTCAAACAGAATCTACCAGCAAGAAACTATAATTACAATTTACAAACTAAAAAAAAAAAAAAAAAAAATACAAATTTCCTGATTTCATTCATCAATTTAAATTCTGGAGATTTGTAACTGACATATAACACTGATATTTGGTCCAATGGTCATTGTACAGATGCATGGAAGAATCAATGTTAATCACAATTGCATGGTAAAGACACATCATAGCAATATTTGACTCAAAACGAAATTCCCAGCAAGAAACAAATTACAATCTGAACAAACTAAAAAGAAAAAAAAAAAAAAAAAAAAAGAATCATTTACCTCTAGTGCGATGTATGATTCTCATCTTGACACAGGCTTTTGCAGGAGAGCAGTCAAGTAAACCTCCCCATTCTTCAACCCACCAGAATCAGTCTTATTGGCAACTGCCCATTTCACCTTCTTGTAATTCAATTTTCCAATCAAAGGTTTATAAACCTTATCAAGATCCACTCCTTTACTAAAAAAATGATCCAACCACAAATACCCACCGGCTCTCAACACTCTATCCACATCATACAGCAAAAACTCCATAATCTCCAAAGGGATCCACCTATTCACTGCACGTCCACATCTCACCAGATCCACAACCCCGTCAAACACTGGCAACCGTTGCTGTAATGGCACGTGAAGTGGCACTAAACCCCTCATTGCCACCACTTCATTATTAGGCACATTGAAATTCATTGTTGTAGTAACTACACTCACATTGTACTGCTTCATTCTTGCTGCAAAAGTACCAGTACCACCACCAATATCAATACCGAGTCTAATAACAGAATTAGCTGATTTAGATATCTGTAGAAACTGTGGAATTGGGAGATCTAACTCTGTTTTATAAGTCATAAATTTAGAGATCTCAGCATTTAAATCAAACCCAAGATTTGAACTTTCTTTAGCAAGACAAGAAAAGGACTTGCAAGAATATTTGCTCCATAATACGTTGGAGTCAAGAAATGAAGAAGGGAAAGGAGTACGCGGGAGAGAAGAAGGGGGTTTTGATGGGGTTCTTGAAAAGCAACGGCGGCGAGGGAGAGGGTGGCAGCCACGGAGGATTAAAGACTCAGCAAGATCAGAGTCAAAAGGGCAAAGAGAGTAAGGAGTGTAGTCCATATACTTATGGAGAAGGTCAGGGTGGTTATGACAAGAAGAAGCTATAGGAGAGAGATGGGAATAGAGGAGGAGATCTGAAGGGATGGTGGGTTTAGATTGAGTGGTGGTGGGAGTGGCGGTGGAGGGTTGGTGGCGACTGAGGTGGTTAATGGTGGCGCGTATGGTCTGTAATTGGTTGAGAAGGTGGTCAGGGACTAGTAGAGGAGCTGGAGGTTTGGGGGATTGAAGAGTAGGCGCAGAGAGGTGGTAAAGAGATAGAATATTAGTGGCAACCATGGCTATGAGAAGGAGAAGGTTCAAGCCCATAGTGAAACTCATCTGGCGCTAACGATGTTGGTCCTTTCTTGGGGTTTAGAGATACTTCTGGTTTAAGTCTTGGTTTTGGAGCTTTGTTGTTGTTTGTGCTTTTTAAGCTCGGTGTTTAGTTTAGTGTTGAACTAGACAGAGCTTTAACAAATGCCAGTATAGTAGTAGTATTACAGTAGTTGCTTGCTTGCTAGTAGTTTTGGAGTTTTGATTTGTTGTATGCGATCTGCACGTTTTAGATTTTGCGTTGGAGCTTTTGTAGCCGTTGATCAAAATCACGAGGGTCTTGAGAATATGACAAATGACAATTCTGTTGACCTTGTTTGGGTCCATTGGTGTACAAGTCTTAGGCTAAAATACTGCCCTTTTTTTTAATTTACAGATAATAAAACTTAGCCCAATGTTATAATTTTTGACAAATTTGTATTTTTTTTTTAAAGCGGATTTTTTTTATAGCATAGGAGAGGAAGGATACGTTGAAAATTTTAATCTCGACTTATTTAGACTCCGGCTCACCCGTTAAACAAAACCAAATGGAAAATAATTTTTTATTAAAATAATAGTATTTCTATCCATTTATTGAAAAAAACTAAAATAAAGTGAAAAAAAATCTGTGAGAAATCTCTTTTTTAATTAGTTTAAGATGGGCTCACAAATTATTTATTTGTAAAAGTTGGCTCAGTCCCATGCCCATGAACTCCATTTATAGTCATAGCAAAGGTGTAGTCAGCCATTAATTCCATCCTGCACTGCAGAGTGTTTAATATCAGGAAGAAAAATTCTTACCGACAAACTTCGAACTTGCCACCTACTAGTAGATGGTCTCAGCTTTACCACTAGGTTAAGGTATTGATTCTTCTCTCTTTGAATATCCATAAACTTTACAATTATATATATGTCAATCACATACAACACCAGTGAGGAAGAAGATCGCTGTAACTGTAGAAAGCCCAAATGCATATAATGTATTGCCCACTCCAGCCTCCAAGTATCTCCATCAAAATCGCGTTCAAGACTTTGTCTCTTGTTAATATGAAGTGATTAGGACAATTCATGTCTTCATTGGATGAGAACATAATCCACATCATCTGACTGTGCATCTCCAGAAGTTGGGGGCAAGTTGTTTCTATGTACATTTTTACGAACCTGGGCATGAGTCTCTGCTTCATGTTGAAACATCTTCACTAATTCTTGCAACTCCAACTTTCTCACTTCAACCTTCTCTTCTGTTATGGGCTGCTTCAATCCAAGATAAAGTAACCCAACCCCAATTAGTACCACGCCTATGAAGAAGAGGATGGCTGTGAACACAACAAATGCATATGGTGTATTTTCTGCTCCAGGGATCCCGTCAACATTGATCCCAAACAACCCAGTAATGATAGAAAGAACAAGGCCACAGCCTCCAAAAACTGCCAAATTATGGGTTACACGTAGGCTTCTGTCCTGAAATCATTAAAGATTTATGCATATAAGGGGGGAAAACTCTAGAAGATATACAGTTGGCTAAGTAATTAAAGAAAACCATCCCTTTCTTTTTACCGCATACAAACCTGCAACCATGCCCGAACATTGCTTTGCATAACATCTTGAATGGTAAACAAGCGACCACGAACTGCTTCTTGCTCCTCCAACATTTCTCTAGTGCTCTTCCTTATCCCCTCTAACAAACTTCTAGTTGCATTTCCTCTCAAATGATAAAGAAGCTCAAAAACTATCTCCTCTCTTGCATGGAGTGACCATTTCACTCTAATAACCTGCAAAATAATATGCCCAGGTATGACAGCTTAAATAACCATTTAATTTTTCTGCACCACCAAGCCTAACATGTAAATGAACAGAATTTTACAATTGGCATATTCCATGCAAAAAGAGAAGACAACTTCTGGATCAACGACCAGGGGTAAGTAACTTAGTAGTGATCGTCAGAAATGATCAAGTGTTAATAAATGATAGACATGCACAAAGCAGCATAACATCTATCAGTCAGTATCCAAGAGTAACAAAAAAGCATAACTCAATTGCATATCAGTCATCAAATGTCCATCAAAAGCAATACAACCATGGGTCAATGACTCGATCCTTTTCCCAGCCAATAGAAGACTCTGTCATAAGTAGACAATTCCATTATCGAAAATGGCCATTTTTTATCATTTCTCATCCCACTTGTTTCAGAATTTAAGCAAATCCAGCTTAATTACCACACATATAATTTAACTGACATAGGCATTAGAGAACACCCATCCTAACCTTAAGTTTTGAGAGACCATCTCTAACAATATGTAAAAGAACATCTGATCTGACCCCAAGATGCTGTTTGGTGGAAACCCCTCATTCATTAAGCATTCTATTGTTTAGATATCTATCCCATGTAGGCCTCTATTATTAGGGAAAGAAAATATAACTCAAAATTGAGTTGAGCATCAATTCTATGCTTGAGAGAATTGCTTAGGCATCTAGCCATAGCATCATGAAGTGGTGGCAGCTCTTCCAAACAAAAGCACAGTTTAACGTGCAAGAGAATAACAAGATACCTGTCTTGACAACCTTCTGATTTCTTGGTTCAGAATGACACTGAAGAGATGCATATCTTCATGGTTTCTCCTGTTCAATAAATTTGCTAAGACTAACATTTCTAGGTAAAAGAAAGTATTAAATTTGCTTTGGAAGAAAGCATGAGTTTCTTAACAGAACCTGTTCACAAATTTCAATTCAATCTCATCTGCTGCCCCAAATATGGACTTGCGAAATAACCTAAAATAAATCAAACAATAAAAAGTTAAGTTAGAAAAGAAAGGGTAACTTGCAGAGCCATAGTGAATAGAATAAAATTATGGTAGCATGTCTGATCACATGTATAATCGAAGCTAGGAATTAATTTCTGGCTCTAACCAATAACTCTTACTACAGAAACAAAATGGATGATTACACATAAAAGCACATGAACTATCAAACATAAAACAAAATGAATAAACTGGAAGCAGCTGTGGTATTAAAGATATATTATTTTGCTCAATTGAAATCTAACATTTGCTAATATTTTATCATCCTTCCAAACCCCTAAAGATAAATCCTGGAGCAGAATATTTGTGTATGGATATGAAGATGTAGAGAGAGATATAGGGATGGTTCATTGTCAGTAACTAGTCAGAAACATTTGGAACTTCCATATCTGCATTTCCAATCATATAACAAATATTTCTAAACAAAAGGATTGGTTACCAAAAGAAGGACGAGGCATAGGCATATTGCATATGTGATAAACTGCAGCCAGTACCCAGTAACAATGGGTAAAAATGCATGTGCATTTATGACAATTAAATATAAGATAACATAAGCAGAAAAAAGAAAGATGTAATACAGTTAAAATTACAATCTTGTATAGTTTCAATTACCGATCATCCCAACGAGTAAGGCGGCATGCTAGTAGTGCTATGACTTCATGCACTGTTCTTGGTGTATTATAACCCCCAGCAGAAAGAAGCTCCTAACCAAAAGGAATATGAATGGTCAAGTTAATGGAATGGAAGTGGAAGCATATCTATCTCAGCAATATATTCCATTGAAACGGTTATGCTAAGCACAACCAACCTGAACTTCAGTGATTCCCAAAACGTTTACTCTTGAAACAGGTCCTTTTATATGTAGTGCAGTAATGAGAAAATTCTGTGCTTGCCAAGAGCGCAGCACAATGGGAATATCATCCTCTTCTACAAATGGATCGCCAGCTGACTGTCCCAACAGTTCAAACAGCAGCCCTCCAGCAACCCTTACTGGGACCTTGATAAAACACAAAGCATAAACAATAATCCAGAAGAACACCAAGAAGAAGAAAGAAGTTCATTTTTCATTCCAAATTTGGATAGAAAGTTGAGATTGCAAACCCATCAACTCACCAAAAATCCACCTGCCAAGATATGATTTTGAATTATCTTTTAAACCCAAGCCAGATGCTCAAATCTCATGCAACTAATGGTTGGACCTAGGTCAAATGTTTAACTTGACATGAACATCTCAACTAAGTGAACTGTACTACAGTATAATTTACCTATTCAAGGACAGATGTCAGTGTACTTGCACTTAGATGCATTAAATGTCTAGGAAAAATGGTGAGCCTGCCCTTGGCACAACAGTAAAGTTACTCCTTTATGACCAGAAGGTCATGGCTCCCAATCATAGGAACAACCTCTCCAAAAAATATAAAACAGAGAGGGACGGAGAGAGAGAGAGAGAAGGGGAAGGTTATTAGACAACACTCTCCAATCCTTACAAGGCAGGGAACATAGTGGAGACATCAAAGGAAAATGGCTGTATATGTACAAATCCACACCCGAAGCCATTTACATATATCTCCTTCTCTCTACCTTTCCTCATCATAAATGCAAGTGATAGACTAAACAGTGTACGCTACATGGTCAAAAGGCACGGGGTATGGATACTAGGGCCGAGTATAATATAGTGGTTCTCTTGGCTACACAACCAAAAGAACTAAGACCAACATCTTTATTCTACCTTATAAAGTTGTTCCCAAAATCTCATGTTATTCCAGATGCTGGTGTAGCATTGCTCCGTGTTCATTTCATAGGTGATGCAGCTGATACTTTGAGCATCTCTCTTTACTCTTTTATGTGTGGCATAATTTTTAGTTGTTTCAGTGGAATGCATGTACGTTCTCCTACAAGTCATACTTATCAGTATAGAAGTAAGCCTGGGATTTTGGGTCTTTTCCTAGTGACTGCTCTATTCATACAGGCTCACAAAGTTCTGAAATTAAGAGTCTTAACAGCCAGATCCTCAGGGCTGAAGATCCATAGAATAGTCTAGAATAACTTAAGCAAGAAATTAAATTACACCAGCAATAAGATCACTCAATTCAAATAAAAAAACAACCTACCTCATACAGTAGGTGCTTCATCCTCTCGCTTATCAGTCGACTTTCATCTCTTAAAGCTAAACTGATGGCAGGATGTAACCACTGGGAATTGTTGAGCCAGGATTGGACAGAGGGATGACTTGCGGAAACATGGCACCACCATATGGGCCCTGCTGGACGCTCCCAGTAGGGAGCTGCTAATTCTGCAACACTAAGCCCATCCTCTTCATCCATCAATTCCAACTGCTGCATGGCCCAGCTGGCATCAGTTTGTACCATTTGGACCAGTTCTGAAATCCTAGGCCACCCAATGGGTACCCAATGACTACCTTCAACTCTTTCTATGGCATGATATTGTCCCGATTGATTGATCTGGTTGTCTTTGCAGTCACTTAAAGGAGCATTCTTAAACTCACAATGGGGTGAGGATTCCAATAATTTGTTCCCATTCGGTCTTGGGGAAGAAGACTCCCTTGGCTCATTCATGCGCTCTTGTATCTGTGAATGCTCGACATCTATTTGTCTACTCAAGGTCTTTGAAGTAGATCTTGAGTTCATTGATCTTCTACTGCAGCCTCGAACAAATTCAAAGGCACAAATAAGCCCATCCGTCCAAAGTTCACTCTCAGGTATAACATCTCTACTGCTACAACTTTGATGATTTTCTACTCTCATCATTTTATTGTTTAGTGCAATGGAGTGGTTTTCACTCATATTGCGTTCAATCTGCATGCTACCTAGTCTCAAGAACCACAGTATAACAAATGACAAGTCCCAAAAAGTTCCCTTCTTCTGAAGCAGGCATAGATACCAGCAACATCAAGACTAGCTGATTCACTTACTGTATCTGGTTCACCGAAGCAAGCAATGGTTCAGTCAACCCAAGTTCAATAGGAGATGAAGGTGGTATAAGCACAATGACATAATCTCATCCTTCAGATGATAAAGAAACGAGCAGAAAAGTTAAATAAATGTGAATCTTCCCTCTCCTGGCCAATGAAAACTTCCTATATTGTTGAAATTCACAGGCAAATATCAAAAATTTGTTAAAGATGTTCCAATCCCTATGCTCAAAAGTAGCACAAGTACGTGTATGAGAGAAACTGAGCAACAATCATGCACTCCAATATATGTACATGTATTGAGTTTGTTCATACGAAACAAAATAAATTCAACAGCACGAAGAAGTAATAATTTTAAAGCCACACACAAAAAAACAAACAAAAGAAAAGATCACAAAAATAGAGAAACCAACTTAGAATGCTTCTACAGAAACTAGCAATACTAATTCGGCAATTGACCAAATATCACAGCACATATGAAGAGTCCCCTCCACTCGACCACTAAAACTCGCTATAGTAATAGCTAATTACTAATTAGTCATTGCTTTAATTACTTGAAAGAAGTAGAAAACAAGAAACTAAAGAGAGAAGTAAACGTGATTGTCTGGATTTTACAGATAGAGCAAAAATCAATCATCATTATGTGCAATTTCATATTAAACAAATAAACAATAGCTGTACACATAAAAGAAAATGATAAAAAGACTACCATTAGAATGAAAAGGCAATCGTACAAGCTTGTTTCAGCATCAAAATAAAAAAGGAACAAGCAACAAAAACTTCAACGACAATAAAACGAAATGGCAACAAAAAACAATATAGATGCGTAACCTCATTGATCAAATACCTCTTAAAAGCTTCATTTAGAAACGAGAAATTCCTAGAAAGAGAACGAATCGCATTTTCTGACTTTATGTAATTTAACAGATTATATACGCAAAAAGAGAATCTTATACTTGTACCGTTGGGACTTGAGATAGACAAAATGAGAGAATTACGCGAAAAAAGTATGGAGGAGACAGTGCAGTGTAGACGAAGTAGAGAAGGATCGACTCCCAGAGGATAAACTTGTTCAGAGAAAACGTGGCTTTTGATAAAGAGAAACGAAATATAGCTTAGCTAAAAACACCCAGGAAAAAAAACCAGTGCCAGAACGAGGGAAAAGGGGTAACTGTCTTTCTGGGCCTTTATAGGATCGTTAGCACGTAGCGGAATCCGTTTGACTCTTCGTTGAATTGCAACTTATAGATTATATTTTTATAATTATATTCCTAAATAAATTACATAAACGCGATTTTTCCATGATCATGTTTTATGCCATTCAGATTGATCTGACCTTCATCTGTCCCGCGTTCAACTCCTACTAACTTTGATTTGTCTCGAGTTCAACTCCCATCAACAGTTAGTTTGATTTTTCTCGAGTTCAACTTCTATCAACTATTAGAATTTTTACCGATTTAATTAGAGAAAACAAAGCTGCTACTCATTTTGTATGACATTTGACCAATTTAACCTCCTTAACGAATCAAAAGAATTACATCAATTTCTTAAAAAAATAACAATGTTCAGAGTTCAACACACCCAAAATTGCAAAATTATATAAAATGTGTAAGTTCTTATCCAATGGCACCACCAGGGCAGGAAAATTGGCAAGGAAAACAAGATTGTTGTATCATTAACCACCAAAAACTCGAGATGTCTCCCAGACATACAGTAAAAAATATTTGTTAAGTAGCAGGAAGAAGATTTAAGTCCAACAATTCTAATTTACTCATTCAAGTACACGGTTAGGTAATCACAGTAAACAGAAAAGTTAAATTTCACTATAATGAGAACAAGAGAACAAAGAGTGAAGGGAAACGTAGTCCACTAACCCAAATTAGCACACTTGTTCGTTCCTAGGTTAACCAGATGACAAATATCTAAAATACAACTTCGTGGCACAGGGCAGTAGCTGGTCAGGGGGTCCCTTTAGACCACCGATGATCATACATAAATTATTCAATCACAGAAATGCTGTGATTGGCCTCTTTCAAACTCACTACAAGACCCTGAAAAACCATGAGGTGATGAGATTTAGTAGCTGTTTTGCCATAACTGTTGAGTCTGCTTTGAGGGTTGGCCCTGGGAGCCACCAAGGGATGCGTCCCTTGAGTTTTGCTGCTGATGTTCGAGTGATATCCCTGTTTGTGAATGATAATAATTCGGGTAACCAAGAGCCCCAAAATGCTGTGACAGCTGTTGACCTTGCCGAAACCCACCAGGCTGCTGATTCTGTCCCTGGAAGCTGTAATATGTACTGGCAGGGACGGCAGACATCGTTCGTGAACCAGGCCCGTGAACCCACATGGCAGAGTTATCATTCTGTCAATAAAACAAAAATATTAACCACTCGAGCTTCATACAAGAAAAGATGCGGAATATTGACCAGTACCATAAAAACATGAAGATATGCAGTGAAATATTAACCCCTCAAGCTTCATGATTTTAATGATTATTCCACTGATATGTATTTTCACTAAGAATGTTGGCTAACCAATTCACGGTCACAACAAATTGTCAATATTGGGTTGGGAAATTACTTGTTGAAGTGAGATCAAATGGTTGCCATCCTTGTACTGAGAACTTAATACATCATCATAGCCTAGGGTTGTGCCTCCAGGAGCAGCAGGGGGATTCAGAGGAAAGTTCCCAGCAGGAATGCTTGTTGAACTCCCAAACCCATATGCAGAAGCTACAGCAGCAGACTGAGGCAAGCTGCTTACAGAAACACTATTCTTGTATTGTGGAAGCACTGCTGCTAGAGACTGATGATATGTGTTGTTACCAGCAAAGGTCTGCTGGAAAGCAGATGGCATGTATGTGTAACTCTGCGGCAAGAAAGGATAGCCAATCATATTCGTAAAAGGTCCCAGTGGAAGGGTAGGTTGCGAATAAGGATGCACAGCAAGATGTTGTGGAAGAGTAGGTCCTGTAGCAACACTGGCACCGGGAAGTGTCTGTTGAGTTGGCTGAGGTGTGGAAATACTATTAGCTCTCAGAGCCTGGCACATGTGGAAGAAAAAAAAATCAGCAACACGACAGAACTGAATCACGAAATCCGAGAAACGATTTTCCTCATGTACTACCAATTTTACATATCTTATTATCTTGCAAACGACAATTAAAAAAATAAAGAAAACTCCAAGGAGGTGGAAAAGAGAAAATCTAAGTTAAGATTCTTCAGCATATGCAACAAAAATGAAAAACTGCTGCACTGAGAAACCATGAACATCATAAGGAAACATATATAATTGAAAGGGCATAAATGGAATTCTATTTAGTAAAGGTGATGCCAGAAAGGCTATTAATTTAGGCTGAAAGACAGAAGGGTAGCCTCTTATGACACAAGGTAAGTCATTGCCATATGTGGGCAAAGTATAATATAGCATTGATTTAATACCGATTTAGCAATGATGTTTCTTATTTCTACTCAAAACACTTTGACCTTTATAGAGGAAAATAGTTGTAAACAGTAGCTTTTTAGTTGCACACAAATGTATCTCTCCCAAATACAAAATAAGTTTTCGAAGTGGCATATATATTTATATATACCTCTGGCATAGAAATGCTTGGACCAGTGATAGAAGAAGCTGTATTACTGTATTTAGTGGGCATTGATTGCGTCACAGGGAAGGGTGAATATGGAAGGTCTGGCTCCCTTCCCGGTTGAACAGTTGAAGCCAACAAAGTGCTCGGCAATGAATTTGTATATGCCTGCTGCAATGACAATGTGTAATATTAAGAAGAGATTCAACCAAATCTATGTTGTAGTTCTGTCTCCCAAGTTAAGAATGCATATGAAACAAATACACACATAAAGAAATGTACATATATTCAAGATGCAACCACAGATATCAGTATGATGATGGCAAAAATACATGTTATATCAGTACCCTTTTCATTCCACCTTCAGATTTCCTCCATAGTCATTGTACAGGCAAAAAAAAATTTTGTTACTTCTATTTTACAGATGAGCAAGGTTTTTTTCAAATCTGTTGCAAAAATATGATATCATACATCACTCATGCACAACTGAAACGTAAATTGGACTAAAATCCTTTCAACAAAATGAATGGGTCATTTTAGAACCCTTTATCTTTGCTGCAAAACCAAACTCATTCTTTTAACATAAAATTGGCCTCAGTGAAACCACATATAAACAATTTTATATTTAAGTCAGTAACAATAACTTTCATATCCAAGCAAAAACTGTGCAGTTTATTGTATTACCATTACACTTGAGAAAGGAGTCAGATTCTGCATCTGAGAGCTTGTCTGTGGATTATTAAATGCAGCATTCAACTGTTGGGAATTCTCATAAGTATATCCAGGGGCAGATGAAGGAAACGTATACTGATTTGCCTGAGCTTCAGGGGATTCCTCCTTCAGCACCTCTGGTTGTGGAACTGAAGGGGACTCATAATTACCAGGACTCACACCAGCTCTATGTATTAAACTTTCGTCTGCAGTATTTCTTAGATGCTCATCCCCATAATACTCTGGATTTCTGCAAGGAAATATTCTATGAGTAGTCATAAAGAAATGCCAAGTAAGCAAGCAATATTATTATCATAAAGGGAAAAAAGGACCTAGTATCTGAGTGTGCAGCTGATTGGGCATCCACCGCTTCAGATATCTCTTCCAGGTTATTTTTTATAGGCCTTGATGCAAATGGCCCAGAAAAGCCAGAATTAAGACCAGATCCAAAACTACCAAAGCTCAAGTGTGAGCAGTCTTGAGCATGAACTTGTAGATGATTTGGAATTATTACAGAAGGATTATCCTCATCAGGTTCTGTCCCTTGATCATCACTCTGTAAGCTTAGTTGCTGTAAATTTGCAGCCACCGATGACGCACCATCTTCAGCTGAAATAGAACAACATGAAAGGCAATCAATAATAAATCAAGAGTATCATTGATGACTCCTAAACAGGAAAAAGACCCATAAGGATAGACTATTATAACCAGATAATGTTAGTAAATGAGGAAAAATAATCAACATTATACTCAAGTTCATTCAATGGATCAAGGCAAAAAGAGTAGAAACAGTTTTAACAGACCCCAGAGAGAGAGAGACAATGGAAAAGGCCACATTGAAGGACTTCCAAGCAGACATGGTCATAGACAAACACAGGCATGCACTGTTAAGGAGTCACTTGTTATTTGAATGAAACTAAAGTGGAGATAAGCTACAGCGATATCATGAAAAGTTTTTTGCAATTTATGAACACACAGTGTTAAGATTAAACCATGAAGAAGTCATGCCACCTTTTCTTAGCCTTGAGTATGCAGAACTAGAACTTTATATGGACTAAACATCAATAGTTTCAACAGTTAAGACAATGCTCCAGCCTCTATCATTTAAGACAATATGCAAAACCTATGAAATAAAATAATATTCTAAAAAAGGTAAATGAAAATGAAATGTGCAGACCAAAGTAAACTTGATGCACAAAACTCACCTTCATGCTCAAAAGCATGCCTGGGAGGCTGGTATGAACTTACATTCCCATATATATTATTATCAAAAATAGATGAACCTACAGAAGCATCTTCCTGTATATTTCTACTGGATACAGAAGCAGGTCCGACTTGGTTTCCATTTAGCGTTTCAACATGACCCTCTTCTGCTGGCTGAACATCATCTAACTGGGACTTCATATGCTGATTAACTCTATCCAACGTCAAGTTAGATGGATCAGCATATAGCTCAGAATCTACAGGAGCCTCTAAAACAGAGGGTACACTGGTAGCTGATGGCTGCTCAATAGAGGGCCAGTCGTCATTGGAATGAACATACTGGCTTGCACTAACTTCTGGCTCTGCATTTATTTCTGACATCTTGGCAGCATGATTTTCTGATAAATGCAAATCATGATTTGATGCTGCCAAAGGAGTTGCTGCAGCATAGTGATGATTAACACCATGGTGAGGTGGCATTGCAGATGTCTTATTACTCGGCCTCCCCATCTTCACAATGTCAGCCATGGACACCTGACCTGGGACCCCCATCCATGGAGATTGAAATCCAGAAGGAGGTTGTAATGATGAAATTCCATCACCTGAACCTGCATTTGACATTTTATTTTCTGTGGCCACAGAATCACTGCAAGAAATGCATAACAGACATGAGAAATAATAAATTGCATGTAATGGAGATATTAACATAGTTGAACATAAAGCAGCTGCATGAGTTGCATGTATTAGACATGTAGCAGTAGGTCAAGCCCAGGATGGCATTAGAGAGCTACATGAAAATGCAAAATCTAAATAGTCTAAGAATTTTGTTTACAACAGACAAGCCATTTAGAAACTTTTCCTACATTAACAGAACAAGCTTAACAAATCTACATATTTAATCACATTCACTTAATATGTGCACGCGTATCAAAAGTTTCAAGAGGAGACCACCTAAATAGCTCAAAACCGTAGGAACAAATTTTCACCATGAATATAACATATGTCTAACAACTGATATGATTTCTTTTTGACTATTTACCAATTCTAGAAAGATATACTTAATACTCCACTAGAATTATTAAAAAGGTAGTTGACATGTGTCCCAATAGGACTTAACAAAATTGTGATACCATCCAAGCACAAGATCCGGATTGACAGACTTCCTAAGTAAAAATTCACAGGCTAGTAAACTTCAGGATCACATTCTGACATAGCACCAGGCTATCAAAAACTTGCTTTAGAGCATCAGAATAGAGGGCAATCAATATTACTAACTATAACACATGCATGATACAAGATAACTATGGCCCGTTACAAAAACACAATTTACCATTCTGATTTCTGGGCATTAAAAAAATCAAATATATAACTTAGGCACATTTCAACCACCAATCAGCAAAAGCAGAAGTTTAGTGATCAATATTGAGGCTTTAAAACATTAACCTGTGCAATGCAGGTCGCCGATTAACATTACTTCCAGCCACACTGGACACATAGGATGAACCACCACCATAAGCATGTGTTCCATTTTCCTTCTTGTACGCAGGTTTTCCATGTGATACACCAAACTCTGGAGAAACATGAAAAAGGATATTGGAAAAGACCTAATTGGTGACCTAAGTTCATCAAGGTTTAAATAAGTCGCCGACATAATAAATACCATTAGAGCTGGGCTGAGTCGAACTACCACGGCCATAACGGTCTGCGCCACCTCTGCCACCACGATGAGTTGTGTTGTTAGCACCACGTGACCTGGGATCAGTTGTCTCCTTATTCTGAGGCAAAAATGGAAAGGCAAAATGAAAACAGAGGAAAAGAAATATCCTGTCTACAATTTAAGACAATCAAGGACAGACTGCAAGTGCCACAACATACTACACTTCTTACATTAACAGCTCAAGGATGAAGGTAAAACAGGTTGCAACAGTAGCACCTCAATTCAGTCATAAGCGACACAAAGTAAATTACCATATGAAACTGCTCAGAGTCAACATTCAGGAAAACACATGAAGTATTTCTGCATGTTATGCATTTCACTCACCTCTTTTTTCTTTTCTCGTTTGCTCTTGACCTCATGGAAAGGATCTACAAGAAGAAAAAAAATCTTTGAGCTAAAAGAGAACAGAATGAATGAAAGACAACAGTATTGAAGCTTCAAGGCAAACTTCCACAACTTGTATCTAATAAGATATGGAGTAACTGTTGATGAGAATCACAATGGAAGATAAGAAGAAAAACAGAAGCAATTAGATTCAACTAAATACTAGAACACTTAAAATATCATATTCATATGAAAAGCCGAAACCTGCACAAGAACATTGGAGCCAAATATAAGTTGTTGACCATGAAATAAAAACTGCATCTCTCTAAGTCTCATTCATAAAGAACGGAAAGTTTTAGTAGAATGATAGGAATTGTTGAACCATCTCCGAAGCTATTAAAGACCAAGTATCATTCGAGTTAAGGTCAGGAAACAAGTTTTTCCTCTAAAATTGACATATACATCAATGGCATTGATTGAGCATGTCCTAATTTCCTTCAAGCAATCATGAACTAGTCTCAGACTTAGAATGACAACAAACATCAAATAAGAGGCCTAACTTTCCCTTGATTACTAAACGCCAACTCTATTATGACATAACCATGTCCGGTTGAAAAGTCCTAAATTTTAACTATATCTCTCAAGAACTTCCACCGTCCAGCTTCCAAGTCACTGTTATGCGGCAGGATCAATGAATTAGATCGAACTTTCGAAATTTGCAAGAAAACTTAAAATATTGATATCAAAGCACTTTAATAGCAAAAGCAGAAGGATTCAAACTCTTAACTATGTATTCAGAAGGAAGGAATACAAGAATAAAGCAGCAAGAAGAAAACCAAAGGCAAAAACTGAAATTAATGACACAGTTCGACGAATAGGATTATCTCAATATTTTCAGTTGATCACTGGAGAAACAAAAACACAGGCGCAGGTAACATATTCCTAGGTAAATTTTATACAACAAGAGAAACAGAGTCATGTGGTTTTAGCTCTCGATGCTTAAAAGGAAATACAGTGAAGCAAAAAAACTTCCAATTGACAATACAGATTTACGATCAAACTGAAACCCACACAAAAAATAACCTTCCACTGACCGTATCGCTCACTCCACGCCAGCAAGAAATAAGATAAAGACTATCTTATAAAAAAAAAAAATTTCTTCGAGTTTCCGATAAAGCAGACAGAAAATTATAGATAGAGGAAATAAAATAAACCTTGAGAGAGGAGGCGATTAACGGCCTCGTTAGGGTCCATATTACACTCTTTAAGCATAGCGTAGATCTCGGGCTCTGGACAGTTAACAATCTCCTTCAAGCTCTGCACCATCTTCCTTGACCCCGCCGGTATCCCCGAGATTCCACTATTGCCCTTCCCATTGTTATTGCTGCTAGCACCTCCTCCTCCTTTGCCACTCATTCTCTCTCCCTCCCTCTCCCTCCCTCTGTCTTTCTCTCACAGATCTGAAGAAAACGACGTCGTTCGCTTGTCACTCTCTCTTTATCTTTTTCCTCTTGTACGCCGCGACGGAGGTAAAGAAGAAGAAGAAGAAGATATGCAAGCCCGCGTCTCTGCTTTTAGCACCGAAAAAACCCTCTCCTTCTCTCTCTTTATATTTTTCTTTTTTTCTCCCTTTTGCCCTTTCTCTGCGTTTTTTTTTTTTTTTTTTTTTTTTTCGTTAGGGTCCCATAAATTAAACTCTTTAAGGCATAGCGTAAGTCTCGGGCTCTGGACGTTAACAAATCTCCTTCAAGCTCTGCACCATCTTCCTTGACCCCGCCGGTATCCCCGAGATTCCACTATTGCCCTTCCAATGTTAATTGCTTGCTAAGCACCTCCTCGCATCCCTTTGCCACTCATTCTCCTTCCCTCCCCTCTCCCTCCCTCTGCTTCTCTCACAGAATCTGAAGAAAAACGAACGTCCGTTCGCTTGTCACTCTCTCTTTATCTTTTTCCTCTTTGTAACGCCGCGACGGAGTAAAGAAGAAAGAAGGAAGAAAGATATGCAAAGCCTCACGCGTCTCTGCTTTTTTTAGCACGAAAAAACCTCTCCTTCTCTCTCTTTATATTTTTTTCTTTTTTTTTCTCACCTTTTGCCCTTCCTGCGGTTTTTTTTTTTTTTTTTTTTTTTTTTTTTTTTTTTTTTTTTTTTTTCCGGGAAGAACGAAATTGAGTTGTTGCTTTTTATTTTTTTTTTTTCTTAATTTTTTATTTGATTGCAATATTTATTGTTTGAATTATTGCTAACCCTAAGTCCCTAACGAGTATTACTTTGCGGTTTTTTTTTAAGACATTCGATGGTATTAGGTCACATATCATAATGTCAAAATTCTAGCGAATCTCCAATTATAAATTTTAAAATTAAAGTTTACCGAGACTCATTTTTTTAGGCTGAATATTAAATTTAAATTAATAATTTATTAAACTGAATAATTAATGAATAGTTAGAGTTTACCGTTGAATGATTAAGATTATTTGGTAAATGATATATGAATAATTTGAATGTATTTTTTGCATATTTAACATTTATATTTTTACAAATTATCTATTTTTTACATAATAATAAACGTACAAATTTAACTCATTATTCAACTGTTAGCATAATATGGTTGTAAATGATGTAAATATAAATTTTTCATATACAACATAAACTTAATTTGATGATGAATGTTATAAATTAATTATGTAAAAGTTAAAAATAGTTCACAATAACTTGAAAATTTCACCACAAAATATAGAATTAAAGTACATCATCTATAATTCACTATAAAATAAAATATAAAGTTAAATTATATTCACTTATTATAATAAAATATAAAATTAAAGTATAATTTGTCATCTAATCTTTTTCCTTCATATTCACATAAACTGCTTATCTTATTTGAATCAGTAAGATAAATGTCTAATAAAATATGATAAGCTTGAATAAACACACCCTAAAAATAGCTTATATATATACACCAAGACACGTATTAATAATAAATAAACATATAAATATATATATATATATATGATTTGACAATATATTTAAATTCAAATTATCTCTCAATATTATGAAAAAAAAAAAAAACTCACATAACCAATAAATAAGATAGAAATAATCACTAACTATAGAGAATGTGGAAAAAATAGGAACCTCAATGAAAATGTTTTATTTTTATCTTTTCTTTTCTTATCGGGAGAAGGGCAAACCACCGTGTCAACAACTTTTTTTCTATTCTAAAAATAATAAAGTTTATCTTTTGATTATTTGCAAAATATATAAATTCGTTCGCGTATCTTAACTTTATAATACTTTTAATTTCTATTTTAATTTATTAAACACATTAATTTATGAAACCGCACCGATTAACTTTTCAATTTATAAAATTATATTGCTTAAACACTTATTGAATAATTAAAAAATATAAAAATTATTGTTAAAAATTAAATTTTAAAAAATTATTATTAATAGCATGTGTAGTGTTACCAAAATTCATAATTTTAGGAACACAATATATTCTCTACAAAAGTTTAAAATGTCACAATATGTTTTATGAAAATTTGAAGGGATAAATTTTATCTGGCCTTTAATTATTAGTTTCTTTCATCGTTAGATGTTTATTTTTCAATTATTTTCTTAAATTTTATTTTTCAATTTGACAATAAGGTAATACTATCTTAGCTTCTGTCACGACCCATTTCCATGGGCCGGACCGGCACTAGGACCTGGGTAGGCTTAAGGCCCCCGAAGCCCGTAGTAAGCCTGTACTATTTAAAACTCGCCCGATAGCCCGTAGTAAGGCCTGTATCTATTTAAAACTCGCATTTCTAATCACAATTGTGGATTCAGGCCCAATAATTTTAATTTCACGATTATATGCAAAAATACAATCCAAATAATAAATGTTTAACTCTATTTGTTATTTGACAAAACCCAAGTTGGAATACAAATTTGCGGGAACTCTACTCCCCATAATTGCTACCCTTTTGCATTTACCATATTCAATAATTATTACTGCTTATCGATCCAGCATCCTCGTTTCGTGTCAATTTGGAACTCCAGGATTCTTCGTTCCATCTAATTACCTGGGGAGGTTGGAAGGGGGTGAGTACTAAAACTCAGTGAGCAGGATTAGATAACTCTCTCACCCACACAATCGTACAAATGCCTAAAAATATTTTAATGTGGTCACCCATTTAAGTTATATGATCATGCAGTTTTCACACAAATGGCAAATAACAACAGCAATCACAATTATTATCACCTTCAAAATCACATCATGTGGAAAATTAGTCAGTGGCAACCAAACCTGAAAACCCCAACGATGCCGCCTCCACAACATGCTCGCCCTCTCATACATGTGCACCAGGGAGCCGATCCCCCATAACGGCCAACTTGGTCTAAATCCTCACTGACCAGTTCCTCTCATTGTTTTTCCATTCTCTCTCTTTTTCTTTTCCATACCAACAGGAAGGCAACCCCGGTGGTCCTCCATCCAAATCTAGATCATCAAGTGCTCACAACAGGTGAGGCCACCCTGGCGGGCTACAATCAAATCTAGATATATCAGGTGCGCAACAACAAGAAGGCTCATCCCTGTGGGGTTCTATATAACCCATATATCAGGTGGCACACGGGGGCCGCCGATCTCCCATTTCCCGTGGCCGACGGTCAATACATATCATATTCAAGGATCCACATCACAGACCGTACTTACAAACCCTATATACTGCCTTTCGGATGGTGGTCCACTTCATCCCAATTCCACACAAAACAAGGCACAGTAATTTCAAGCACAAGTAATCAAACAATTTTTACTATCAACAAATAGTGCATCATAATATGGCAATTCAATAAAATAATGCATGATAACATTTAGCTGAGAATGCATGAATGCAGGCGGATGAGGCGAATTATCTAACACTACTCACAGTTCTTTATTGCCCTCTAAAGGACTATCTCTAGTACTGCATCCTTCTAGCTTTTGTCTCACCATCCCAGAGCTCATACACATCTAGAAAGAAAATCCTGTATAAAAATCCTAACCTCATAAATATACTTTGCATTCGTTACCACTTTTTGAGGCTCTATAGCTATTTATCTTTGGTTTCCAGTCATTTAATTCACTTATTAAGATAATATATTGGGTTTTCCTTATTATTTATTTATTCTAATTTATCGCCTTTAAATAAAATGTTTAGTTATTTAAGTAATATTTTATAATAACGCTAAGAAGAATACGAATATTAATCATAATAATATTATTAATAGTAATAATACGATTGATAATATAATATCAAAAACGATAATCATTTTAGTCGTATTATCTATTACGGATTTCTTTACTAAGTGTTCACCGAAATTTGGGCAGCATTTCCTCTATAAACTGTACTACCAAATTTATCAAATTTTCACAAATCCACACGCACAGCCCATCCATCGGGCAAATTTATATCCACTAATCCCGTCCGCCATAACCGTCATTTATTCGGTCACTTAATTCACATAGCCCATTAAAATTAATTGTTTTATAAGTATTTATTTGTTAATAAATAAAATTCCTAAAATTTATTATTAGGTAGGAATTTGTATTTTAGTACCGTCCTTATAGTTATAATTAATATTCATTAAAATATATTTAACAATATTTAATTTAATTTACTTAAATACTTAATTAAGTTCATTAATTAATAAGTTTCATTAATTAATTAATTCGGGATTTATTCAAAAATTGCGAATTAAGCTTTAGAGTGTACCGATTGAAAATCAGATTTTATGTCCGTGATCCGCGCGAAGAGGAGATCATTCTGTCTCTCGGGGTCTTCGCCGGAGTCTCGCCGGAGCCTCGCCGGACCACCGCCGTCGCCGCCGTGCATGGTGGCCGAAAAATTTAACCTTCACCAAAATTGACAAACGATACATCATTTTATTCGTTTCGATGAGAGGATCACTGATATGTATTCAAATCAAGGTGGGTGTGAACTATTTGGCCGAAAATTGACCGGAAAGGTTGTTCGGTGATACCCATTTTGGGTTTTTCCGATTCCGGCTATTACAGTCGACGAGGAGGCTACCAAATGAAAGAGGAAGAAGAGAGGAGTCGATCAACACCTACCTCGATGCCTCAAGTCATCGGAAACGATGGGAAATCGCTGGAGAAGTTGTTGCAACGGTGCTAAACGTTTCGGTCGAGATTTCTCTCAATCCGGGCTCAAATCGCGCAAACCAAAGTTTAAATCAAACTCCTTGTGACGAGTAGATATTTTTAGAGTATCTACTTGCCGGATTTGGCGGCCGGTGGTCGGAGAACGAGAAGAAAAGGGGAGGGGGGTTGTTGAGAGAGAAGAGCGAGAAAGAGACCACTGAGTCTCTCTTCTCGTTTCTCTTTTCTTTCTTTTCTTTTTTTTTTCTTTTTTTTTCTAGAATTTTCTAATTGGTTTTTTTTTTTTTTTTTTTTTGTTTTTGTCTAGAATTTTTTAATTGGTTGGATGGAGGGTTTTGGGTCGATTTCGAGTCTGGTTTGTTTAAATCTGGTTTTAGCTGGTTTTTCAATTGATTTTATGGATTTTTCATCTGGTTTTTCGAAATATTATATATTTGAATTTTTGGGTCCAAGTTCAA